TTTTTTGCGCACGCCAAAAGGCAATCTTCGCTCTTTACTCTATATAAGCCATCTTTTATCCAAATGGAAGAGAAGAGGGCAAGACCCCCTTGATAAGTACGTACGCAACCTCATGTCCGTTAGGTAGGTTTCAACTCTCACTTCAACGACAACTATGTAAACTGCCCCATACCGAAAGGTGATGTTATACGAAATTGTTTAGTTGCCTTTCCACTTTCCACATCGGAATGTCTCATCCAGTCATCACTCTACTGCAAATATATACAGTAGTATACCATAGCAGTAGGTAGTAGCTCATTTTCCCTCGTCCAAGGAGCAAAATGTACCCCAAGCCACATGAATCTACCACACAGCCCGGTACCTATAAAGGAGTATCCCGAGATCCAAAAGCATGCAATGCAGCCCTCACAAATCAAACATACCAAGCATCATTGTAAAAACCTTCATTTAGATAGAAAAAATGGTGATGAATCGCAGAACAAGTCATTCTCAATCCGCAGCCCTTCCATCACCCCGTGACATCAAATCTAGATATTTCCCGTCAACAACAATGCCCCGTCTGGCAAGCAATATTCCCGTCAAAAACACACGTCTATACGCTGTCGACGCTTCGACTTTCTTTTTAAAGAACCACCCTGAAGACACCATTCTACTCCTCAGATCCAAACCGTTCCGACACAGAAAAATGTTCCTTGTATATACATCCAACTAGTACTCAAACGTAGATAGGTATTGCCTCCTGAAATCGCCTCAAGATCATGCCTATCATGCAATTTCATCCAAACCCGCTCATCGATAAAATTGCAAAGGGTATTGCGCCATTCTCGCTCACACGGCCCATTATTTTCAGTCGCTTTCGTTGCCATCATCATCATCATGCGAGTCGAGCCCAGAGGCGACGCTCGGTCCGGCCGCTGAATCGACATACTCCTATATACGCCCGCCTTCAACGACTTCCCGCTCCAGAATCTCGACTTCTCCAAACTCCCCCGTTCGCCGGCGCTCCAAGATCCATCGTGTTTCGCCGCTCTCCTCCTCCTCCATCATATAGGATATACTATCGGTCGATCCCTTCTGTCGCTGGTGGCCCTTCTCCAGGCTTGTGGCGGTTTGGCTGCTACTCATGGCATGCGGGTGTGCACCAGGAGCTGCGAAAGCAGGCGGACAACGCGCATCGCTGAGCGGGGAAATGCCTTCTTGTAGCATGTTTGAGCCCATTTGGACCGGGGATGCCGAGACCGCCGCCCAGGCTGATGCCACGTCTGTGTCTGGATTCACATAATCGGGCTGAGCTGACGAGCTGAAGGCGAGGGCCGATGTAGGCATTGTCAGCGTAGGACTGGCAGGAGCACTGCCAGATTCCGAATCGCGGCTCACAACGGAAAAGGCCGAATTCTTCCGCGTGTGGCCGATCGAGGAGGGGAAGCCGGCCGGAAAGCCAGGCCCTCGAGGCGACCCGGGGACGTCCCCTCTTTCGGACCTGGGGGAGCCGTCTTTACTTGAAGCCAGGCTGGCTTGAGAACCTCCCCACGCCTTTGATCGCAGCCGGAGGAGAGCCGTTAGGTTCATCTGCTCGTCACCTCGATCTGCCATCATGGCCAGCTGAGCCAGTCCGGGGCTCTGCACGACGGGCGTGCCGCTGATGGGCGGCATTCCAAGGCTCATGAGGGAGTTTCTATTAGAGTACTCTGATCGCTCGGTGATGGGTGTCAAGTTGGGTTCTCTCGAGACCACGCGCCCACTTTTGCTGCGGTTGATATTGCTTGCGCCTTTGGGACCAAAGAACCCTCCAGCGACGTATGCGTTGTCTTCCGAGCCGGAGCTCGCGTTGTGGGAGCCGTAGTTATTGACGGGGGCAGCGTAGAAACCAAACTCCTGTCCGTACCACCCATCGTAATCGTTGGCTAGAGCGCTAGCATTGGCCTCTGCGATGATGGCGTCGTCGTCCATCTCGAAATCGTCCATGTCGTCGTAAGAATAGCCATAGTCGTCGTACGCATAGTGAGGCAGGCCATTGTTGTCGGCGTCGGTGGGAGACTGTGCCAATGAGCGTTCAAACTCGCCGGATGCCGCCGCTTTCTGGGCAGCCGCGGCCAAGGCAGCTTGATAGGCAGCGATGGGATTTGCGCTGTAAGCCGTTGGCTGAGGAGCAACAATAGTGGTCTCAGACAACGGGGGTAAATCGTCTGGACTTTGGTTGTCATCGTTCCCGTCTGCGTGCTCTGGGCTGATGCTCGTAGAGGCCTGCGTCTCTGCCTGAGCAAAGTCCTGCTGTTCTGACTGTTGCTGCGAGTCCACTATGGGCTCTTCCTCGTCCCTTTCCTGCGGGACGTCCTCTTGCTTGACTTTCTCTTTCAGCGCTAATTTGGCGGCCGCAAAAGCTCCAGGAAAAGGTCGGCCGAACCGATCCGTATCGTCGTTGTCGAATATTGATTCATCAAAAGGCTCCCCATCGTCTGGAGGGCCTGCAGCCAGATCTTCCGCAAACACGCCTCCAAAACCGGCCATGCCTTCGTCAAAATATAGATCGTCATAACTCATCTTACGACGCACGGGTTCTGGCAGTGGCGCAGCTGCAGCGGGTGGTACGGGACCTGCCTCCAGGTTCAGTGTTTGAAGAGAGTCCGAAACAGCATCCACCCCGTGAATGCCGAGGCCAGACCCTTCGGCATCGGCCCCCTGACTTGGCGGCGCCGGTGTTGAGGGCGGTAATGAAAGCCCGGGAGAGTCCTTGGTCATAGCACAGCCAATGACCTCGCCCTCAGTGTCTCGGGGAGTTGGAAACACGCCCAGGCTTTGAGGACTCGTCAGAGACGAGGTCGCATTGGACCGCTGGAATGTAAAGCCAGCAAAGTTTTCTTGGTCGTCGTCCGGATCGATGTCATCCTCAATGTACTGGGCCTCTTGCTCATCATAACCGCCGTCGAGATAGGGTATATCCTCCTCCTCATAATCGGCGTTTATTCCCGGAATCTTCTCTTCTAACCCGTCATCATCCATCATGGCGTCGTAATCAAAGGAATCCTCGTCAAATTCGTCAAAGCGGGAGTCCCTTGGCTCGCCTTCTGCGGCCTTTTTGTCCAGCTCCCGCTGTCTGTGGCGCTCTTCCAGCAGCTTTTCCTGCTTGGCAGCCCCAATCATGTCGAAGCTGAAACGCGAGGAGGTGCTCTTCATGTGCCTTGGAATGGACGACAGAGAAACGTTTCTTGACCGGGTGATGTGTATGGAGCCGGTATCCCTGGCTGGGATAGCCACGTCCTGGGCGATAGCCGAAGAGGCTGCCGAAGGGGCTGCTTGCAGAGCTGGGTCATTGTTCTTCATGGTGAGTTCACGAACGACATTTTCTTCCAGCGGGAAGGCTTGCTCTGCGGTGGAAGACCCCGTTCTGACGGAAGAAACGCTGGATGATTGGGCAATGGTGTGCGAGTTGGTGCTCCCTGATTCTGGACGAGCGGGATCCGACGCACTGCTCATCATGCGGCGTTGTAGCTGTCCGTCCACCAACGCTACTGAGCCTCGGTTCTCGGCCCCGTCAAGAGGACCAACGCCCGACTCCAGGGCGATATTGGCCAGAGAAGCTGAGCGGATAGCGACAGTATCAGTCGCGGGGGCATTCGTCCGCCGTCTCGGCGCACTAAAGTCGTGAACCCTGGTGCCCTTGATGCGGGGATCATATGTAGGCTCGTCAAGACGGCCGCCTAGGGGCAGAGGTAGGTCACTTGATAGGCTTTGATGGTTCTTCCTCCTCAACAGCAGCGTTGACATTGGGTTCTTGAGAAAGGGCAGCCCTTTCTTGCCCTTGAGAGGCTCAATATTCAATACACTACTCGAGGGCAGGGATTCGCCCGGCGGGCGAGATCCAGAATGCCGCTGACTCGATGATGAGGAGCCGGCGAGGTTGTTAATGCTCAGCGAAGCGATCCCCTTGGAGCTGCTCGACGTCTGCGGCGATGGCCTCGACGGCGGGTCGGCCTTTTTGGGGGAAGTTTGACCATCGCCGTCGACTTGCTGTGCTTGCGCATTCCGCTGGTAGTTGCGGAGGGCAACTCCGCCAATGAAGCTGGAGCCGGCGCTGTATCCCGACCTTTGAGGCTGCGCAGGCCGGCTGACAGGCTGCGGCTGCTGCTGCGGCTGCGGCGGCGACTGTTTGTCGACATCTTGCTTGTCTCCAAGGCCGAGAGGGTCCAAGTCGAGGTCGCTTGACGTCACGCGGGCTATCGGCGGCAAGGTCGGCGGCAAGGAGGCGGACGCGGGCGACGGCTGCTGGACATCGAGGGGAGACGCCGAGTCGGGGTTGAGGGGCGACTGCTGGTGGCTCTGCAGAGACGAGGGCGAAGACTGATCGGGAGCGGGCGAGGAAGGGTTTGAGGGCCCCCGCCGGTGGAATCGCAGGTGGGAGAGCATGTCGTGCCGTGTGTCAGAGACGGCGGTCGAAGGTTGCACAAGACGTCCGAGGGGCGCGGTGAGGCCTAGACTCGGAGGATGGACGCAATGCGGGCGCGATCATAGCTCGCGGCGCCGGCTCCTGTGCATTGTCGGGCTCGCCTCTTGCTGTTGACCTCGATTTCGACGTGGATTTCGGGGCCGCGAGGGGTCTGCGGGCAGCCACTGAGGGCGATTGCGTCGAGCTGCAGAAGTCGTGTCGCGCGGGCTGGAGCAGTGCGTGCTCTTGGTTCAGGTTCCGCTCTCCTTGTGTGCCTGGTCAAGCTCGGCTGCTGCTCGGTGGACGCTCTCTAACGAAGCCGGCGCAAAAAAATCCGCGGTTTAGACGGGATTCAGCGCGGAAGAAGCTGGAGTCTCGCTGTGTGTGTGACGTTCTGGGCGCGATCGACAAACGGGCGGTCCCCATGGATACAAAGACACTGGTGCAGAATCCGGGCAGGACGGGTGCTAACAAAACTGAAGCGAGGCACGACCAATGAGAGGAGCGGGCCGGCACTTGGCATGTATCGAATACCGTCGGAGGAAGGCCCGTCACAGTGAGCCGCTGCCTGGACACCAAGTACAGATACAGCAGATCCTTTAGTATGGACCTTGTGGAATGGAAGATTCCAAGGCAGCTCAGGCTGCTGCTCAGGGCTTGTTTTTATTATCCTAAAACCATGTCCATCATGGGTGATTATCCTGTGCTGGGTAGGCAGGGCAGTTCATACAGTTAGCAGCGGCCGGTCCAGCCACGTGCGCTGCACTCTTGAGACTACGGGGGAGCCGAGATGCAGGGAGGATGAGGTCAGCAGCGATTCCTGGTTGTTTTCATCCCAGGAGGCTGAACCGGATTGATTGAATGCAGCACGTCGATGTGAGGGAGGGGAGATGGACATGTCCTGGTGTCTTATTGCTAGTTGCCTAGGCAATGCATCAGGCGTTTGCTGAAGAGACTGAAAATAGAAGAGCGGATAATACTAAGGTATTCTAGTCGCCTTGATGGCTTCCCAAAGGGGGAGTCTCCGAAGGTGGCTGGAAGACGGGCGACGGTTAAGGCTGTAGGCTCAAGACGGACGGCTTGTCCAACGTGGCCGGCGCTTACATTGTGATGGACAACTCAAAATGAGCATCTACTCTACCGTGAATGGTTGTCGTCGATGTGTTTTCCTTGAGTCGATGAATTCTGCAAGTCATTTGCATGCCATGGCACTTCCTCCCAACGATCCGCGTAGTGATGGCTGGATTGGAATGCCATCTCAACTGTTGTCCTGCCTCATTGCCAGCTGCCTACTTCTGAACGACTGATCAACAAAGCGGTGCGATCCCTTTTGAAGGGCAGAGATGAAGATAGCAGTACTACGTATGTAGTACTCGTAGTATGTAATACAGGAACTGCCGTCTCATTCCTGAGTGCGTGTATGTATGTGCTTGCAACCCGGGCCGGGTTCGGCAACTGGCGCCTGGTCATGGCTGATGGCTGACCGGCTCCGCCTCACCGGCAGACACTACCGACAGACCAATTCTAGATTTCGGCATCAGAGCGAGTTGGTCGAGGACTTGGAAGGGCGATGTACCGAGAGACGTGCAGAGAGAATAAGCTGTTTTCCTGCTTGCAATGGCTGGAACTGCGGGCACTGATGGTTTGAAAGGAGGAAGCCAAGAAGCAATACGCTGCCACAGCTACAAGGATCTCGATGCAGAAGCGCGGTATCAAGGCAGTCGACTCGTCGACCTTTGCTGGTACTTTTGTTGTGCATTTAGCCAGATGCGCTGACGCTGACAGAACGATGAAAATTACCCGACGTCCTCCACAGGGCGTGGCAACTTCCAAGTTGGTGGTTTGATCGACGCCATTCTGCAGGCTGAGGCACAACTCTTCCATCTTGTTGATTCTACATACTAGCGCTCCCCCTTCCACGCAACCGCGTTATTGCGGGAGCAACGCCAGATGAGGCTTTCGATGGCTTGACCAACCCATGATGAGTCCTGTAAACCTTTACCAGGGGGGCGCGTCCAGCATTGGCGCTCCCAACATGCGAGATTCCGTCGCGCGCCCCCTTTTCTAGATGGAGTTGGACCAAGTAAGGTAATGAGGACAGGTACAAGGACATGCAAGCGGGTGTGATGCATCGCACGAGAGTCCCCAATGCAGCTCGTTTTCATTCGTTCAAGCGTCCAATCGTGCAACTTATTAGATCATCTCACACGTAGGCCAAGGCGCAGAGCCCGTATTTCCTTCGTTTCTGCTCCGTACTCCATGCAGCTTTACTCCGGATTTGCGCTTGGCTGCTCGTTTCGGCCTCGTTTCGTGACTCTGCATTTTAGCTCAAGCACACGAGGTGGGCCATGTCGTTAGTTGACCAAGGACTGACGATATGTAGGTTGTTGAGCGTGCTTGGCTACTATTACCTACAGAAGCATCTGCGTTAGGAGCTGTAACTCGCAAATAGCCTTGACAACTCAACGGCATCTCGTGAAAATGCTCCCGCAGCGGCCGCGTCTCCACCACTCCCGAAGAAAAGGATGCACTGGCCTGTATTGCGGCATCGTGCAAAAGGCCAACCGCGGCAATGCGGCAACGACGAAGCCCCCAAACTGCGTTTCAGGCGCTCTAGCTGCCGGTCACATGGAGCCCAAATGCGCAAAGTAACGGTGTGGCAGTCATGCGGAGGATTCAAATGATTAGTTGTAAATTATACAGATTTCTATCTCGAGTGTTGCTGCTGAGGTATTCAATGCTCCCCTCCCCAGGCAAAGTCAACTGAACTGTCAGGAGAAGCAACAAGGTACCTTGCAGTATTGACGACTTACGTACTGACTTGCGTACCACCTTGCTGGCCAGTTGCTTGGCTTCAGACTTCAGACTTCAGAGTGGCAAGGGTCATCATTTGGTGACCAGACCTTGTCCAGTAATACCCGGGCAACATAGTCTTGCTCGCGTGCTCGCACTCCGTACTTGGCAAAGCCCAGTGCATGATTACGGGGGTTGTCAGTCCGTCAATTACTGCTAGTCTCTGCCCCTAAGGAACCGACTCCAATGAAAGGACGTGTAAGCTGTGCTACGCCACGACCTGTTGTTTCCTATCCCGCCGCCTCGACACGACATGATCTCTCTCTTTCTCCCTCTCGCACTCATATTACCTACTTCCACCATCACATAATACCTGTATTCATTCTTTGCCCTACATAATCGCTACCTATATCAACATCGCCCCCCCCTCCCTCTTCCGCACCCCTGGTTGATCGATCACCTTTAGGGGTCCGTCTAGCGCTGCTCAACGACCCCATGCAGATCCCCCCTGGCTCTCCATACTACAAGTTCAGATTGCTTTAATACTACGATACACGCCCGAGGCCTGGAGCCAACGCCTTGTTATATCCATCCCGTCTCATGCCTGCGCACTGAAGCGGCCATCTCTTTTTTTCCCTTTGTCCCTCTTCCTCTCCTTCTCCCTGGACCCCTAGAAGAAGAACCTCCCCCGCCGTCGCTTCACCATGAGCGGCTTCGCCAAGGACCAGCTCTCGGGCGACGGGCCGTCGAAATGGACTCACCGGGCAAAGGCATTCCTCCTCGTCTGCTCGCATCGCATGTGGCGGGGCGGTCCGCGATCCATACTGCAGATCTCCGCCGTGGCCTTTGTCCTGCTCATGCTCTTCTACTTCGTCCCGCTGCAGCTCGACGACCGCTACCAGCAGATGCTCACCTGGTCCGCGCCTGACCCGTCTGCCACGGGCGACCTTCGAATCGTCGTCTTCGGCTCGCAGGACTTGCTGGGGAGCGCGCCTGATGCGAAGCATACTCGGCAATCATGGCCGGAACACCTCTGCAGACAGGTAAGAACGGGACCAAAGCAGGCAGCTCGCTTGTGCTGTCAATATATGTCGACTCGAAATGCTAATGGACCGTTCTCCGTGTAAGCTCAACTGCCGCTCCGTTCTGTCCTTTGTTCCCCCGGTCGAATCGCAGCCCGGCCTCACCTCCAACAGCCTCTACGGCACGGAGATACGCGCCCTAGAAATGTTCAACGAGCAGGCGAACCTTACCGAGAAGCCAGCCCTCGACAACTTCTACATCCCGGAGCAGTACCCGGTGCCGTCAAAAACGCCCGACCTGGAGGCGCAGGTGCAAGAGTTCCTGACAATGTCCCCCCCTAAGGTGCCGCCTCGGGAGACGCTATGGGTATTTACCTTTGGCACATGGGAGACTTGGAACCTTGCCTCACTGCCGCGAGAAACTGGCGAAAGACTCATCGAGGAGTCGATCACGAACATGTTTACCCAAATCGAACTGCTCTACCGGAAATCGCTGAACCCAAAGTCGCCCGCCTTTTCCGACTTCTGGTCCAACGTTACCCAGGCGCAGGTCCAGGCTCTCACCAACCCCGACAACGACGTGGACGAGCGCAAGTTGGAGAGCTTCCGCGTCGTGATCCCGCAGCTCTTCGACATCACCCTCGCCCCGGGCTGGCAGAACCGCCCGGATCCGTCTGCGCCGCAATCGAGGGGCGTCCATCTGCGAAACGCTGCATACCTCACGCAGAAGTGGAACTCGATCGTCTCCAAACAGCTGGAGGACTGGAGGAGGAAGGGCGACTCCAAGCCTGAGGGCATCGAAAACGAGGGCATCGACACGGCCTCGACGGTTCCGACAATGTCTTCTCTGCTGCAGTATCTCCCGGAATCGCTTCGGCCCAAGGCAAAGGACAATAACGACGCTACCAAGGAAGATGTCATTTATGCGCCCTACCCACGGCGCCTGGGGCTACAGTCCACGCTGGTCAGCAATGTCTTGGATGCCATGACGGAAGAAGAGATGCAGAGGTCTGGCCTGAGAGACAGCAGAGGCCGAGGCACCAGGCCTGCAGACGATGCGATGCGGTTCTTTGACGTCTGGACGCCCTGTACCGCCGGTAATCGAGCGGTTGTTGGCATCGGCAAGGCTTATGCCAATGGCGGCCAAGAATGCGAGGTCCCGAACGACCACCTATTCTACGACCAGTTTACCTTTGGAGAGCGTGCCAAGGAGGAGCTGGCGAAGAGGACCTCTGATCAAATTCGCGAGACACTGTTTGTTTCATAAAGGCTTTTGGTTGATGTACGGGCAGATGGGAGACTTGCGCACAACAACAACAACAACGCAGCGGAGCGTCGTTTGGAAAGCACGATATCATAGTTTTGGCGGGCATGTTTTCAGCAGAGGGACCGGCGAAAGGCGTTTATATCTGGCTTTAATTTTCAAGAATCTCGGATGTAGATACACAGAGGAGTGGGGGGAACATATATGGCTGGGCATTGTCTGTACGGCTGTCTGGATTGGTCATGAATGGGATATCTCTGTTGAGCCTTGGATACGAGGCGCTTTGAGACGAGAAAAGACCACTTCTCAGTGTTATGCATAGTGTACATGAGTCTATTACCCGCTGAGATACATTGAATAATACGAAAAAAAAAAAAAAGTCGCAGGGCGGCCATGGGCTGAGAGCCACTTACTTTGGTCTCTCTAAATCGAAACAGAAATCCCCCCTTTACGCTACGTGTACAGTGACATTGTGATCCAAAGCGCCGTTAATACCAAAAAGAAAATGAAGAGCGCATGACTACCCAGTAGTATGAGAGAAGCGCGAGACGTGACAAAAGCACTTCAACTTGAAGAGTGCTTCTGGATCACATTCTTGACCAAGTCCAGACACTCGTCCGGATCCTCAAAGACGTGCCAGGCATCCCGGGGAATGCCGGTAAACGCCTTCTCGAAGCGCTGCGGCTCGTTCTTCTCCGCGAGCCCAATGGCGGCCGAGTCGGTGTCCTTGCGGATGAAGATCATTCGGATCCAGCCCGGGAACATTCGGTAACTGTGAGAAAGAGCACGTTAACGTTAACCTTGTTCATACAAGTTTTGTTCAGTCTGTGACCAAGCGACGACTTACATCTCGCCATAGGCCTCGGGATCAGACTGCGTCGAGTCCCCAAAGACAATCAGCTTCCTCCTGGGCAGCCACCCGTGCACCTTCTTCATCCGATCCACCTTGTACTCCTCCGTGCCCATCGTCAGCGAGGAGAGCAAGCCCGTGATGGTCTTCCAGCTCGAGTCCCGCAGGATGAAGGTGCCCTGCGGGAAGTGCTCGTCGCGGAAGCCCTTGAGGAAGGGGTACAGGTTGTACGGCGAGGCGGACAGGTAGAACCAGGGCGTGTCGCGCGGGAGGAGGGACTTTATGCCCGCGTAGAGCTCGGGCATGCCCGGGACGGGGCGGGGCTGGTTGATGAACGTTTCCTTGAGGATGCCGACGGGGTCGCTTGTCGTGGTGATCTTGATGGTGTCGTCAATGTCTGATATGATGCCCCATCCTTCAGGGCCGGCAAAATGCGTCTCCATGCTCAGGACGCCCCCCACGCCCTCGACGTCGCACGTCGCCTTCTTCGTATGATGCGACGCCTTCTCGGCATCGTGCACCAGCGGCAGCACGTTGGTCGAAATGCCATTGAGCCCGCTCGGCCCCAGCTTCAGCTCCGAGCCCCCTTGCTGCGACACCGTCGCCGCCCGGCCCGCGCGAATGTCCCACAGGAACGGCAGCAGCCGCTGCTCGATCGTCTTGAGCTCCTCCGCTTCGTCCGCCAGGCCGAGGATGCTCGCGATGCCGGCGACGATGTCGGTGACTTTGCATTTTGGCTCGTCTTCGAAGACGGCCATGATGAACTCTGCTTGCCATGGGGTGTTGTTGTTGTTGTTGTTGTCGTGGTCACCTTGAGCTGACGATGATGATGATGAAGATGATGCTGATGGGGATTGCTGCTGTTGCTTGTACGCCGTGTTATCAAAGAGCCAAACAATGTCGCCCTTGGCAATGGCCTTGGAAAAGGGCACCCGAATGCTCATCTCGTTGAGGACGTTGCTGATGGAGAAGCCATACGGCACCGACGCCCGCGGGTCGGGCAGCTTCTTCTCGATCTCGTCGAACTTGGCGTGCTTCCTGGTCCGCAGCTGCATCTCTTTGGCCACCTCGGAGGGGATAAAGTCCAAAACTTGGTCTTTGTTGTTGTTGTTGTCCATTTTGAGAAACTTGCTGTGCCGGGGGAGAGACAGGCAACTTATTTACACGTATTTGGTGGACGACAGGTGAGGCGGGTGACTCGATTGGGGGGGCGTTGAGTGCTTTCGGGGAGTCTGTTGATCGGTGACGGGCTGAGATGGCTGTATCCAGACTTGTTGCTGTTGAGGAAGGGCGGGTGACTTAGATTGGGGCGAGGCTTGTTGATGGGCGACGGTTAAAGATGGATTGCTATATTCAGACTGCTGGTGTTGTTGAGGCGAAGGCGCTTGTGTCAGCAGGTACACGATGTGAGCCTCGTGGCACGAATGTCAGATGCGAAGAAGATGTGGTACAAGGTTCAGCGACAGGTAAGACTTGGAGAGAATCCAAGAAAAGAAATCTGTAAGTCCAGGGGTTCCCACCTTATAAGATTCTAAACAGGCATGGAACAGTCTTCACATGCAAGCAGGGTTGCCTTGTTCCATGAAGCTGAAAAGAGAAGAAGACAAGAGAGGGGGCCGGCCGCCAATAGGAGCGTCATCCGCCGTCAGCAACACACAACTCCGACGGCTTTTCCAGCCCTAGAAGACGCGAGAGTGCATGAGCAGATGGAGTCATAGTGAGCCAAACCGGTAATCCAACGATGAAAATGCATCGCCTCCCCCCCTTGACCTGAATTTGTTAGCGATTTGCGGTGCTTTCATATGACCCAAGCGAGCCATCATCGACTTTGGAGGGCCGTGAGGGTGGGGTAGCTGAACCTGGAACTGGGATCAAAGACGATGAAACCTTTGCAGTAACGGAACCAAAACACGACCTCGACTACTTGTACAGGCCAACTCAAAAGACAACTCCGGGGGATCACGGGGCTCATTGGCTGGGGTTTCGCCTTACGGGCTGAAGAAATAAGGTTAAGAACAAAGAAACGCCTTGCCGACTTGTCGCGTGCTGCTCATGCAGGTCAGCTGCCTTTTGTCTCCGATGATTTCATTGTTTAGCTGCGAGCTGGAGAGGGGCGATATTGCCATGCATGCAATAGCCAGCCCTGGCATACTCCGTCTATAAGTAGTAATTAATGCATACATACTACATGTAACTAGAGTAGCAGCCCGACTTCGATCAGCAGATGCCCAGAGTCGGGATGGGTCAGTATGACATACACAGGATCTGCACTCGACAACATGGAGGAAATCACCGAACCGAGGCAGAAGTAGTTGAGCGCATATAGAGTATGTACACGTCTTGTTATTGTTCATCCATGCCGATATCCTGCGCAGAGTATAATTTATGATTTCGTTTGCTCTTGTATCCTTACAACAAGCATATTCCCAGCCTCGAACTTGTCCACCAATCGCTGCCTTGATGACCTATATCTACTCCAGCACCGACGACTTGCTCGTGCCGCTCTCGGCCGCCGACCACCCCTCCACGCTCGTCTCAAACACAAACGCCTCGGCAATGTCCTCCTCGAAGCGGCTGTCAGTGGCCTTGAGCTGCTCAAACGACAGCTCGTTCATGGGCATGCCCGTCTACTGCGACTTGGCCACATGGCACCCCACTGCAGCGTCTCCGAGACAAAGTCACGGTCCGAGGCGCCAGCCATGGAGTTCCCAGATCAGGCCGTCAAAGCCAAGCTCCTGGGTGACCATTGTCGCGGTCGATCTCAAAGGGGTTTCCGGCGAGGGCACCGCAGCCTAGCGAATTCCCTGAGCCTCTCAAGGTCATTGGCAAAGGCGAACCCGTACGAGAGCATCCAATGGCTCCATCGGATAGGCTGTGCTCGCTGAAGGTGTTTGTATCCAAGCATGAGATAGCCAATCTCCTGCTCAGCACAAGCTACGATGACGTTGAGAAAGTTGATGAAGTGCTACTCGATCTATTGGAGCTCGTCGCGGAGCCACATCCGCATGTCACAGACACATGTTCATTGCGGCTGCGGCCGGTGTGAAGCTTGCCAGCAATGTTTATGCAAATAATCTCGTCGAATTGGCGCTCGTTGGCAGTGAAGATGTCCTCATCAGCTCCAGAGACGATGGTGAAAGTGCCAGCCTCCCACTCCTTTTCGATCTCATGCAGGCCCTGCTCGAGCTTCTCAAACTCCTCCTGGGTGATGATACCAGCCTTTGCGTTTGGCCGGGCAAAGGCAGTGCTTCCCACAACGTCCTGCTTGTAGAGCACCCTGTCGAATTAGATGAGAAGACGAGCAAGAGTTCAGATGAAGCTCCGTCCGTCCATTGCACTCCCCCCCGGTGGTGGAGCCCTGACTCTTTAACATTAAGCAGCGCCTCAACTGCCTCCGGTCGGCCACAGAGGGGCAGAATTGCTGTTGGCAGGACCCCGCGAAAGAAAAAATCTCTGACTGATAAGCGGCCAGCAGGGTCTCGGAGAGGTACCGTTACAGCTGAGCTGCAAGGAGCGGGCCCTGTGAGACATTGAAACACACGCAGAAGTGGGCACGGCTTCGTACAGGTACCAGCGGGCGCCGACAAGCCGTTATCGTAGCGCTATCGCTTCTCCTACTGCCACTGCCCCGCCTTCACCCCACCTAAAAGTTCGAGAGAAAAACTGAGCTGCTCAAACATGATCGACAGCCCTATTGGTGGCTTCTGATAGCAGGGATACTCTTAGAGGGAAAAAATAGAGGCGACGAGCAGCTTGAAATCTCTTCCTTCGAGTGACTTTCTGGCATTGGCCTCTCCAGGTGCTGGACGGACCATTGCTCTCATCTCTCGCCCGAAGAGAGAGACTGGATCTGGGAATACTTTGGAGATTCCACCAACAGCCCGTCACATCCATCCAACAATGGCCGACCTTCGGATCCTCCTCATCGGCAACGGTGGCCGCGAGCATGCGCTGGCCTGGAAGCTGAGCCAGTCTCCTCGCGTCGAGGCCATCTTCGCGGTCCCTGGAAACGGCGGCACGGCGACGTGCCCCAAGACCACCAACGTCTCCTCCGTCTCGGCCGACGACTTCCCTGCCCTCGTCCAGTTTGCGCAGTCCAACGGCGTCAACCTGGCTGTGCCCGGCCCCGAGGCGCCTCTGGTTGATGGCGTCGAGGGCTTCTTTCGCAAGGCTGGCATCCCTTGCTTCGGTCCCTCCAAGGAGGCTGCTCGTCTGGAAGGCAGCAAGACGTACTCCAAGGACTTCATGAAGAAATACAACATCCCCACGGCCGCCTACGAGAACTTTTCCGACTACAACAAGGCGGTTGCCTATGTTGACGGCGTCAACCACGATGTCGTCATCAAGGCTACCGGTCTGGCTGCTGGCAAGGGTGTCATCATCCCGCAGACCAAGCAGGAGGCCAAGGATGCGCTCAAGGAGATCATGGTGGACAAGGCTTTCGGCGATGCTGGCGACGAGGTCGTCATTGAGGAATTTCTCCAGGGCGACGAGCTCAGCGTCCTCACCTTTTGCGACGGCTACTCCATCCGATCCCTTCCTCTGGCCCAGGACCACAAGCGGATATTCGACGGCGACCAGGGTCCCAACACGGGCGGCATGGGCTGCTATGCCCCTACAAACATTGCGACCCCCGAGCTCGTCCAGCAGATTGACAGAGACATCCTGGAGCCTACCATCTCGGGAATGCGAAAGGAGAAGCAGCCTTTCCGCGGTGTCTTGTTCACCGGTCTCATGATCACCCCCAACGGCCCCAAAGTCCTCGAGTACAATGTGCGATTCGGCGACCCCGAAACTCAGACGGTTCTCCCTCTGCTCTCCGCTGACACCGACTTGGCCGAGATTATGCTGGCCTGCACGGGCGGCTACCTGGACAACTGCCACCTGTCCGTCGAGAAGAAGTTCAGTGCTACTGTCGTCCTTGCTGCCGGCGGCTATCCTGGCTCGTATGCCAAGGGCACTCCCATGACTGTTCAGACACCTCCAGCGGGAAGCACCATCTTCCACGCCGGCACGAAGCTCGAAGGGGGTCAGCTCAAGACGTCTGGCGGCCGTGTGATCGCCATCAACTCTGTTGGCGAGTCGCTGAGAGCGGCTGTGGATGCCTCCTATGCCGCTTTGGCTTCCAACGTCATTGATTTCGAGGGCAAGTTCTACCGCAAGGACATTGCCCACCGCGCTTTCAGAGACGCGAGCAAGGTGTCCATGACCTACGCCCAGGCCGGCGTCGACATCCAGGCCGGCAACGACTTTGTGGAGAAGATCAAGAAGGCCGTTGCCAGCACGAAGAGGGCCGGCGCCAGTGCCGAGATTGGCGGTTTCGGCGGCGAGGTCGATCTCTCGCAGTGCGGATATCCGAATGCGCCCATCCTGGTCGGTGCCATTGACGGTGTCGGCACCAAGCTGATGATTGCGCAGGCGATGAAGAAGCACGACACCGTGGGCATCGATCTCGTGGCCATGAACGTCAACGACCTGGTCGTTCAAGGCGCCACTCCCCTGATGTTCCTCGACTACTATGGCTGCAGCAAGCTGGATCTCGCTGCCGCCGCAGACTTTGTGGAGGGCGTTGCTGCTGGCTGTATTCAGGCCGGTTGCGCCCTGGTTGGCGGCGAGACGGCCGAAATGCCCGGCATGTACAAGGACGAGGACTACGACGCCGCCGGCTGTGCCGTCGGCGCCGTCACCAGCGACGGCATGCTTCCCCGGAAGGATGCCATGGCCGAGGGCGACGTTCTCCTGGGTCTCGGATCCAACGGCGTCCACTCCAACGGCTTCTCTCTTGTCCGCAGGATCGTGCAAGCCGCCGGCTTGGACTACTCATCCCCTGCGCCCTGGGATGCTTCCAAGACCGTGGGCGAGTCCCTCCTGACGCCCACCAAGATCTACGTCAAGAGCCTGCTGCCGGTCCTCGGCAACATCAAGGGTCTCGCACACATCACGGGAGGCGGGCTGCTCGAGAACGTGCCCCGCATGCTCCCCGACTCGCTGGCGGCAGAGATTGCCTTCGGCACTTGGGAGATGCCTCCTGTTTTCCAATGGCTCAAGAAGGCGGGCAACGTGGCTCCCGCAGAGATGTGCCGTACCTTCAACGCTGGTATCGGCATGGTGGTGGCCGTGGAGGCCAGCCAGGTGGAGGCTGTTGTTTCGGCTCTGCGCAGCGGTGATGAGCGTGTTTACACTATTGGTAAGCTGGTCCGTAGACAAGCTGGCCAGCCCGGCTGCGTTGTTGAGAATCTGGAGTCCTGGGCATGAGGGGTGGTGATCCAGGGGGGTCTGGGGACTTGCAAAGAGGTTTAGGATCGAAATTTGGAAACGGAAAGAGGCGTACAAAATACCAGGGTTTGGTAGAGGGGTGGGAGTGTCTTATAAAACAGAACTATTATCTAACGACAACAATGGATTCAACGAAAGCCATATGTGCATAAGCACTTTCTTTCACTCTAGGTGCCAGGCTTCTTGCTACCTACAGGCTGAAAGTAACTACAGTCGTTTCGCTTTTGCTTCAAGTTGCTTCAAGTAGCTTCTGGTTGATCTAAGTAGCTTCAAGTTGCTATCACTTGGAAATTCTCAACTAGGAACTTGAAACAGCCCTGGCTCGCTTGATCTGCTCGATAAACAGGCCGGGGAGTCTCTTGATACAATCCGGCTCTCCGTGCAATGCCGCGGCGCTGGACTCGATGTATCGATCCTGGAACATTGTCCAAAGCCTCTGATCCGCCAGATTGCTGCTCCCAGGCCGGGGAAAATAAGGGTCATTGCCCCAAAAGGCACGATTCGCCTGATCAACGCCCTCCTCGTCGAGAGACATGTCTCGGCAGAGGTCGAAATCCAGAATCCACACCTCGTGGGGACCCAGGACTGCAGTATTAGAGCAAGATATATTACCTCCAGTCCTGGTCGCAGACAATATATCTGGTCGGCATCGAGGTCGACCGAGCACAAACTCGACATCATTGCCGTCAACGTGGGCGACCCAGTGCAGGAACGCCAAAGCGTCCGCCATGGCCACCGCATAGCCGCTCGGATCAAGTCCAAGCTGCTCCATCTGATCCATATGCAGCGGGTAGTTGCGCAGGCTGAGTGCTCGCAAGAAGCGTCGTCGTCGTCCTGATGATTCTCCCGAGCTTGCCGTCTCCATCTCACTCTGGTGGTATCTCCGGCGGCCGAGATACGGTCGAAGGAGGCAGTGTTCGTTGCTCTGGCTCCTCATAATCTCCTCTTCGTCTACATCAGGCCGAAACTTGTGCACGAGGAGTCTCCGGGCGGATTCCTTGACGGGGAGAATCTTTTCGCTGACGATGGCGTTGCAGGCAGTGTAGTCGGGGGGAAAGCGTGGCAGAATGACAGACCAAGCTGCGGCGTCATCGGCAGCGAGAAAGCCAACGGATCGAGGGATGGCAAACGACGATAAGCTTGATTGCGTGGAAGCTCTCGTTATCTTCTGATGGACTCGGTATTCGTGCGATATCGACCTTCCGGTGCTGCCATCCTCGCGCTTCATGGCCAGATGGCTGTGGTCATCGCAGGCTGAACAGCGGACGGCCCAGACGGTCCCGCAGCGCCCTTGGCCTATTCTTTCGAGCTGCGCGAGTGAGCTTGAGATGGTGAGCTCTTCCATCTTGGTCATCTCCGCGATGGACGAGTCCATAGCTGGCAGTACTGAGAACAATTGTGATGTCGATATCATGGGGGAGTTGTTTGTTTTCCAGGTTGGGGTTTGTTCTCTTTTTCAGATCTCGATGTGCAAAGAGGAAGAAAAGAGGAAAAAAGGAGAGAAAAAAGGAAGAAGAAAGATTGGGAGTCTGAAAGTTTATATATACTTGTGAGGCTTGTTTCCAGCGCGAACCCAAATCGCCAGCATCATCATTAGGCCGGGTCTTGTCCGTGCTGTACATGAAGCCATCGGTCTAGCTTGCAGCTACCGCGAAGTCTATGTACGCCACTGGATCTTCCCGAATGCCTGAAACTGCGCCTTGGATCTTGAGATCCGAGGCATGGTTTTCATGTGCTGGGATGAGTCCCTGCCAAAACTCATAACCTCTTCAGCAAGTCACGCTTCCCCATGTTCTAATCCAACTCAGTTACAATCTAGTCTAATAGTCCCTTCATCTCCAGGACAAACCTTGCGCCTCAATGCCTATCCAACCAAGCAAGGTACCCCTCTATCAAGTCTTTTTTCCAATAAAGGCACCCCATCTACCATACCTTTCCAAAAAAAGACGTTGCGGTAACTCTAGATTCTGACGAGTAAAAGTCTATTCCCGCTTTGGTGACGCATCTGCATTTCCCAGTAACCTCGCCGCAGACGGGATGGGCCAGGCAAGTTGAGGAACCGGATCCTCACGGACTTCGCCCGATGTGATGGCGTCGACGAGGGCCACGCCAACATAGCCCCCGATGCAGGTCAAGATGTGCCACCTGCTCCCATCTTCGTTAGAACAATGACGGGCCACTCAAAAGTTTTGCAGAAGTAAAAAGCATACCATCCGTGTAGCTCGAGGAGAAAAGCCAGGGGAAGGCCAGCCGAATGCTTCAGCGAAGTCAGCAACGAGCATAGCCAGTCATCCAGCAGCCACACAAAGTATCCAAAGGCGAAATTGACTAGTTCACAGCATCGTAAGTTCTAGAAACTCTCCCTCGTTTGAAGGGATCGGAGTGGGCAAATAAAAAAAAACATACAGCAGCCAAATAGCGAGACATTTCGAAGATTCTTCCTAATGCGCTCATCTGGCACTTGTTGGTTGATGAGCTTGAGCGTTCGAGTGGCAATCAGATACACGGCAAGGCCAAAGGTCGTTGCATGAAGGAGGAACTCGTCCATGACCATGTGCGTGACCATGACCACCGTGAAGAGGACGGTCAGAAGTACGCCCACGATCTTGGTACGCTGCGGGCTGCTCTTGAACGTCAAGAGGCGATACACCATTGGCGTCGTCAAAAGATGCATCGACAATTCGTCCGCTGGAGGAGGTGTGAAGGTGAGAAAAACGAGCAATGATCTGCCAGAGGTAAAGGGGGGTTTGGTAGCAGCGTACACATTTGGGTGTGATATTTCAAGGTCATATGATAACTGGCAGAGCAAATGCCTACGCCGATCAAGCCACTGTAAGAGATCAGACGAGCGAGAGTCTGGCCATTGCGGCCGGGTCTAGCCAGGCCATATACTCCGTAGACGACTGCAGGGACAAGTAAAAGAGATTAGTGAACGTCGAGATCCAAGACAGCATTGGGCCGTCGCGGGTATATGCAATTGCACGGACCGAAAGCTAAGCTGCTGAGCGTATTGATAAACTCAGCGACATATCGTGTAACGACATAGTCCTAACATCTCGCAACGGCTCGTTAACGGGTTTGGCCCATCCAGCCGCATAGGCAAAAGAGAGGGCATGGGAGAGGAACTACCTCTTCGCAAAAGCTAGGTTCTGTAAGCTATAACAGCCCCAACCAAGACAATGGGCAGAACAGGTTCGAGACATACTTCAGATTAGACGTGGGCTCGCCCCAAAATGGTTGGCCTAGAGAATAATGCATTGTCTACCAAGGTATATGGTATATGGCCGTGAAGGACGCGGGAGAGGGCCGGTCTTTGCTATGTATGTACCAAGTCATGGAGGGAGCAGAGTTGGCCTCGGTTGGACACCCGATCTCTTTTGGGGATGCCACGTAAAAACAGCGCGGCTGAGCCAATGAAAGACTATGGATCTGAGTTGCCGCATCCACCCGTTGGCGGGGGTCGCTTAACTACCAGAAACGGAACTTCGGATGAGGTTAAAAATGCTAGCAAGGACAGTGTGAGATGAGCTGAAATAGATCAGACGAGATCAAGTAGATCAGATGAGACGAAGTAGATCAGATGAGCTGAAATAGATTGAATAAGCTGAACTAGATCAGAGCCAAAAGCCTCAGAGGGTTGCTAAACGCTATGAACTGGCCGCCAATAAATTGCTCGCTTCACTTTCTGACAATGTAAGACAACACTTGATCCGCCATTCCCTAATAAAGGCTGTTCAATAGGAACCCAGATCCGGAACCTCCATAAACACATCCCGACAACAGCTCAACCAAGACCCAACCGGGCACAGGGCTTCTCAAGCCATCTTCCATCCCCTACTTCTTCCACACATCCTTCCACCACTCCTTGAACCCATACGGCTGTGCCCTCGAATCGTGAATCTTGACAGTATCTTTGGCACCCAAGTTCCCTATTATCCCGTCGCCTGTAAATGGAGACGGTTTGGATGTAAGCCTCGACGTAGCGCGCGGCCCTGTAGCCCTCTCCTTGATCTCCTTGGCAAGCAGAGGAGCGACATCCGCAAAACAGGCATCCAGTTCTCGCTGGAGATTGTAGTATGGCTTCTTGGCCAGCTCCGGAGCCATGAGATTATAGCTCCTCGTGATGGCGTTCAGCTGCTCTATTGACAGCTCCAGATATGCACGTTCCGCCTTCTCCCAGTCTGGATCCCGGAATGGCCTTGGCAGGGGCCCGAGATCTTGCTCGCTGGGTTCTCTTGCATCCTGCTCCGTTTCGTCGGCAGCTTTCCCGGCCACCTGTCGAGGATTATGTACCCTCTCTGCCGCGGCATATTGCTCAGCTCTGGCCATCTGCTCCTCCAGCGAGCCCCCCTTGGCGGCAATCATCCTCGCAGCGTGACGCTTCCAATCAGCCCTCAGCCTCGAACGAAGGGCATTCGCCGCCCGTGACAGCTCCTGCTGCTTCTCGATCCATGGAGGCACAATGTCTTGGCGCTGAACGATCCTGTTCAACAAGTACTCTGTAGTGTCAACGTACGGGTTGCTTCGTTCCAAGTCAAGCTCTACCCCTTTGCCCCGCGCGATATTCTTGAATTGGCCCCTGGCAATGGCATTTTCGATATGATCATTGGCCAGCGCCGCAAGTCCCGATGGCGTAGCTGGCATCACTCGCGCGACTGGTTCGAATCTTGATCGAAACAAGCTCTTCAACTCTTCTCGTTCTTTCTCACTCAATCCTTTGTCCTCCTTCATGCCCATGCCAGCGTAGAAAGACGCTCGATCCCGAGCCTTCAACGCCCTTTGCGGAGGAGGAACCACCGGAGTCCGCTTCACCCGGGGGTCAATGACAGGCGGCTGGAACTTGCCCCTGAGCTCCGGTTTCAGTGGTTTTCTGGCATCGTCCAGCATCCTCAGCACTGCATCCTCCGTAGCTTCCTCGCCGGTCCATGGTGCCGAGGTGGCGACATGTCTGGTGCCCTCGCCGGCCGTAGAAGTGAGGTCTCTCTCTGTAAAAGCGCTTGCATGCTCCTGTCGAAAGTTTGCATCCGCGATTTTGCTCAGGAGCTTCTCCTTGAGCTCATCTGAGAATCCAGCATCCTCCACGGCACGTCTGCCGGATGAGCCGCCGCTGTACATTGCTTCCTCCGTCGCCTCTTGCAGCCTCCGCGTCATTGCCCCGGGCTCTTGTGTCTGCAAGTCATCCTCGTCGGATGGCCTGGATCCGTTTTTCCCATCTTGTTTCGTTTCATCGCCTTCCCTCTCCGAGTGATTTGGCTGTGAGGAGTATCGGCGTGTCTCTAGCGGGCCGAAGCGAGCTGCATTGCGGAGACATTGCTTGCATAAAGATGGCGAAGGGCGAGATATCATGGCCAGAAGAATTATTGGCAGTATGGAAGTTTTGACTGTTCGAAATGCAAGCTCTGCAGGAGTGGCGATGCTGAGGACAATTGATGCAACTTGATGCCCGAAAATCTCATGGTGATAGATGAGTCTTAGTCAGCCGGACGTTGCCTGCGTCACCAATGTGGCGAACTACCTTGCCTACTACAATCGCAACAACAAGCAAAACAAGCAACATGGAGTGACAATCAGCATTTGAAACTACATTTCGTCTATGAACAAAAATATGAGCAGAAAGAGAAATTCAATCATAAAGGCGGACAAAAGAAGACAGGTCTCAGTAGATTGCAAGGACAGGGAGAAGAAAGGCGCTGTTGTTAAGGCCAGGAACGGATCTTTTCTGTAAAAGCACCATAAAGGCCCGTATCAGATGAGCGTGGTTTAGCTGGTCGTTGAAGCGAACCATACCCAGAGATAGGGTAGATCTGATTTGCAATGAAACATCGAGCATCAAAACGAAGAAATTGAGCCCTATGTCATGTACTTGCTACCGAGGACGAGCACTTCTCTCAGAATCTCAGATATTGTCTTCTCTCCGCCTTTGGCCGGCGGCAGAATCACATGATAATCATGGCCATGCGAGACTGTAACCAACACCTCCCCAGATTGCGCTAAAGGCGGTGTGACCGAGACTAGCCGATCAACAGCTGTGGACAGGATTTTGTTGGGAAAAACAAACAGCAAGGAAGCTGAGAATCATGATACGATCTCTCGCCGTACAGACGCCGGCGAGAAGGCCGAACTGCGAGCCTACTGTAACACAATCCAGGCCCTTCTGCTAGTTCGAGAACACGCTTGGTGTGTTGCTGATGACGCACGCCAAAGCTTGACAAACAAGGCCTCCTGGTTGGCCAGAAGAACAGCTTTTCGGTGAATCCTGGGCCAATGACAGCCCGGGGTTCGCTCTTGTTGCTTCAGGTGGGAGCGGGAGATTCACTGCTAGCCTCGCTGTCATGTTTGGCGCGCTCTCTAGCCTGAGCCGCCCTGTAAATTCGGTTTTGCGTACAAGATGTTGGTTGGCTTCAAGATTCCCTATCGTTTATCGTGGCTTGAATAGATGTTGGTCGTAACTCAGCTGTTATGCCAAGATGCTGGACTTGACATGGGCAGACATCCAAGAAACGAGGGCGTGTCGGGACGAGAATGTGAATGACGACACCTCCTGGCAAGCCACCCTTTGGAATGCTTGACATCGGGAGGCGCCACAGGCCGGCGTCAGGTCCATCATTGGGCGGAAGCTGAGCCGATGCAGTCTTTACGTGGTCTGAGCACTCAAACAGGCCGTTGGGAGGAGGATATGCAGCCCAGCGTGGGTGTCACCTTGGCGCCTGTTCTCCGCATTTGCAAAGCTGTAGATCATCCTTGGGATAAGGACAGGACTAAGATCGTGAGGCCGTGCTTTCGCTCAGCGTTCGGTATACAAGCCAGCCAATCATGTCGCCGCTGTAGCTGGAGGATGAACGAATAAGGTACCTCATGTCAAACCCCAAACAAACTCATCACTCTGGAAGGGTGTTTGTTACGGAGAACTCGTACGGAACAGGGTTGTAGGGAGTCGGAACATTATACTTGTACTCTGTGCATGGCTCCCTTTGCGGCTCTTGCCGTTACTAGTACGATTGTAAGACGATAGCGCCTACCGCAAGCGATGCAGGCGAATCTGGAAACGTGGAAAGAAGCAGGGACGGGACAGGAAGGAGATGAATCAAGGGAAAGAGTGCGAGAGAAGAAAAGAAGGAAGGAGAAGAAGAAAATTATTCTCTCAATGACCTGCTCTTGATCCCGAACTCGGCCTCGACTCTCCGCCATCAACGTGAGACCCGGCATGTCGCTCGACCGATTGTATCTCGCAAGCCTCGAAAGACGTTGTTTGAAGCAGCCAACGAATCGTCCCCGCGATGCCACGGTGCCCCAATGCACCGCATCGCCGCGCAGCAGTTCGTGCCGCTGGGCCTGGCCGAGCCAATGCACTCCACCGCGCCTTGCCCCTACCAGCAAGGCCTGTCGACCGCTCACGATGTCGCCGGGCGCTCGCACCTATCAGCGCCATTCGTTGAGAGCACGGGGAGACGCTTCGCTGCGCTGCGCTGCAAGGCCAGCTCGACGCTACCGGCCGGCCCCCCCACACTGCGTCTCAGACAAGGCTCGCAGCCTGCTTCCGCCGTGCGCAAAGGCCAAGCAACCCCCAACCTCCAAAGCCCCGGGCTGGCTGTCCCTCCACCAGAACCCGGTCTACGTCGGACCCGGCCGTGCTGATTGGCCGGAGGCGGCGATAGAACCGTCCTTGTGGAAGGCTACTGCGCACTAGAGGGGAGGATGGTCTTTCAATCACAAGCATAGGCACAAGCAACACATGCAAAATGCCCAGCTTGGCGATGGGATCTTCGCGTGGTCTTTTACCACAAAGGGTCCCTGCAGTGCATGGTCCCTTAGCCTTGGTCGTGTGCCTTTGATGGTTACGTCGCGTTGTGGTTCTGTTGCTCTGCGTGGCCATTTAACACATGCTCTCCCGCACTTTTTTTGTCTTCTCGTTCTCCATTCTCGCCGTTGTCACTGGGTTGGTCCTACTGTTCTTGGCAGTATAGTTGTCTTTTGTTCTCCTGTTGTGGTTTCTCTGAGGAGTCGCAGCCGTGTCTTTCCTGCTGCTCTCTTCTACGTTGTCTCCTCCGCCGGCCTGGTCAATCTTCTCTCATGGTCTAGACTATGCTCAGAGGCCGCAATTGACATTCACCTACAATACCTCCGTCGCCCTCCTCCGCATTCCTACGACCGTTTCGGGCGAGACAAGCCAAAAGCGACTTCACTTGGAAAAGGTGGACCGAAGCTCTCCTGTGCTTTTCTGAGCCCAGTGTTGCTGCACCTTGGCTTCTAGTGGACATACGGAATTCCTCAGTTGCGCTCAATCCATCATCCGCAGCCATGGCTACTGCTACAAGCTTGGACAAGTCTGCCGTTGACGCCAGCTCAATGGAGAAGAAGATCGAGGCCGGCAACAACGATCCCATGCTTGGTGAGCTTAGGAATGCCGACGGATCGTCGCTGCGCAGCGGCGAGGATATCCTCTCCCTGCAAGATCTCGATCCTGCCCTGAACATGAAGATGCATCTTGTGAACAACGTGAGTGATATCAGAGGCTACGCTGTGGCCTCAGCTGAGTGACGGCGAACGACGAGAGCTACTCCGTGTCCCAACTCTCAAGCTTCGAGTCCCCTCTCCAAAATGCTTCAGAACTGACATTGGATCAAAGGCAATTGATGAGATTGGTTGGACTGGCTACCACTGGAAGCTGTTCTTCCTCAATGGGTTTGGGTAAGTATTCCTGTTCCATAATTATCAGCCCGCACTGCTCTCGTCCACATATCCTTTTCTCCCCACGGCCCTGCTCCAATCCTGTGTATAACATGAGATAATGTATGCTTACACATACTAACTTACGACGTGTTGTAGCTACGCTGTGGACTCCTTGATTCTCCTCTTCCAATCCATCGTCGCCCCCGCGGCTTACCTCGAGTTCGGCCAGAAGGGCTACTCCAATGCACTCACCATTGCCGTATATGTCGGCATGCTGACAGGCGCCCTCTTCTGGGGCTTCAGCGCCGATGTCATTGGACGCAAGTGGGCTTTTAACATTACCCTCTTCATTTGTTCCGCAAGCTGCATTCTAGCTGGTGCTATGCCCAACTGGCCAGCCCTCGCATTCTTCATTGCCCTCCTCGGCTTTGGCGGTGGCGGCAATCTCATCTTGGATACGACCGTCTTCCTCGAGTATCTTCCGAGCAACAAGCAGTGGCTGCTGACCTTCTTGGCGGCTTGGTGGGGTCTTGGACAGGCCGTCACCGGCTTCATTGCTTGGGGTTTCATGGTTCCCGCGAAGTGGAACTGCACCGATGTCGACACCTGTACCAAAGCCAACAACTGGGGCTGGCGATATATGCTCTTCACTGGTGGTGCCCTGGTCTTCGTCATGTCGGTCCTTCGTATCACCGTCGTCAGGCTACGCGAGACGCCCAAGTACCTTTTAGGCCTTGGGGAGGATGCCAAGGTGGTGGAAACGTTCCAGTTCCTGGCCGCCAAGTACAACCGCCCATGCTCGCTGACTCTGGAGAAGCTCGAGGCCTGCGGACAGATTCAGTCGGCCCACAGCAAGAGCCGTTTCTCTCTGTCCGAAACCCGCATTCACTTCCGTGGGCTCTTCATCAACAAGAAGATGACCATCTCCACGATCCTCGTCTGGCTGTCGTGGGCTTTGATCGGCCTCATCTACCCTCTCTTCTACGTCTTTCTTCCGTATGTAACCCCAAGCTTCTCGTATTCCCAAGAGCCTTTGCTGACCATTCTTGCAGCACCTACCTTGAGAACCACGGCAGAGTCTTCAACCGTACCACCTTCGAGACCTGGCGCAACTACTGCCTTACCAACATCTGCGGTATTCCCGGACCGATCATTGCAGGCTACATGTGCAACACGAAGCTGCTTGGCCGCAAATACACCATGGCTATCGGTGCTCTGATCACGATGGTCTTCTTCTTTGCTTACACCGCCGTCGAGACGGCAGCCCAGGACACGGCCTTTACCTGCTTGATCGCGTGTTTCCTCAACATTTACTACGGTACTCTCTACGCTTATACTCCGGAGGTGCTTCCAAGCGCACACCGTGGTACTGGTAACGGCGTTGCCGTGGCTTTCAACCGAATCATGGGTATTGTATCAGCTATCGTGGCAACCTTTGCAAACACACAAACGTCAGCGCCTCTGTATATCTGCGCCAGTCTGTTCATCCTTGCTGCCGGTATTGCTGTAGTGTTCCCCTTTGAGCCCTATGGACGGCGCAGCTCATGAGAGAGCATTGTGACGAGGTTGGTGAGCCTTATTTCAACAATAAAGGGGCCCCAGCCGGTCGGGCGTAGACGCTGCGTCAAGGGGTGGTGCCTGAGTAATGGAGAACAATAGCATCCTAGATAGTGATACCCAATAGCTTTTGCAAAAAGAGATACATAGAATTTATAAAGCAAAGAACGTGGACAAGCTTGAGTGCGAGCTGCGTACTCAGCACGATGGAACTACAGTTGAAGAAGCAACCGCCACTGATATTCGTCCAAAGCAAGGTTTATATTGGTTCAATAGCAGCATGTCTTGATGTTTGTTCCACTGTTTTTTTCGCTTATTATTCCCTGTTTTTCACCAAAGAGATATGCGACTCTATTCATGTGAGAAGACATAGGGGCTACCCGGCGAGAATATTCTCATCCGGCTTGCGCGGTGTTCATGCTGCTCCAAGGGTATCGCAGACTGGTTTATATAAGCCAGGGGGTCTGTTGATGCATGCCGGCGAGCTACTTACTTGCTAGGCGTAGTTGGTTAAGACTATTCTGGAACTGCTGGAGGACTAAGAGGACGCTTCTAGGGAGAGTGGCGTGATCACAACATGCTCCTAATCGATCCTCATCTACAAGCGCCATCCTACCTCTAAGCTATTGGATTACCATGCTACGACCTCTAGAAGGCCAATCGCTACTAGCCGTCAATCTCTTCAGGTGGACTCGCTTGCTTTAGACAGACGGGTTTGCCAATGCCGGTAACTCGGCAAACGTCACTCACCAGTGATATCACATACTAGAAGCTGGACAGCCATAACGAAGCCTTGTCTTCGAAAGTCAAATCTACTACTTCAAGATAGCGCCGCTCATTCCAGAAGTCATTGTGTTAGGTATGTTCTGCTGCATGATCTGGCTGGTACTCTTAGTATGGAGTAACATCAACAGCTATCCATCACGTAGATACCCTGGCGATACATTTGGCCAGGGACAATTGGGATCGGAATAGTCCGACCGCCGGTATCCAAAGGGTGGTTCGAAGCTTGCCTGCTTCGTTTGTGGGCAGCAGCTTTGCGAGTGTGGATGCTTGCATCCAAAATCTTTCCGTCGTCCGTCTTACCGTGGCACTTGGCCGATGGTCTAGAACTTGGGATGCTTCAGAGCTTCAAGTCGCAAATTAGATGAAGACGTTGGTCGAGAAGCTCGAAGCCACTAGTACTGCTTTGACAAGAAAAGCTGCAAGTACTACCTTTGGCAGCCGGCCAAGTGACTGACAAGCAGAAGACCAGTTTGCGAGGGTTTGACTCGGAACTGCCGTGGTACTTGAATCCATCGTTACTTCGGGAGGTTTTGTCCTGCACAGCGACCAATACTGTTACAGCAAGATTTGAGCAACTTTTCAGGGCCTCTCGAGGAAGCAGTTGGGTAGTCGAAGTCCGACCTTGCAGGAGAGCGTCTTCTGTTCCGTCTTGCTCTCCAGGCGTGATGCCACTCGGCGGTCACAGCAAGCCGTTTCGATAGACTCGAGTATAAAGAGATTCAGACGTTCGTGAATCAGCCTCGGGTTTCACCAGGTCAGACCAGAGTTGGAAACGTGGATGGGGGGGTGAGGAATGGATGTCAAGTTCAAAGACGCTGGTGACATCGCGGCTGATGATGCCACGTCGAAGAGCTGAGATATGAGACGAGGCCACCCGCTCATGGGAACCAGCCACGATGCTCTCGCGCCCATGATGATGCCCCTTATTCATTTCCCCAGTTCGGAGACCAGCTAGGCGATTGCCATATCCACTTACACGTGGAATCTGCTCATCTCCGCCAACGCTTATCAGTAGCAGCCGCGAGCTAAATGGCATCGTCCGATTTCTGCATGAGGTACTCAGCCCTCTCCCAGATACCAAGGTAGTACTGTTTTACCTATATGCTCAAGCAACCACTGTTTCTCCTATGCCTGGTTCTTCGCTCCTTGTTCTCCCGATATCTGGCACCAATATCGTAAAGTAGCCGGCTTTTTGGACAACGACACCCAGACAAGAGTAATCACCCCACGTCGGTTCCTCAGCTCACCACCAACCACTGCTCGTCCTGAGGTTTCTCGTACATAATGCAATTCAACCCCAGAACCCTTATTCCTCGCCAGTCTCCGCACCATCTCGGCCGCGTGTGGAGGCCGTGATGAAGGATGCGCGCAGACTGGAGGAGCCAGCGCAAAAAAGTTCCCCAAGCCCTCTCCGCAGCGCCCCCCCTTGCCGCGAGAGCGCCGATTAGCCGTCGGGTAGCCGACAGCAAAGGGAAATGGGCGTTGTGAGTGTTATCGAAGCCATACGAGTACTCGTATGTAACGTACAGTACTGCAGGTACGCTGAATACGACGAAGGATTCAGACTGAGTACTTGGACTCTCATCTTCGAACGATCTTCATGATGGAACTTGACAAACGACGTGCCGCATCATCCGCTGCGAACTGTCCTCTTGGCATTGCTTGTAAGAGGGGAGCCTCCCGTGAGACTCTTCAGGAGGACTTGACCGCGCTTGTGCCTTGCGCTAACCAAGTCGTTCCAGGAGCATTCCGTCTGTTCCAGGTGAGTATAATGCTCAGCTAGAGGCACTATTAAAACCACGGATGCGGCTGGATGGTGACAAAAGCCATCGTCACACGCGAACCGGAGAATATCAGGGCGAGTAAATGTCCTGCGTCAGGACGTATACGGTACACGTGCCTGGCGCTAAGCGCATACGGGGTGCCCGGTACAGCGTACATGTACATGCATGGCCGGCCCATCGCCCGCGCGCCGCCATGAAATGAGTTGACTGACTCGGTGCTCGGCGGTCGGCGGTCAGGGCGCTTCACATGCGCGAATGCGAATGAATGCCTCTGGATTGTTAGGATGCTTGGATTCATCTCCGTCTTCAGCCTCGCTTTGAGCCATTTATTCCTGTTCTGTACCTTAAGTAGTAACGATTGTGGTGACTTGCCGGTGCCTGAGCTGATCGGATTTACAGCATCGTCTCGTACAGGCAAAACCCCCGTCTGATGTCTGCTTACAACTGCAAGCGCCGCTGAAGAAGCCACGAAGGGCATAGTGCACCTTCCGCCCGTGATGTGTCATGATCCGTGCTTCGTGCAAGCTCCGTAGCGCCTTCTCTCTTGGGGCATTTCGGCGCATGGCTCGTACCGGGAGTCGTGCTGCCAGTCTGGAGCCGGTACCGAGCACCGCCAGGTGGCACCTGCTCGCTCCCAAGTAACCGTACCAGTACCATGGCAGTTCATCACAGCAGCCGTCATCGACTTGGCAATCTCATCGGCGGCGAGCGCGAGATCGGCACGTGACACAGCCTCACGCACACGCTCACGAACCATCGCCACGGCCGAGAGAACTCTTCATCGTCCGAGATAATACGCTTATTGCCAATTGGCTTCTGTGCATGCTTCTTTTGCCCTTCCCTTCCGGCTTCTCCCAGGCCAGTGGCTACGGGCTGCCAAAAACGCGCATCTCGGTCGTGTCATCCAAGTGCTGATTCGCCCCAGACGGTGGCCAAGCGGAGAAGCGCTAGGAGGATGCCCTGGCCTGGCCACCCATCTGCAAGCCTCGGTGCATCATGCCCTACGGGCTACGGGCTACGGGAGAAAAAAAAAGGGCGACCGATGCCCTTGGCAAGCCACTTTGGCCTAGGGAAACCAGGGGACCAGGGGCGCAGAGGGCGTCTGCATCTCCGGCCAATTTCCAACCCAAACAGAAACCAGCTGCTAACCAAGTGCCGACCCGCAATGGCTCCTAACCGGCACACCACATGCCGGTGGCTTGGAGGGAACGGCGGCGGCCACGGAGTTGCCAGTGGATGGTTTTTCTTGGCCCTTCGTTTCGGGCCTTTAGGGTGGACTCGATCGGAGAGCACAGCGAGGCGAGGCAGCCACACAGAACATTTGAACGCAAAAGGTCCCTGGTCGTGGGCGCCCCCCCTGGCCACCAGTGCGGCTGCTTGTGGCCTAGCGTCAGCCAGGCCTTTGCGGTCGGACGGGTCTGATAGCGAGGGACCGCATCTCAGCGCACGAATCGCAGCGCCGGGTGCCTTTTCCTATGACGACGGCTGCCCCTCGGATACACTGTAGTAATGTCAAAGACAGCGATGCTCGCCGCGGCACACGAGCAGCTGCTGGGCGATTGCATGGGCTGGCCCGTGGGGAAAGAAGCAAGAGGCGAGACTGCGGCGTGGCTCGTCCAAAAGGTCCCGGGGGGGTAGCTTTTGTCGCTCCATCAGATAATACTACGACTACTCCGGATACAACCAAAAGGCTTGGTGGCGGATAACGTTGTATTGAAGGCTAAAGGCTGGAGAGTGGACTACCTATCCCTCGTTCCAAGGTCCCCCCAAAATCATTTAAGTTTGTGGGATCCCAACGCTTTCGTGGTTTACCCTTCTCTCCCCCTCTTTCTTCTCTTCTTGCTCCTCTTCTTGCTCTCATCCCGGCTGGTCTTCCTGCTTTCCCTCAGAGACTTGCCTTGGGACTGTCATAGTAGTTGAGGCAAAAAGAAAAAACCAGATTGGACCGCAATCATGGCTCACAACCACGAGGATACCGCTGCTGAGTGAGTCTTTACAGACGGGCTGGAGATGGGGCTCTCCTCCTGCAGTCGCATGCTTACCAATGTGTCACCATTAGGCTCCACGAGGAGTTCCAGGAGCGCGTCCACCCTAGCGAGATTCACGATCTTGCTGGAGGCTTCATTGCGGCCGATGAGAAGAAGGACTTTGACATCTCACCAGAGGGTGCTGAGGCCGGCGCCACCCCTGATGGCGAGGAGCCCAACGACTACGAGAGGCGGACTCTGCGCCGTGTTGGCGAGAACCTGCCCGCCTCGGCCTTTCTCATCGCCATTGTCGAGCTGATGGAGCGTTTCACCTACTATGGCGCCTCGGGTCTCTTCCAGAACTACATCAGCAACGGCAAGCACGACACCAGCGACTCTCCCGGCCTGGGTATGGGTGGCCAGGCCGCCACTGGTCTGAACCTGTTCTTCCAATGGTTCTGCTATGGTATGCTTTGAACGAGGAATCGGAGGGTTTCAGGATCAGTTGCTGACGAGCGTTGACAGTTACCCCTATCCTCGGTGCCATCATCTCTGATCAGTACCTGGGCAAGTACAAGACCATCATGCTCTTCTGCGTCGTCTACTGGATCGGTCTCGTCATTCTTTGGACCACATCACTGCCCGTTGCCATTGCGCACGGAGCCGGTCTGCCCGGCTACATTGTTTCCATCATCGTCATCGGTGCCGGTACCGGTGGCATCAAGTCCAACATTGCTCCCCTGATTGCCGACCAGTACCAGCGCCGAACCATGGCGATCCGAACGGAGGCGGACGGCGAGCGAATCATCATCGACCCGGCCATCACCTACCAGCGCATCTACATGATCTTCTACTGGTGCATCAACCTGGGTTCCCTGTCTCTGATTGCCACCCCCTTCATGGAGAAGTACTGCGGCTTCTGGACCGCCTTCCTCATGTGCTTCTGCATGTTCAACTTTAGCATCGCCATCCTCGTCATCCGCCGCAAGTCGTACATCATCCACCCGCCGCAGGGCTCCATCATCACGGATGCCTTCAAGGCCCTGGGCCTGATGATTGTCTCGCGCAACATGGACGCCGCCAAGCCGTCGTGGCGCGCCGCCAACGGCAAGAGCAAGCCGGTTGCTTGGAACGACCACTTTGTGGAGGAGCTCAAGCGTGCCATCCGTGCCTGCAAGGTCTTTGTCTTTTGTAAGTTTTTGAGCAGGAATCTGCTGCAATCGATATGAAATGTCGTTTTTTATCTAACACCCCCTCGCCTAGACCCCATCTTCTGGGTTGGCTATGGTCAATTCTCCACCAACTTCGTCACCCAGGCCGGCCAGATGAACGGCCACGGCATGCCCAACGACTTCATGCAGAACTTTGACCCCATCTCGATTCTCATCTTCACTCCCCTGCTCGACATCTTCGTCTACCCCGCCCTCCGCAAGATGGGCATCAACATCCGCCCGATTGCCCGAATCACGCTTGGATTCATCTGGATCTCTCTCTGCCTCGGCTACGCCGCCATTGTCCAGCACCTCATCTACAGCGCTGGCCCCTGCTACGACAGCCCCAACAACTGCGACGCCGCCAACGTCGACGGCAAGGTCATTCCGAACAACGTCCACATTGCCGTCCAGGCACCTGCCTACGTCTTCGTCGGCCTGGCTGAAATCTTCATTTCCGTCACCGGTCTCGAGTACGCCTACACCAAGGCTCCCCCGACCATGAAGTCTTTCGTCCAGAGTCTGTACCTCTTCACCAACGCCTTCGGCTCCGCCATCTCCGAGGCTCTGGTTTCCGTGTCCAAGGACCCCGAGTTCATCTGGATGTACACTGGTGTTGCCGGAGCCAGCTTCGTCACCGCCTTTGTCTTTTACTTCTTGTTCAACCACTACGACAAGATCGAGGACGAGTCATTCGAGCTGGACCGCGAGGCTCCCGTCGTGCCTCCGACCAAGGAGGTTGAGTACGAGGGAGCCAACAACTGAAGGGTCGTGGGGGGTTTCTGTTTGTGTAATGTAATAGTAGAGCGCTAAAAGAGCCACGTTTTAATGTATTATTATGAGTTTTGACAAAGACAAATGCCCATTTCTGCAGCATCCGCAAGCGTGATTCTCACACGGGAACATCTCCACTGATAAGAGCTCCTGTGCCTGACTCTTTGCTCAGGGGTGGAAACGCTCTAAAAAATGGGCGATATCTTACCGTTTCTAGTTCCGCTTCTGGAACGCTTCCATGCGTCAAAATTTTCACCCTCTGCCTGACTCTTTGAGATGCCGTATAAACTAGCATCACGCCATCCCACGGTGCCGAGGGGAAAAGTCTGGTTCCACATCTCAAATCCATCGAATGACTTTGGAGTTACATTCATATGGGTTTGTTATCCAAGAAAAGAGAAACCAAACAATACGGGAAACTTGTTTCGGACGTTTTTTGTTCTGTTCGCTGCCCAGTGATATCTTGGGCATTTGTAAAACCAAAACCATCCACCACCACCCCCCTGGCGCGCCTTTTTAATCATTTTCCCGCTCCAGGTTCGGACAATTTCTCTCGCCCATTTATGCGGCGCTACGGAGATAAAAAAAAACTGTTACTACTAGGGGGTCTTGGCCTTTTTTTTGTCGTCAGCCAAGACCAAACGAAAGTGTGGCCGGGCGGTGCCGTCTTGGCCCTTTTTTGGTGCAATGCCAAGTACGGCAGTTGTTTGTGTCTCGTCGGGCTTTTTTCGGGGGTGTGGTAGAACTTGTAGCGGCTCAGTGGTTGGGTGTGTGTGCGAGAGCGACAGTGAGAGAGAGGAGAGGACAATCTTGACAATCGTGACAATCGAACGAGGATATGAAGTGATGAAGCAGCATCTACATGAAAACGGATCCCCTTGCTTGTCGCAAAGGATCCATTAACAAGAAAAAGGTGAAGCACAAGTAGGCGCGAGAGACCACGAGTACCCAATACATTAGCAAGACTGTAAAAAGCGGGTCCCTCGGTCCGCTCCGTTCACATTGCAACAAGGCACACCAAAAAAGCCTGCAAAAAGAATGACACCTGAGGGATTCGAACCCTCGCCTATTTCTAGACCGCGAAGAGGGGATGAGCTCACAGTGCGAGCTATTCCTGAACACGGCGCCTTAGACCACTCGGCCAAAGTGCCTTTTTCGATGGTTGATGGAGCGGTGTTTGCCTATATGAAGCTGGAGACGAGAAACGAAGCTGGGATGTTGAGGGGTGGTGGAAGTCTGGTGTTGTTGGTAAGCCGGGTGCGCGTGTCTGTACAACTGCACTCATGCCTCGCTAAATGGTTTTGGTTTTATATTAAGCAATTGAGAATCTGAGAATCAATTAAGACTCGGCCAAAGTTCCTTTTCCTGGTCTTAGATGGAGTAGTATTTATAAATATGAGCTGGAGACGAGATTTGCCAGGTTGGTGTAAGTCGGATGCGTGGTGGTAGTAAACCGAGTACGCGTACCTGTACACTTACCCGGTATGCGTCGTGCCTTGCTCAGAGTGCCCTGGTTTCGACACGGCGTATTTGCGAAATCCGAGATTCCATAGTCACTCTGCTAAAGTGCCTTTTTCTTCGCAATACTATATAGAAAATTACTCGCGGGTGTACATATATGCAGCGTCCAGTTGCTGGAAGTGGCGTTGTACTTGTGAAGACGGGGCTGGCGATGCCCATTCTTTGGGGGAGACTACCATGTTACGAGACCTTTCGACTTGCAAACGGTACCGAAATATAATGAGCTGCCATGTCTGCAATTGCACATGTAGAAACGAGGCCAATTGGCTGATTTCCAGTCGGTCTTGTCTTTACCTTCAACCACTGTTGGAGGACATTTTGGTCCAGACTGTGACGCAATACAACGATCGTTTTACAACCGCGTGGTCAAATGCGTCCCAGATCTTCTGGATCACCATAACGGACTGATCACCCTTGGGCTGAACACAGTTCAGCATCGTGTGGCCAACCAGTGTATGTCTATTAGAGGTTTTTAATAAGGCAAAAGCACTGACTTGCGACGTGCTGCCAAGGGTTCATCAGAAAAGGGTGCTCAAGTTACAGTCTTTCAACACGACACATAGCATACCAGATGCTCAACGTGATGACTGGACCGACAAAGCTTTCAGTTTGAGAAGGTTTTAAGGGTTATTTCTAGACAAGAAGATATCCAACTACTCAACTTAAAAGCCCACGATGTTAAAATCAGTGTAGCCAGTTCGGGTTTCTGCGTTGGGATATGCTCGGGCAGTGAACTTACAAATATCTACTATATGTAAAGATAACCCAAAACGACCTTCTGGCCCCTGTAGCGCCTTGTAATCACCAGGAGACAGTCTCATTCTATCTCCCCTTCTTCGCCTCCAAGGCTTGTATGAGCCTTTATCCTACCCATCGCCTTTATCCTTGGCAAGAATAACCAGCTTGCCGATTGTAAGTGGATTCCACAGCAAACAGGAGATCAAGCTCCTATCTTTTTGATTTGATAAAGTCTCTCAGTACATTTGATCAGATCATGCGGGTATGAGCCTCCTGATTGACCTTACTATGATGTTGAAAATAGGAGCCATGGCCTGGAACAAAGGGCTGGCCTTCCATGTCCATATGTCTTTTCACTTTTGGTCTATACACATCCAATCTTGCTAGTCTTCGCGGACAAGTTTCATCAACCACAGCAAATATGCCAGTCTTGCACGAGAATACCTACAGATCAAGTCTCCTTCCCAAAAGCCGGAAACGCAGGCGCCGTCGTCCCATCACACGAGTACCGCACCACGTACGGACTAAACGTCGCCTGGTCACTCACAATCACCTGCCCGCTCGGCGCCGTGACACTGAAGCTGAAGCCGCCCCCGTGCTGCGCCTGGCCGTAGAAGAAGCGGACGGGCACGTACGTGGCCGCGGGGACGTCAAAGGCAAAGGTCGCGCGGCCGGCGACGTGGTCGGGCTGGTCGTACCGCGCCCTTGCGTCGGCGTTGGCGTCGGTCCAGCCGGAGTACGCCTTTGCGCCGCTCCACAGGTAGACGGCGTCGTTGGCGTAGGGGATGTCGACGGTGTAGGTGCCGCCCTCGCAGGCGTAGATGTAGGCGTGGTGATTGAGGGCGAAGCTGGCGGCTGGAGTCGTAGATGGGGCCCGTCGCCCCCGCGGAGGCCTCCTGGCCGTAGAGGCCGCCCGCGTAGGAGGTGGTGCCGACGTAGAGGGAGGCCGTCGCCTTGTACGAGTCTGGACGGAAGGACGAGTACGTCGTGTCGGTGTTGCGGGCCGAGTTGTTGTAGTAGGCCCAGTCGAAGCCGAGGTTGTTGCATGGCGGGGGGGCCGGACACTGGCTTGGGCAGCTCGGAGGCGTGATTGTGGGAGTGGCTGTTGTTGTTGTGGTGGTCGTTGACTCTGTGACCGTCTCGGTGTCGGTGACGGTGCAGATTTCCGTCGACGTCACCGTCTCGGTGTGAGTCCCTCCGCCAATGGTGAGGGTGAGCAGGGCCTTCCACGAGGTGACTGTCGAGGTCTCCGTCTGTGTCACAGTCTGGCTTGGATCACATGTGGGAGACGGATAGGTGCGAGCGTTCAGCTGGCCAGCGGGAGCGGCAATGGCATGAGCGCGAGCAATGTTGACCATTACTGATGACGCCGCGAGGGCGTGGATGAGTGTATTGCGTACGGCCATGGTTGGGAAGATGAGGCTATCAGATCCAATGGACACAACTGAGCACGAGGATGCCTTTTTCTGAGCCTCGATCTTGACCGCAGGTATTTAAACTTGTACTGTCCTTGGGGTATCGCCAATATCTGGGAGACTCGACTAGAGACTGACGACGGCCTCCATTGCGAGATTCCATTCGACACCGTCAACATGCCAACTGTCTTTGGTCTGGGGATCAAAAAGGACAAGCTGCCATGCAGTCAAGTAGCTGAGCTGTAGGCAGAGACGACGAAGTGACCCATGCTTGGGGAGCTTTTGAGAGCTGAGCTCAAATGCCGGCTAGGGTAGTGTCAGCTGCAGGGCAGACACATGGAAGCGTCGTGCTCATCTTGAAGGAGCCCGGGCGTCTAGGTGGTTGGGCACTCTAAAGTCCAATATACCACCTACCACTCTGCCTATGGATGCTCTGTGCTGAGGCCCCATCGCATCGTGAACTTCGTAGCCGCAGCAAGGCCTAGTGCAGTTGACAACTCGACGTGGCTGGCATGGGCGCGACGATCATGGCTGAATGAGACCAAAGTCAAGCTTTAGCTCATGCGCAGCTTCTTCTTCTAGGTTCATTTTGTATGAGAGAAGCCATCTTGTCTTTGGCGGCTCTGTGTTGTAGTTCTTTCAGCTGGCCTCTTGCTCATGCAAGTCGTGGGCAGATGCCCCTTTTGGCGCCCTTGCAGCTTTGGCGGCTGTGGGCATTTCCACCGCTGCTCACCGATCCTGTTCGACAACTCGATGGATGCTTAAATGTTTGTGTACATGGTGATTCAACCTGGTATCTATCGGACCCATCCGCTTTATATGTATGATGATTGTCGAGCCTGGTCTAAGTCCAGTAGTAAGTCCCATCCAGCACTGGTATGAGACTTGGTACAAAGATTACAGGCAGAGCTTAGAATAAGATACTCGCATATGGTTAGCATATAAAATCAAGAGTATCATCCAAAATAATTCGGAATGTCAAAATTGTCCAAGAGTCATGCACCTCGCATGTAGTTCAAGACTCAATGACTCCTTTGTTATATGTACTCTGCCTGCCCATGAGCTTAGTAATTCCGGTAATCCCAGAAATGGCTATTCCGCCACCTGCCCTCTTGTCCCACTGACTAATTCTCGGGCGCCGATTGGCTCGGCCGAAGACGGTAAGTAGCCGGCAAAACCCATCATGTCATGTCATAATCGTTCCCTGAAGCTGAGCCGAAATAATTGATTTCCAACCGTCCGCATCCAACCCTCAACTCCACCTCGACAACCTCCGAACCACAACCACAACCACGCCTCTCATCCCTCGCGCAAGCAACCGCAGCATGCTTGTCAGGGCAGCATCTTTATGATACACACAATGAACCCCCTCTTCGCCACCAGCCGCGCGGCTCTGCGCCTGAGCTCCTCGTCCTTCCGCCACTTGTGCGCATCCAGAGTCGCCGGCTTCGCCTACCACTCCTATCCGCTGCCGTCCAAGATCCCCGAGCCGCCGAGCGACAGCATGTCCAAGTCGTCCGTCGCCCAGCCCGAACCCCTTCCCCGAGTCCACGAGACGCGGCCGCCGCCGCAGCACGAAGCCGCCCCCAAGCCCACAGCTCCGCCGCAGGTGCAGGCCGTGCCGCCCTCAACAGCAGCAGAAGCAGCCTCAGAACCCCCGTCCGCCAAAGCCAGCGAGGCGGATGCGCAAGCGGCCAAGCCTGCGGCGCGACCCCGATCCAAGCTGCGCGCCCGCAAGGCGGCCATGAAGCTCACGCCCGCGGCCGTGGAACAGCTGCGGTCGCTGCTCAATCGGCCCGACCCGAAGCTCATCAAGGTCGGCGTGCGGAACCGGGGCTGCAGCGGGCTGGCGTACCAGCTGGAATACGTCGACAAGCCCGGTGCTTTTGACGAAATGGTGGAGCAGGACGGTGTCAAGGTGCTGATTGACAGCAAGGCGCTCTTCAGCATCATTGGCAGCGAGATGGACTGGGCGGAGGATAAGTTGAGTCAGAAGTTTGTGTTCAAGAACCCTAATATCAGTATGTGGATCGACCTCTCCTCGCTTGATGCGGTTGCTAACAAGTAGCAGAGGAACAATGTGGCTGCGGAGAATCATTCATGGTCTAGGACGAGATTGGAAAATTGCAGTGATGGAGACAAAAGGTCTGCCTCCCTCCGAGGCAGATGCGAGGCAAATATGCATAGGAGGAACTGTACGATGGCGACGACTAGAGACTCGAGAACTACAGGGCGAGGCAAGGCTCTGGATGGGAGACTTGACTGAACTCGCCATCAAAGGGTTCACTATAATGGTGCCGATACAGTACGATACGAGGCACGGAACAGCGAGATACAACACTATTGGGGCATGATACCGGCGTTAGGTTAGAGGCATACAGCCATTGTTCAGATACATTGATGTCAATTACACTCTTGATGACTGAAGGAGGGGATCCTGTGAGTCAACAAACAAGACATGTGTTGTGTACACGACCCTCGTGAGAAGAAATCAAAGTCTATGCTGACTCCCCATCTGATGATGAATCTCATGCGCCATATATAACGCAACAGCAGCTTGATTCCATGCAGAGGGCAGAAGCCACATGGAACGACAGGCCGACGCCCTTTCGACGCCCGCTGATGTCATTCAGGGTTCCGGCGCAATGCCGTTGCCACGTGACTTGGCGTTGGAGTGTTGCTTTCAATATCGCGACTCCGAATGAACTTGCGCGTGAAGTCTTGGCTAGACATGCCGACTTCGTCCTTACATGTACTAGAACAGATTAGATATAAATATCATCATCCTGTCTGCACTTTGGACATTATCCTTGACTTAAAGCGACAATTGAAGCATCGTTAAAAGAGTTCTATCTGTACCAGTTTCGAACATTCACTAACACACATCACAACTTACAAAACCCCTACACACACGTCCACATCAGGCAACATCACCTCAAGACACTCAAACATATCAAAGCCTCCCCAACTCCCACAAATGGCGCCCACCGTCCCCAAGCCAAAGCGCGCAACATCAACAACTACCACAACAACAAAACAACCATCAGCCTCCCGAATTCAAAAACCCAAACCCAAGCCCTCCCCAGAGCGGTCATCCTCATCAACCACAGCAGTAGTCACGATCAACAACAACAACAACAACACCCCCCCAGAAGACGGCAACGCCAACGACAACAAAGACATGCAAGCCCAGCTCCTCCGCCTCATCGCCCAAAGCCAGCGCACCCCCTTCGAGAAGCGCGTCTGGGCCGCCCTCTGCCAGGTCCCGCGCGGCCGCGTCACCACCTACGGCCTCCTGTCGGCGCACCTCGGCACGTCGCCGCGCGCCGTGGGCAACGCCCTGCGGAGGAACCCCTTCGCGCCGCAGGTGCCGTGCCACCGCGTCGTGGCGACGGGGGGCGCGCTGGGCGGGTTCAAGGGCAGCTGGCCCCGGGACGGGGAGGGCATCACGATTGCGGAGAAGAGGAGCCTCTTGCGGGCGGAGGGGGGGAGGGTTGACGGGAGGGGGAGGGTGCTGGGGACGGTGTGGTCTGGGTTTGAGTGATGGGGGGGGGGGTTTCTGGCTGCTTGATTTTGTGAGTTGATAGGGAGATCTCATGGTTCACGGGGTGTTGTATGGTTGGCGTCTCTTGACAGTTTGATGAGGAAGTAGTTCACGCGGCGTTATTCGGTCTGGGGCTGCTGTTCCTGGTTTGCTATAGCGGATATATATATAGAGAGTGTATAGGATTTTTCATGCTGGTCAAGCAGCTTCTAATAAACACCATATTTAAACGGCACATCCAGCTTCTCACCGGGCTCGTACAACGCCATGGGAATGCCCAAGGCGGGCGTCCCGATGATGTCCGCCTGCAGCTTCTGGGCCGCCCAGTCACCGCGATACTCGATGCTCTCAAACCGTTGCGCCAGTCGCACCACTGCAAAAAGAAAAAAAAAAAAGACAAAGAGTCAGTTTATGCACAAGTCCAAAAGGCATACGTAGTTTCGTCCGCATCTCTCTTTCAACTCACAGCAGAATGCCATTTCAGTCAGCGCAAAGTTCTGGCCGACGCATATCCTGGGCCCTCCAGAAAACGGAAGATATGTCCAGGGCTTTGGCGTCCAATGCTCCCACCTCTCGGGGCTGAATATCCTTGGATCTGCAAACGTCTCGGAAGCAGGCGGATACAGCTCTGCGCACGTGTGCATCCCGAGCGTGTTAATCGTCACGCTGTCTCCCTTGAGGAGAACAACGTCTGCCTCGCCTGGCCGGCCCGGGATGGTGGTCGTCTCCAGCGCCTGGCGCATGTTGAGGGGAGCAGCTGGATGAAGCCGCAACGTCTCGTTGAGTATGTTCCTGACGAACTTTAGATCTTTGAGCGTCTCGTACGTCGGCGTCGCCTGGTTCCCCAGTGTGGCAAGCACCTCGGCGCGCAGCTTGGCCCAGATCTCGGGATAGTGGGACAGCTCGTACATTGCCCACGATAGAGTCGCCGCCGTGGTGTCTCTGCCGGCGAGAATCACGGACATGATCTGGTCTCGGATTACTTTGGGATCCCTAGTGTAGCGGGCGATGCTATGCAGAAACGTAAAGTCCATGTCTGACTTGGAGAGCTCCTCGAGTTGAGCATGGGGGATGGCCAGGGCTCGTGCAATGGCTGGCTCGATGAACTCTTCGATTCTCCTGATGGCTCGGTGATAGTCGCCTTTGGGTATCAACGGTGCGATTGGGCTTGGGAGAGATGGTTTTAGCAGTTTGTTTGGGTGATACACATGTTTGTCCAATGGCCGGACGCGTGGATGGTTATACTGACTTGAGGACGAAGATGTACATTTGTATCCGCTGTGCAACATGCATCGCCTTGAAAACATCAGTATCGGGACTGAAATCCACCAATCGTCAGCAAACAACTTGAACCAACGAGTAAGGAAACAAGGACGCCTTACAAGTCCAAGCTGTTCACATTCTCCCCCAGCAGGAACTCCGTCGTCGTGTCCAAAGCCCAGCGGTAGAACAAGTCCTTCAGATCAACGGCGACCCCAGCAGAGGGAATCTTGCGCAGCAGCCTGCCGGTGCAGGCGTCAAAGATGGCGAGATTCCGCAGCCTGTCCCTGGCAAACATGGGGCGGATCATGCTGCGGCTGTCGTGCCAGAGCTGTCCGTCGACGCCAAAGATGCCGTCTCCGAGAAAGGGGCGCCACAGCTTGTGCCACATGGGTCCATGGCCGAAGCTGGAGAAGTTGGTGGCCAGGATGGCCTTGATCTGGTCCGGGTCTCTGGTGATGAGGACCCGTTTGGAGCCCGTGAGGCTGAATTCCGCAAAGGTTCGCCTTCCGAGCGGGAGCTTGTCCAGCTGCCTTGTGCACCAGTCGACGAGCTGGTTGTTGTACTGGTTCTTGCCAATCTCGTAGTATAGCTTGGAGGCTGCCGTGTGTGGTGATGATGAGCCATTGGGCCAGAGAGGACTTTGGAGGGTGAGAGAGGGAGACTGTACCTGACAGCAGATTGCCCGCCAAAATGGGCGCTCGAGCACCGCCGAGCCTCTTGATTTTGATATCCGAAGCAAGATGACGGAGTTTTACCAAGAGAGTGAGGATGGACACAAAGCTGATACCCGCTATTAGGGTGTAACTCGACGGGTACAGACTGGGGAGCCACATGCTGAAGGCAAACCAGCGACAAACAGGATTGGGTGAGAAAGAGGAACGACGATGCTATCAAGCGACTTCTGGAAGATGAAGGTATCAATGGCGTCCACGGTACATGTACACACGGTGAGAAGGAAATGTGGTATCCGGGGAGGTCCAGGTAGGTATGTATGTACACGCAGCGAGTATTTGGGGTAGAAAGGTACAACCTCGTTCCTACATGGGCATCATAAGGTAGGGCAGTTGAGCGGGAGCAACGACCGGAAGAGCGAAAAGCTACCTTGGAATATCAGATCGACTGCCGTTTGCTCTGATTCACGAGCCGTCGACCTAATCTCGAGATGCGCTTGTTGGGATGAAGGGGGGGCGGCAAGCAAACAACGTCCAGTAGCCGCATACCAGCAGATAATCAAGCAGCCAACAAAGAATCCCTGCTTGCCAATATGTAGTTTCATTTCTGCCATATGGAGGAGGAGAATGAGAGCTCGGCTGCCTTCATGTTCGAAATCCCGGCAGACTCAGGCCGATTTACCTTGCATACATAGGTACCGACCACCTACATGTACAAGCGCATGTAATGAACCACCTTGCCTATAAGAGCCTTGCATGAAGATCTGGCTCTCACGCGATAGGCCAACGGAACGAGGTCCTGCATGTATGTACTTCCAAAAGGGATAACGCTACTTGCGAGCTGAAAAGCAAAGAAATTAGTATGCAATAGCTATCGAGGAGAGGCGAGCGGAATGTCAATCCCCTGGTCAAGCTCGGAGAAGAACAAGCGGCGACACATGATACGGGGAAATACGACACGGCGGTTGCACCTTGCCTTGCAGGAGGTTAGTAGCATGAGTTGCTGGAAAAGGAGAGGCGGCGGATCGTCGTTTGGGGGGATCTTGGAGTTGAGGCTCGAATGCGAATGGCTGGCTTACGAGCACAGTGTCAATGAACCGTACGGGATGACGGGGTCTTACTGTAGAGTCGATGTTGGTGATTAATGGGAGCACAGGTTAGGATGGGCTTGTATACATATGTACATACATACAACTAACAGCTGAGGTTGCAGTTGTAGGTGTGATTGAGGGGATGAGGCGCATGAGGTTGGAAGACGGTGTGTGATGGGGGTGATATATACATGAGATGCTTGCTACTACCTTACCCTGTGTGATGCGAAGCTACCTGATCCGCGCATCAGCTGAATCTGCTGCTTGTCCGTGAGAGCCTTGATTACACAATTACATAGAGTGCGTAAATTCTGAGTGGACATAAGACAAGATGAGATCTTATCGTACCTAACTGGACATCTGGCCATTTACTGCTACCTCCCAGGCAATAGAAGCGGTCCCGAGTCCTGGCTATTGTTGGTATTGTCATTGAGGCATGGCCCCCACATGGCCCTCGAGCATCAAGGCCTGGCAGGGCTCTTCGGCAGCTGTCCCAGCCCCGGCCCAACGATATTCCGCAGCCAGTCGGCGAAACTCGGGGCACTCCATCGCAGCTTAGGCCGAACCTGCCAGGGAATCGGTTTCCGCATTGAGAGCTTGTGAGCATCAAACCGCCCAAAAAAAATCGTCGAGAGTCTGCAACCGGCCTTTCTCTCGCCTCACTCTCCTCCTCTCGTCTTTTCTCTTCTCTCTCCACTCAATCCGGCATCTGCCAGCCCTCCCCCCCCTTACATCGCAATGTTCAGCCTCGGCCGTAGCCGCGCGGCGGCGTCGGCCCTCAGCGCCGCCAAGGTACGGAAAACGTCGCAAAAGTTGCTCTACTCTCTCTGCAGCCCCTCGATCCAGATAAGACGAGCCAAGGAGGGGTCGAAACCATCACAGAACAAGGCGTTTCTAACTTTGAGCTTCTTCCCACGTGTCACAGCGCGCCACTCCCTCCGTTAGACTGCCTGGCGCCGCCCAGCAGCGAAGAGCCCTCAGCATCCACGAGTACCTGTCCGCCGACCTCCTGAGAAAGGTAACAATCACCTCATCCTGCCATGCCGAGCGCAGCGTCCGGCTGACTCGGCACGCAACTCTGTCACTCTTTCTCACACGGCAATAGTATGGCGTTGGTGTTCCCAAGGGCGCCGTGGCCAAGACGGCTGCAGAGGCCAAGAAGGTCGCCCAGGAGATTGGAACCGGCGACCTGGTCATCAAGGCCCAGGTCCTCGCCGGTGGCCGAGGAAAGGGCACCTTTGACAACGGGCTCAAGGGCGGTGTCCGTGTCATCTACTCTCCCCACGAGGCCGAGATGTTTGCCCAGCAGATGATTGGCCACAAGCTCATCACCAAGCAGACGGGCGCGGGCGGCCGTCTGTGCAGTGCCGTCTACATCTGCGAGCGCAAGTTTGCTCGCCGCGAGTTCTACCTGGCCATCCTGATGGACCGTGCCTCGCAGGGCCCCGTCATCGTCTCGTCGTCCCAGGGCGGCATGGACATTGAGACGGTTGCCAAGGAGCAGCCCGATGCCATCACTACGACCTACATCGACATCAACACGGGCGTCACCGACGAGATTGCCCGCGGCATCGCCACCGGCCTGGGCTTCAGCGAGCAGTGCATCGAGGACGCCAAGGACACCATCCAGAAGCTCTACAAGATCTTTGTCGAGCGCGACGCCACCCAGATCGAGATCAACCCCCTGTCCGAGACGTCGGACCACCAGGTGCTCTGCATGGACGCCAAGTTCGGCTTCGACGACAACGCCGACTACCGCCAGAAGGAGGTCTTTGAGTGGCGCGACACCACCCAAGAGGACCCCGACGAGGTCCGCGCCGCCAAGTCCAACCTCAACTTCATCAAGCTGGACGGCGACATTGGCTGCCTCGTCAACGGCGCCGGCCTGGCCATGGCCACCATGGACATTATCAAGCTCAACGGCGGCCAGCCCGCCAACTTCCTCGACGTTGGTGGTGGCGCCACGCCCGCCGCCATCCGCGAGGCCTTTGAGCTCATCACCAGCGACCCCAAGGTCAGCGCCATCTTCGTCAACATCTTTGGCGGCATCGTGCGCTGCGACGCCATCGCCACCGGCCTGATCCGCACCGTCGAGGCCCTCAACCTCAAGATCCCCATCATTGCCCGTCTGCAGGGCACCAACGTCGAGCTTGCCCACCAGATCATCAACGAGTCTGGTCTGAAGATCTTTTCTATTGATGACCTGCAGAGCGCCGCCGAGAAGGCCGTGCAGCTGTCCAAGGTTGTCAAGCTGGGTAAGTTTACGACGGAGTTTTATGACGAAAAAAATGAAAGAAGAAGGAAAATCACCTGCTGACGGTTTTTCTGTATAATAATAGCTCGCGATATTGACGTTGGTGTTGAGTTCACCCTGGGTATCTAAACGGTAACAGAGTCGTAAGACTGGATGGGCATGGATTCCTTGTATTATCTGTTTTTGGGTGGCACGACCTGTGGGCAGGGGGTTACTCGGGAGAGTAGCGGCGACCAGGGCATTTTTCTGCTTCTTTATAGCATGTATGGATGCGCAGGGGCAGTAGAGGAGGAGCAATGAGAAACAAAGAAACAAATATGACTCCGCCGAGCCATGGTGCAAGTTATGCGTGTTCCTGAGGACCTGGACAGACGTTGATGCTTGATGCTTGTTGGGGAAGGAGAATTCTCGGAAGAGTGAGACGAGGATGGTCCGATTCGTATAAAGGAGAGGATCGTATTCCTGGATTTCGTCCTAGGGAGAAGGAGTCGCCATCAGCACCGGTGGAGTTTGTCACGACGATAAGAGCAAAAGCGTCTGAAAGCTCCCTCTAGCTGGGATCCCAAGATGGGAGGAGAGCTGGCATGCGCTCGATTATATGTGCCCATAGCTACGGAACAAGACGGAAGAGGAATCGATTCATCGGACTGGAAAGGGGATGAAATCGGATGATTGTGGACTCATGCAGAACAAGTACCAGTAGCCGCCGAATAAGATTTTCAACAAGCTCTAATAAAAGAACTTGTTCCTGAAGAGTTTCGTCTAATAAGGAGTCTTTGCTATGGAGAAGGGATCCAGGTACGGAGCAGCACGTACATACTATGCGGACGCTAACACGGGAAGCTGAAGAAGGGAGTGGCTAGTACTAGTACTACTAGGTAGCATATTTGCTCTCCCAGGGCGGCGGTTCGGAAGTCGTTCGGTTATTGCGCCAGCTGCCATTGCTCGGATGAATGGCAGCGCCTAATACTACAAACATACTTGTACCAATTATTTTTTATCTGACAGGGTATTAGTATGTATGTATGAGTCTTTTGGGCTGCGAGTGAGCGTGGCGATGCCGAGATAGGAGGATGGAACTTGTTTCATTCAAGGTTCGGGATGTACAGTCCATTCTTTGCTTTGAGATGTACTTAGTGGGATAGAAACAAGTATCATTGTGATGTTTTCTTCCAGTGTCTTCCGCCCTCTGATTTGGAATGCCGATGACAAAAAGGACTCGATGATGATGATGATGATGAAATGCCATGCGGCATGACCAGCATTACTTCATCGGCAAGGCCAATTTGTAAGGTAACTAGATAGGTAAGTTGCTGCAGGGCTTACTGTACCATCTACGGAGTATGCCGTGCCTTGGTTTAGTCAACCCTTGGAACTACTACCTAGAGAAAGCACGGCAATGTGATCTCCCGCGGCATTGCCTCGAATTGGGCACCATTTTCACGAAACTGGGAACCTTGTTGCATTTTTTTCTTTTTTTACTTTTCCTTTTATCTTTCTTCAGCCTTATTAGCTGCCGCAGTGGAGCTGGCGAGTGACGAGAGTGGAAACTGAGAGCGAAGGGGGGAGCCAAGCGGCAGATAGAGAGAGCGAATAGGTACTCGTACTAGGTAGTTACAGGAATCACAGAAAATTGGCGCCCTGTGATGCTAGTATTTGAAAATAAAATTCCCTCTGAATCACACAGAAAAACAAATCACTTGATCATCAAATTCATGCCCGATGCGTTCTATCAGGCCTCACCTTCGCCACGAATGCAGCAACCCAATAAAGGAAAGTAATCGCAGAGATTGCGAAATTCCGATGCTCCGCCGAAGCTCCAAATTTCTAGCACGTTCACGAAACTTTTTTTTTTCCTGCTGCTGCAAGTAATCTTGGTGGTGCTAGTACGGACAGGGGCCCGTCGGCATTGTTCGGGTATGTGGCAGCCAGTCATCTTTCACGAATCCCCTGGTTTTTAGTTCGATGGCGAAAGAAGGTGGCTTTTTTGGTATGACTGGAGCTAGTATGTGAAACTTGGTTGATGAAATGTATATATAGAAGCTGTGCTCTTCTTCTCTCTCTCTTCGACTCCATCTGATTTCCACAGGATAGAACAAAGCTTTCTTCAGCATCATCTACTGCTGCTTTCACTTGAAAGAACTTACACAAGACTTTTGACTCCGTCAACACACTACTACTCGAGTCATCGACAACTTACACAAACTCGCACACACGCAACTTCTTCCAACCCACAACTTACACAACAAAAACCAGAACCACAATCCGCGGTTCTCACTCCTTTCACAACAAACACACAACATCAACATCAAAAACCACAAAACATCAACATGCCTTCCAAGGGACAAAGCTGGTGGGCCCGCCACTGCACCCCGCGACCCCCCATCAACCCCGTCGTCGCCTGTCCCTGCCACCACTGCTACAACATGGTCGCCGAGGAGCTTGACTACCCCAAGTCGTCCCACAGCTCTCGCTCCAGCACGCCCGCTCCCTCGCGGCCCGTCAGCCCGACCGGCCGCGTGGTGAACCCTGCCTCGTCTACGCATGTCGAGCTGAAGCAGTAGACGGGAACAGATGATTTACAACTTTCTTGTTTTCCATTCGATTATCTGGATCTGGAAAGAGATAAATGGCGACTTTTTTGAGCGGCTTCTATCTCGCATGTCATCAGCGGGACGGTCTTTCATATAAAGCGGAAGAATTATACACAAAAAGAAGTTGGAAAAACTGGCGAGAAGCAATGCAAAACCACCGGCGCTTCTCCCGATCTTTGGCGGGTTTCGGCGTCCGGCCCCACTTTAACGGCGGTGGCCGGACAAGGAAGGTTAATACTACTAAGGTACCTACGTGGACGGGAAAGGAACACCAAGACGGAAGGGGATGGTTAACATAAAGCGGTTTACTGGTTATTTTGGTTGGGCAGCGATGGAATTCTGGAATAATACCCCCTCTTACTATTGATTTTTATAGAGTTTTATACACTTTGTCTCAAAAAGAATTTCTTTTGTTAATATTTGCATGCGCCTTGCCTGTGTCTGTTCCTTGTGAAGTTGTGTGATACATACTAAAGGCCAATACTGGAGCGTGTTGACGTCACTCAGTCACATACAACATCAAATGCGCATCTTCACTTCATTGAAACAAACCACAAAACCGCCCATTTTCCAACATCATAGATGTGTAGCAAACCATCTCAGCTCACCGTGACTCGATACACACACTTCACAATGCCGTCCTCCTCCATCGATCCCGCCATCCTCGCCGCACTCAACATAGACAAGGACAACGCCACAATCTCATCCGTCGGCGGCTCAGGCTTCTCATCCACCTTTAAGCTCTCCACCACCAACAAAGATGGCGAGCCATTCGACTACTTTATCAAGACGGGCTCCGGCGAAGGCGCAAGAATAATGTTCCAAGGTGCAATCAAAACAAAACTCCCCCCTCTCAAGATCCATGTCATCACCACTTCAATACTTTTAAGGCTAACATGAGTAACGTGAAAACCCCAGGCGAACACGCCTCCCTCAACGCAATCCACGACACCGTCCCCAACTTCTGCCCCAAATCATACGCCCACGGCCCCATGGCCCAGCAGCCCGACAAGCACTTCCTCGCCACCGACTTCCTCCGCCTCGGCTACGCCCAGTCGGAGGGCTCCGGCGTCTCCTTCGCCGCCAAGCTCGCCAGGCTGCACTCCACGCCCGCGCCCGTCCCCGAGGGCTTCGACCGCCCCGTGTTCGGCTTCCCGGTGCCGACGTGCTGCGGGGACACGCAGCAGGATAACTCGTTCAAGACCTCCTGGGCCGACTTCTACGCCGACAACAGGCTGCGCTTCATCATGAGGCGCATCGTCGAGAACCATGGGCCCGACGACGAGGCGGCCGACATGGTGGAACGAGTGGCCGGCAAGGTCGTCCCGCGGCTGGTTGGAGATGAGCGTATGCGGATCACGCCCGTGGTGGTGCATGGCGATCTCTGGAGCGGCAATCATTCCTCGGGTCAGATTGCCGGCAGGGGCGGGCGCGAGGAGGTTGTCTTTGACCCTTCCTGCGTCTACGGCCACTCGGAGTATGAGCTCGGCATCATGAGGATGTTTGGCGGCTTTGGGACTTCTTTCTGGAGCGAGTACGAGAAGCTGATGCCCAAGGCGGAGCCCAAGGGCGAGTGGGATGACCGCGTCATGCTCTACGAGCTGTCAGTAACATACAACAATCTAGGATGAAGTGTCACTGGGCTAATCGCATCTCAAGATATCACCACTTGAACCACTACTCGATATTCGGATCAGGGTACCGTGGAGGGGCCATGTCCATCATGAAGAAGCTGGTATCCAGATACGGTAGCTAAGGTATATGAGGTACTCCGATGAATGAACCGAAATGACAGAAAATCAAGATCCGCTAGAATTAACGCGAAGAAGTGTATAAGTGCGCAGAGACAGGTTAAAAAAAAAGATGTAAACGAAACGCCGTCCCAGTGCTCGCCATGGTGTTGCAGCCATCTATACTGAAGCACAAGCCAGATGTCTCCGAACCACCCGTGTACCCGATATACCCGTACGCCAATGTGATTCGCTCAGGCGGCCAGCATCGCCTGTCTCTCCGGCCGGCTCTCTTGTGCTGCCTCGGCTTCTGCTGGCCGTGCCGAAGCCGGCAGCTGCGCATTCGGAACCGTGGGCAGTTGCTGGTCCACGCCCGACATCTCGGCCTCGAGCGCGGCGAGCTCGTCCTCGACCTCTTCCTCGTCCTGCGCCGTGATGCGCGTACCCAGCATTTCGCTGATTTCCTGCGCGACGAACACCCAAAAGTCAGTATGACAAGCACTCCACGTGCAATCCACAAGTGTAAAGCTCTTCGAGAGAAATACTTCTTGATACGCAATCGCCTCCGCCGTCTCCCCCATCAACTTCTCCACGTGCTCGATGCCGCCCATCTCGGCGTGAATCTCCGACAGCACCTTGGTGCCCTGCTGCAGGCCAAAGACGACGTCCTTTTGGATCTGCGCAAACTCGACGCTCGCCGTCAGCTTCTCCAGCTGCTCCAGCTGCGCGTCCGTCTTGCTCAGCAGCGTCTCCTGGTACTTCTTGCGGCGCAGCGCCAGCAGCGCCCGCCGCTTGTCGCCCTTGGCCAGCATCTGCTTGGCAATGTCCGTCTCCTTGTCCGTGAGGATCGTGATGCGGCGCTGGTACTGGTGCAGCCGGTCGCGCTGGATCTTCATGTCCAGGATCGCCCTGATCGTGGGGGAGAGGAGGAAAGTTCTCGGCGTCAGCTGGGGAGGGAAGCGGTAGGAATCAGTGCGGAGAGAGGAGGAACTCGTACTTGTCCTGGTCGGTGATCTTGCTCTGTTTGCCGCCCATTGTGAAACCTGTTGATAGTCTATTCTATGGGCTCGGCCGCGGTAGTGCCTTTGGCTGTTGGACCGTCAGTATGGGGACGGGCAACCAAGAGGAAGAAGTGAAGCAACAAGGGACGACGTCCAGCGGACAGGCGGTCCATGTCCTTGTCGTCATTGTCCAAGGTAACCGTACCTTATCGATGTACCTTGTGACAACTGAAAGCTTAATCGATAAACAGGGGTCCTGATAGTGAATGGTGCCTTCAATTAAGAAATTCTGCGCACAAGCTAGGTCAGAAGAAGTAAGATTGAAAAGAGATGAGTGGATTTGATACTGTATGCGGTTGGATCGACGTGGAGATGTAATCCGCGCCCGGTGCTAAATCATGATAGCGCAACTTTTTTTTCCATCTGCAAGTCATGAAGCAAAACTTCCTCTTCGTCCCCACGATTGGCGACAGCCGCCAGGCATCATGGCGCCCAATTTCAAGTCCCGGCTAAACCTCCGCCAAGGCCTCGATCGCGACGTATACCAGATCATCAAGAAACTCGAAGAGGCCAACGACGGCAAGCCGTTCAAGACCGTCACCGCCGCGTACGATGCCATCAAGCGCTCCAATTCGAGCCTCAGCAGGCAGAAGAAGCGGCCCCTCGAAGATTCGATAGACCGGGTTCTGCAGTTTCGCAAAGAAGAGCTCGAAGAGTCGGAAGACTCCGAAGCGGCCATTGAAGAGGCCGAATCGAAAAAGGTCGACGACGATCGATTCTTGCTCAATCGCCAACTGACAAAGCACTGGCAAGTCGAGCCCCCCGAACAGCCTGCGGCCAAGAAACGACGGATCCAGACCGAGGCCGACGAGAGAGACGGTGCGGTCAGCGGCCCCGACACTGGCGCCGAGGCGGCGGCGGCGGCGATGAACGGAGACGCAGCCAAGGAGACAACGAGGGCTGACAGACTCGACAAGACGGTCCCGAAGAAGTCACCCAAGTCTACCCGCTTCAGAGTCGAGCAGTACGACGAGCCGCTGCCCTTGGGAGGCGTCGGCGAGATGCATCGCCACCTGCTGCGCCAGACGCGCTATCTGCTCAAGTGCCCAGAGCTCTACAAGGGGAATGGCTGGAGGAGAGTCCCCGGAATGCTGCTGTTCGGGCCTCCTGGGACCGGCAAGAGGTCGCTCATCCGCACTGTTGCAGCGAATCTCGAGGTCCCGATCATAACCCTCAACGGCTGCCTTGAGGATCCCGAACGCGTGGAGAAGAGCTTGGCCGAGGCTTTTGACGCGGCCATCGGGCTGGCCCCGAGCATCGTCCTCATCGAGGACCTGGACTGGCATATCCCTAAGCCGGGAGGCAACAACCACAACGAGCACGGCCGGAAAGTGCTCAACCATTTTACGCGGCAGATGCAAAGAGTGCAGCAAGAGCAGGCCAACGTCTTGGCCATGGCGACGACATCAAGGCTGGCCGACGTCGACCCCGTTGCGCTCGAGGCCGGCCTGTTCGAGAGGACAATTCAAATGAGGGTGCCGGACCAGGAAGCTCGGCATGACATACTCAAGGTGGTCACGCGAGAAAAGATTCTATCTGACAGTCTAGACCTGGAAGAAATCGCAAAGATGACGCATGGCTTCGTGGGCGCAGACATCATCATCCTCACCACCCTCGCGGAGCAAGCGGCACAGGAGCGAATCCTCAACTCGGAGGACCCGGATGGGCGACAGCTGGAAATACTCACTCGGCCTCCTCCCCGCAAGGACGAGATGGAGGAGGAGGTGTCAGACATCTCGTTGGATCTAAGACAGCCCTCATTCGAAACACTGCCCATCGAACCGCTGACACTCGACGACTTCCGACTCGCCATCAAGGGCTTCACGCCGTCTCTCCGGCGCGAGGGCTTCACCGTGATACCAAGCGTAACCTGGGACCAGGTCGGCGCGCTGGAAAGGGTGCGCGAGCAGCTTCACATGTCCATCATCGGCCCCATCAAGAACCCGGAGCTCTACCAGGAGTTTGGCCTCCGACGCCCGGCCGGCGCGCTCCTCTGGGGCCCGCCCGGCTGCGGCAAGACGCTCGTGGCCCAGGCCGTGGCCAACGAGGCGCAGGCGTCCTTCATCCTCATCAACGGGCCCGAGCTGCTCAACAAGTACGTCGGCGAGTCGGAGCGGGCCGTGCGCGAGCTCTTCCAGCGCGCGCGCTCGTCCACCCCCTGCATCCTCTTCTTCGACGAGATCGACTCCCTCGTGCCGCGCCGCGACAACGCCTCGACCGACGCCGGCGTCCGCGTCGTCAACGCCCTGCTGACGGAGCTCGACGGCGCCCAGGACCGCTCGGGCATCTACGTCATGGGCACGACCAACCGGCCCGACATGATCGACGCGGCCATGCTCCGCCCGGGCCGCCTCAGCGTGCGCCTCTTCGTCGACCTGCCCACCCCCGAGGAGCGCGTCGACATCCTGCGCGCCATCTACAAGACGGCCCACGCCAGCGCCTCCGACGCCGAGCTCGCCCGGCTGCCCGCCGTGGCGCTGGACCCGCGCTGCAGCGACTTCAGCGGCGCGGACCTCGGCGGCCTGCACATCAAGGCGGCCGAGTGCGCGCTCAAGAAGTTCATGCTGGGCAAGAAGACGGCCAGGGAGATTGACGAGGACGACTGGGAGTACGCGCTGGACAATACGCGGTGCAGCGTGCTCAACCCGGAGTCGTACAGGAAGCTGGACAGAAAGCTGGGAAAGGGGGAGTAAGTTATTTAAAGAGCTGATGAGGCGTAAACACATTGGTGATAGTACTAGTACGCATCTTGGATGAATGGATGTTTTGTAGAAGATACCAGGCGCATATATATATGTATATACTACATTGAAAGAATCCATCGATTTTTCCGCAGAGGGACAATTCTTTCCCATCAGATCATGCACTCGATGCAATGACACCCTGGCATTGGAGGGTCACAGACGTAACAACACACATGGCAAACAGCTATTCGGGATCGTCTCAGCCAATACCGACTGCCGCTGAACCCCTGTCCATCAAACAGCTCCCGTTCGATTTCCCCCACTAACACACACACACACACACGGAACATGAGAGAAATTTTTCATGAGCTCACAGCTGCACACCGGCGTCCAGAGTCGCCCAGGGAAAAAAAGCGGAGTTTAGGTATTAATGGTACAAGCACAGTGATGGTGCTTCGACTATTCTAAGCTCGTGTCTATAGTACAATCGCCGCACCCCGTCTATCGAAATCGTCTGTTCATTACTTTTCTCTTTTCTTCGGTTTTCATCGCTTATTTGGTAGCGTCCTTGAGGTAGCTAGACAAAGGGCATTAGCACATGAACCGCGCTTCAGGTCAACATGCAACGAGAGGGGGGGTGGAGGGGCAAACATACGCAATCAGGTCGTTGCGGTCCTTCTCCTTCTTCAGGCCGCCAAAGGCCATCTTGGTGCCGGGGATGTACTTCTTGGGGTTCTCGAGGTACTCGAACAGGGTCTTCTCCTCCCAGGTGATGCCGGCCTGCTTGTTGGCGTCGGTGTAGGAGTAGCCCTCGGCGGAGCCGGTCTTGCGGCCGAAGAGGCCGTGCAGGGCAGGGCCGATCTTGTGGCCGCCGTTGGCCTCGACGGTGTGGCACTGGGCACAACGGGTCTTGAAGAGGTTGGCACCCTTCTTGGCGTCACCTGCAGCAGAAGCGTTAGCAAAAACTGGCTTCTTTTGACCGAGAGTGGTTGCAAATTGCCGGCGACGAGAACGTGAGAAGAGGGAGGCCAGGAGTGCAATCGGGATGACGCAGAGCTGACAACGGAAGACCGAGGTGTGCTTGGACCGGCGTCATCATCGTGAACTAGCATCATCAGGCCGTCCTTGAAAATGACGCACCGCGCCAGGAAGCTCCAATGCTCCCCCGGAAGGCCTGCGAGCACAAATTGCACTGCGTTGAGTGTGCCGATGCTCAGAGAGCCCATAGCATCTCCCGTCCAAGTCGTCAAGCATCGTGGCCCGCCTCAATGGCACTCCCACCGTCCCCTCGGAAACGTCTCGGCAACCGGATTGTGTGTGCATGAAGAACGACTTACCACCAGCCATTTTGAAGTATGGGTATTAGGTAAAAAAAGGGACGTTGAAAGTCGTTAGGTAGTAAGAGTTGGAATACCAAAGAAGAAACCTAAACCGGTATCTGCTTTGAGACGACAAAAAAAAGAAGTTGAATTTTTTCTCGGGAAGTTGAGAGAGAAAAGAGAGAAGTAGAAGAGAAGGAGAAATAGCACAGGGGAAAGAGACCAGGAATTTCAAGGCAGAACGGAGAAAAAGTGCAAAAGTTTATGACACAACCATGCCGTTGCAGAGAAAACCAGCGGTGATGCGCCACAGCTGTGGCTCGTGCGCAGCCAATCAGCGCGCGCCAATTACACAGTCACGCGCTTCCGTCGGGCGACTTCCACCCGGGTAAAGTCGGGCGGCCAACGCGGCGTCATTTTTTTGCGCTCAATTTTCGTGGGCTCACTTTTCTCAACTTCACCTCACGGGAAATCGGGAAGGCAGCGCCACATTGAGGCTGGTGGAGTTAAGGAACTTTCCCTTTGTTTCCCTTTTCCGCGGCTCCACCCGGATTTACCTACTCGTACTTCTTCCGCTTCTACTCCGGCAATAGGTCGGCAGAAGGAGGGCGTTTCTTCCTCCCGCCTTTTTGTCTGGGGGAGACTGTCTCCACTTCTTTTCAACAACCAGCCCATGTAGTTTTTTCCCTGGTGGGATGAGCAGAGCAGCTTCATAGCAAGCAGGAAAACAGCGAGAGAAAACACAACCGCCGAAGCTGCTGGGCGGTGGATTTTGTTTGCCCTCTTCTCTCCCTCTTTCCTTCTCTTCTGCCTATTCAGCAACTCTCCCCCTTCTTCTCTCCTTTTGTTTGACCGAATTCCCACCACAACGACATAAAAAGGAACAAGCATCCTATACTCTCTCTCCCTCACCTGTCACCGCAACACCTCCCGCAATGGTGACGAGAGCCGTCATCCCGCGCTTCCTGCTGCCGCTGCAGGGGCCGCTCTGGCGCGGCATCCGGATCCCGCTCTCGCAAAACGTCCACATCCGCTTCGCGTCGACCGACAAGCCCATTGTGCTCGAGAAGCCCGCGCGCTTCAACCCGCCGTCGCACGGCTCGCGGCTCAAGCGCAACGCCGTGCCCGGGCCCGCCCTCACCGAAGACGAGGTTGCCGCCCAGAGCAAGCGGAGCTACCCGGGCATGATGGCGCCCGAGGGAACGTGGGCGCACTGGTTCTGGCACAGCAGGCTGCTGCATACGTTCATCACCATGGTACGAGTTGGTCAGGAGGAGGGGGGTTGTTATCAGTATGCCAGGGCTGAGAGGACGTTGTTGGGCTGACTCTTTTACGCGTAGGGCGCGCTGCTGGCCATGGGCCTCTACACCTTCTTCATGAACTACGCCTACAACTCCCCGTTCAAGGACCTCGTCCCGCCGATATCCGACCTGTGGCAGCACCCCGCCTACTTCTTCTCCCAGTGGAAGAACGTCATCCTCATGCACGAAAAGGACAAGGCCCTCAAGGCCGCCGAGCACCGCAACCGACACCTCGACGACGTCGCCAAGCGCAGGTACTTTATGAAGATGCACGGCATCGAGGCCAAGGATCCCGTCGCCATGGTCTTTGGCAAGGACGAGCCCAAGTCGGAGGAGGCCCTCGAGGCGGCCGCCATGGGACGCGAGCTGCCGGCCCAGCCCGAGGCGGGAGCTGAGGCGCCCGTTGAGCAGAAGAAGAAGTGGCTGGGCATCTTTTGAAAAAAAGAAACAAAAAAAAGCTTGATCCGAAAGAGGTACGATTATTCGTCATATGTGCATTGATTAGGGGGCTCGGCCAGATGCTCCCCCCCTTTCTGTTGTAGTAGTATAAAGTCGTTTTTTTTTTGCCGCAGCACATTAGGCCTTGAGGCATTCTCCAACGTCTCAGACGAGACCAGATCAGATATGATGTACCAATATATAACACAAAGAACAAAGCAATGAAATGTATCAACAATCGCAGTTCCCAAAGATCATGCCAGCAGTGTAAATGTGCTTCACGTCAGATCAACTCCTTCCAGCCCATCCAAAACCTCGTCCGCGACACCCCCCTTTTCCAAGACGGCCTGTATGATGCTGTCCAGGACAGCAAACGGGGTCCCTCCCAAAGGCGCCTTCCAGACACCCTCCTGTGGACCCTCCTCCGACGCTGTTGTTTGCTGCCTCTGCTGCAGTGGCACGTCAGGCGTCGTCCCGCTCGCCGCCAGGTTCGCCGTGCTGGGCACCCCCGGCGGCGTCAGCCTCGAGGGGAGGTCAATCGTCCGCATCGCCACCAGCCGCAGCTCGCGCCCGGGGGAGTCCACCTCCATGCTGCCCTGCGCGCGCTCCCGCCGGACCTCGCACAGCGACACCGCCAGCGCCGAGTCCGCCACCGCGAGCTCCTCCTTGGACGGGTCGAACAGGATGCTGTCGCCCACGGCGACGACCAGCAGCGTGATGGACGGCCGCGAGCCCGCCGCCGCGCCCTGGCGCGGGTACAGGAAGGGCGCGGCTTCCCAGTCGTCGTCGAACATGGGGTCTTCGTCGCCTTCGGATTTGAGCCGCGGCAGGCGCGTCGCCAGGAGGGCGAGGTGTGTTGTCAGAGAGAGCAGCGGTAAGGGGTATGACAGTGGCGGCGATATCAAAAGAATCTGCATGTTTGTTGCATCAGCATCACTCCCCCTCGAAACTCGTTTGTCGCCCCAGGCAGCAAGTACAAATCTCAATCCAAGCCCAGAGCAAACGGCTTGCAAACTCCCAGGCACCCCCCCAATCTCTTCTGGCAAACTCACATCTAAATATAGTCTCCAATGGAAACGTCGGTTGATCCATAGCTTCTTCGCAAGCTCCCCATCCGCCAGCAGCGCCTCCCTCAGCAGCTCGGCCAGAAACACCGTCCCCGCGTCGTCGTCCCTCATCCCGGGGATCTCGACCGTCATCTCCAGCCACTCCCCCCTCGCCTCGCGCCTGTCCTCGTCCGCATCGCCTCCGCCGACGCCGCTCGCGCTCTTCATGTACTCGCGGTACCGCTCCCCGTCGTCGCCCAGCGGATCCGCCGTCTTCTCAATCTCCGCCTTGACGCCTACGATGGCCTCCGTGCCGTCTGACAGGCACACCCGCGCGCTGCCGTTCGTGCCGGGCAGGATCCCCGTCTCGGCCGTCAGCGGGCGGAACTGCTTGGACGTTCTGCCGTCGGGGCGGATGGGGGGGCTGAGGGAGAGGGAGCTGTGGAGGTACGCAAGCTCTGCGGGCGACAAAAGTGTTTGCTGGGCCATTGTCACCGCGCTTCCATGTGTGTGGGTATAGTGGGATCGGGGGGTCGGGGCGCAATTGTTCAGGCGCGGTGCGGAATGGCAGCTTGTCGTAGCGGTTTGTAGATGCAAAGGTTTTTGATCTTGGACAAAAAGTTGCATCTATCAGCTCACCTAGGTGGATGATAAGATAAGATAGATAAGCTCCGATGCGGGGGTGGGGCAGCTCTATCCAAAGTTGCTTCTCTTCGACGTCGCTGTAAGTTGGCACATGATGGCAGTGAGGTGATGTTTTTCCAAGGCTCGTGAAGAGCCATATGAATTGGGCATCTCAGCCGATAGTCTTCCCACAACACCATACCTTCTCAATGACATCCTGGACCCGTGGAAATGTAAGAGGGTATCAAGAGGCACGGCAAAGACTCCAGATTCGGCTCACGACGGACACAATTGAACACACAAATTGCACCACCCAGGCTTGGAGAGAGAAAAAAAGGACCCCTACCCAATATTCCTTTTCTATTCTCGTCTGCTATACCCGCTTGACACGCAATATCCTAGTGGTCCGCCATCATGATGAGAGAAGGGCTTGCTAGCACTCCTGAAACTTACAACTTACAAAAATCTATAGACAGCCACTAGCCTTGTCGCACTAGATCCAAGCAAACGTCGCCCATCAGGTCTGGCCCCAGCGCTGCGACCAGCTGCGCAACACTGTGTCGGATGCTCGATGTCGATTTGATACTGCTGCGGTTCCAGCCAGCCAAATCCGACGTCTCGAACAGGGGCCCTGTAGGGAAGATCTTGAGCGGAATGTGGTCCAGGTCCAGTCTCTCTATCGCGCTGAGAGAAGGTATTCCCGGCATTTTGGCTCGGAACAGGGAGCCATAGACTTCCTCATCGTCTGTATCCGTGTCAGTGTAGTCTGAGCTCGCGCCCGCAGACGTCGACAACTCAAAATCTCTGCTGGCAGATGCAGTTGCAGAGTCTGTGGAATGTGGCTCAGACGTGTTAGGGAGATCTTCTCCCAAGCCTTTGGCGAAGCTTGTGTACGTATCCCTGCCAAGGATATCCAGAATAGCCTTATCAAGGGGTCTCCAGTCCAAAGTGTCCGGGTCGAGGATATATTGAGGGCTGTATTCAATCTTGTATTTCATTTTAGGGCAGCTGTGGATGTAGTAACCGGGATACCACCATTTGTAGTTCTCTTCAATCGCGAGAGATATCTCGTAGAGAACGCTCAATTTGCCCGGGGCAAATGGGTGAATGCTTTCGTGGTAGAGAAAGTACACGGAACTGACGCATTGCGGTAGCAAGTCGAGCACTCCGACGGCTACCAGAATCCCGTCTAGGCGGTAGCATTGATGGTAGGAACCCAGGCGGCGCTTTCGTCCATCAGGTCCAACCATGAATCGACGCTGCAGGGGTGAGTTGCACAGAAAGCGCTGGAACGACTGCCTTGTGATTTCGGAAGGCTCGTCCCCATGGACAACTCTCTGGTAATTTTCATAGACGAGGAACTTTTCTTCTGTGAAAGCGTCATCTTCAAGAGTTACAACCCACTTGTGAGCTGGCTCGGGCGGCATCTTCACCCTGCTCAGCTCAGCCTCATGAATACGCTCCGTGAGACAGAATTCGTTGTCACGCTTCTTGGTCTCTTCGCGTGACCTTGGGTATAAGCGTGCAGCCTGCTTGGTATAAGACTCGCCAAGTACGTGTTTGTTGAAGCGATTGATCGTGTGGCGTTGGCTTCTGGTAGGGTAGAACTGTTCAGAATCCAGTCGAATGGTGTAGTGAGGACAGCAAGATGCTCGCTGATTTGGGCGGTACAGAAGCCTTCCAGAGCGCCTCCACCCACGGTCCAACATTTTGAGATAAAACTGAGGGCTAAGAGACGAAGTATTGGCATAATACGAAAAGCCTAGACAATCGAGGAAGAGAATAATAGTTAGCTGGTGGCTCAATCTACCTCGACATTCCGGAGGCTGCACAGCGGGTTTGAGAAGCCAGAGGCCAACAGGACTCGGTTCCTTGCCCTCTTGCGGTACGAAGGCCTGGAGATACGTGATAAAACAATGGTGATGAGACTAACTCTGCCCTCGAGTCCCGCAGTAACCGCATTTTGAAGAATTTGAATACCCTATGCTTTCTGTCAGTACATTCGGAGAACAATAAACTGATCAGTGAGAGAGGGGGCTGAAGGCATCCTGTCCACAGGACAGCGCCGGTTTCTTTAGGAAACAGCATCACAGTACTCGTGTCTAGCGACAAACACACATCCATGAAGTCGCAGCCAGCAAAGGGGGGATACGTAAAGCAGCGTTGCAACATACAATCTCGTAGAGGTCGCGGGGTGGGGGACTGGTGACAGACGGGTTGGGGGAGCGATGATGGAGATGGAGATGGAGTCAAAGGCTCGGGTCACAGCCACTAAGGAAGCCCCATGACGCTGGAACAGCACTACTCCCACGCTCCGTATACATGAGAATGCGTGAGAACTCCAAGGCAGCCGCCATAGTGCTCGTGCTCGCGCTCAATCTGCGGGCAAATGAAAAAGAGTGAGGTTCAAAAGCAGTGAACAGGGGCGTTCGCAACAAAGGAAGACACTCTGCCGAAGCAAATGAAATGCCCCGAGCCAACGAAATGCATTGAAAGCAGCACGTGGCGAGAGAAGAGGGCAGAAAAGCAAGACGGACGGCTTTTATTGACTCACCAATTGGGGATATAAGCTCGCTGCTGCCAGAGGAAGCTTCAGGGGTCTGCCCACCGTGTTGGTCCATGGCTGGTCTGGCACCTCGAGGTTTCCTGAACAGGCAAGTTGGTGCGTGAGACGTCGAGAGGGAACGAGAGCGAGGATTTGTATGTGGTATAAGAAGCGTTGCCTAGGCGGTAAGGACTCGTGTGGGCAGCCGTGTACGGCACTTGTACGCGGCGTAGGATAGGGCGCCAAAGTCGGGATGGAATCAAGCAATAGTGATAGGGAAGCAATGCAAGCAATCGTATAAGCAAAACTCCCGCCGCGGGGGCTCTCAGCTGCCGGCGTGGTTGAGAATCCAGAAGATGGCGATGTTAACGTGTGGGGTGTGATGTAAGGGGTCCAACCGCAGTCATGGCTGCGTCTGTCCGCTGGCTGGGTCGATGCCGATGGCTTGCTTCAGGGCGGAGTTGAGTTGCGCCTGGGAGTGACAGCAGGGCCACGGGCGAGAATGCAGTTGCTTGGTTGGACGTGCCAGGGCAGGGCCGCTATCTCTGTTGCCAGCGGATGGGATTCGCGATGGAGAGGAGAGAGAGACGAGTCTAGCATCGCCAGCGCGCCTGGGCGGAGTAGAAGAGAGGTTGACTGCTAGCGGAACAGGGTTGTTGATGAGGTCAAGTCCAGTCGCCGTGGCGGGGCCAGTGAGGGGGTTGAGTTCAGTGTCCTGGTTTTAGTGAGTTTAGTGGGCGCACAGGGAGCGGGAGTGCGCCCGTTGACAAGCGCCAAAGATGCCAGGTTCAGCGGTCCGTAGCGCAATTGGAACCTCCCGAACGTATTGATGCCACGACCTCCATCCGCTTTCGATATTTGAAATGGCCGCGGATATCCGTGCTGCACCCAGACAGCCGCAACTCTTATCTGGGGTATGTGTTGCATGAGAATGGCTCTTGTGTCCAGGCGTACGAAGCAGAGCCCGGAACAGATTGCCTCTCAAACTGGGCGGTAAGGTGGTAGTCTATCTACAAAGCGTGGTCGGAGCACCGCGACTAGGTACCTAGTGGCAGCTTGGATCCTGTATGCTACAGGTAACATGTGAACGAATGGGGACAGTGACAGCTCATCAAGATGGTTAGCTAGTAGGTGTGTATTATGCGTCAGAGGATCAGTCCATCTTCTAAGACTCTGCGTGTGAGGGCCAAGTGAGTCTAGGTTGGACTGCCTCATAGCACCATGCAGTAGATGGTGATGTATCGTCGGACAAGTTGAACGACCGCAGTATCACTGCGTGTGCGGATATGCATTCTCTCTGCAAGGGGAAGAAGACGAGACGACGGCCTCTCTTGACCGTATCTCCCCGCCTGCTAGTAGTCTATGTATGTACAAAAGTAGGTGCATGGACGTCTTCGGGAACAGTTCGTGCATCAGTGATGTGTAAGGTAGGCAGCTTTGGGTAGGTACTCGCAGCAGGAGTAGAAGCCTCATGCGACCATTTCTCGATGCGGGCTAATGACTGGAAATACAAGTAGGCGTGATATCCGATGATCGGTCAAAGCAGACATGATATGCTGCAATTACGGACTCGAACGTTACGTTGACTTTTGCTGCCACAGCGATACGTCAGTATCGGTACTCCGCACACGCATTGTGTTTCTGGATATCGACCAGCTTCATTGAAGGTGATATTGACAGCTGAGTGTTCCTGCTGGTAGCACTCGTCGTCTGCACATGCGCTCGTGCAAACTGCAAGAAGTCGACAAGCTGGAGCATTTGGCCCGGCGCCATTGGACGAGACATCGGGTGCATGTCGCCTGCATAGAGTGGGCCAACCTTGGCGGTGACATCTTTATTTTATTTCAGGAACTTTCAAGGCTGTCATTGATGAAGGTACCTAATACCTAAGGTAGGTAGAAACACCGACTTCAAGTTCTCGTTGGGGTTGTTGCGTGGGGTGCTGTGTTCGTGTTGCGGTCATGTCGTCTAGTACCTGTATATCGCACACTCACACTCACTCACTGCATGGCTGGGCAGAGCTGAGCATCTTCACTGTAGGTGCATGTACAATGTGCCTTGCTGCCTTGATCCTCACTTGCCGCATCCCCTTGCTTCGTCTCCCAAGATGACCATCAACTTCTTCCATCACCACAACTCCTCTCCAACTTACAGATCCCTCACCCGCCCTTGCCCACGCCGGCGCCACCGGCCCTGACGCACGACATGACTGGGCAGGCAGGCCTTGTCGAGCTCCATCCCATTCACGACACTAACAGAGATGGCACCTTAGTTTGACTATAAAGCTAACGCGGATCCTCCTCGGCCGGACCCCATCCAATATTGAATGCCATGGCACGAGACATGCTACAGATACAGTAGCCCAGAGAGCCATCGCCAACTGCCTGCCTGCCTGCCTGCGACCTTGTTGCCGCCAGAGAGACCTTCTCCTTGTCCTAGTCCTTGGCCTGCTCCCTGGTCAGTTGTTCGTTGTCGTTGTTGTATACAAGTGCAAGTACTTGCCTTCTACGTTGACAACATTGAAGAGTTGTTGTTCACTTGATGCCCTCCATCCTTCACATCAGGCTCTTTTCCGCCTCCCTGCAGCACCGCTCTCTCCATTATAAAGCAACAGGCCGCAACCCCGTGCCGCCTCGCCGTACCGCGCACCCAGATGCACGTGTGCCTCTTCCCGTCGCCTGAGCCTACCTAAGGTAGGTAGTTGCATGCGGCCGTGTCCGGCTTGCTGCCCCTGATACCGCCGCAGATTGCGCTGTCGGATATTATTTTGGACTTGCTTGAACCCGGCCAGGACACAGTACCAAGTACTTGCGGGTTGAAGCTGAAATTGGCATCCAACGGCGCGAGCTTCTGTTGCCTTTCCCTTGCCTGCCCCCAACCTCTCTTGCTATTGATAGGCACTACCTATCTACCTTACTGCCACTGCTGCCTCCTTACCTCCACGCCGCCTACCTTGCAAATTAGAGGTAGTGCTTGTACATACGCTCTGCTTTCACAGTAGCAACATCTCAAGTCCACCTCATCTCCCTCCCTCTTCCAAATACCCCGGGGCATACCGCCACCAGGTAGAATCAATCAATCAACCAACAAGAGTTGCGCGACAAACCTTGGCCCCATCTCCGCGTTCTGAGCCAACCTCTGGCAAGCCCTCGGTTCCACTCCCCGTCCCTTTTCTGCCCTCCAGCAACCGCCAGCTCCAACAGGGGAAAAACCAGCACCAAGCTTCGAATCACACCGCACGAAAAGGCCGCGCTTACAAAGTACTAGTTCCGCCCTGGGACGACTTACTAAATCCCTTCTCCAGCGTGCTGCGTCCCATCAATTTCCGTTCTTTGCAAAGCCTTCGAGTTCACGTTGCCACTGGCCGTATCACTTTCGTACCCAATATACAAGTTTGCAGGAAACCTAATACTCGTGCCCTGCCGAGTAACTGGTACAAGCATCAACCGCCCTCCCACGCAAACCTCATAGGCACAGCGCACTTGCCCAGCGCGCAGTTCCCCGACGCGGCGCCGAACGGCGAAACCATCAAAGTACAAGTACACCAACTTACAAGGACGGAATACTTCGCTTTCCGGCCGTGTCTAGAACGCCATCTCGCCCGCAGAAAAAAAAAAAAACATACCTACCTGGACACCACCTGGGCCTGCATTCGCTTGCACCCCTGTCCTGTCTGTGCCCATTATCTCGACCGGGAAGACAGAAGAACGACGTTGAAGCCCGTTCTCCTGCTCTCTCTAAATCAACGACGATGCAGCACATGTTACTGTGACCCTTTCCCTGCCTCTCCGCCTAACGACCGCTTCTCGACTGTCCGGCAAAATCCCCGTTCCCGGCAGCTTTTTTTTTTCCCTTCCACTCTCTTCCTCGGCCAGCTCTACTCCGTACCTCCAGACGAGTGGCCAATCACCACCGGGTCATCGTCAACCTCTGCACACCCATTCGCATACGCGCAAATCGCAATCACACGAGCACGCTGGCGACGACGGCTGCAGCAATGTCCGGCTCGGCCTCCAGCGGCGAGGGATCCAACAATCGGTCAATGCAGTCGCGGACCGGGCGGAGCAAACAACGTAAGTCGTCTCTTGAGTGAAGGGTGCGGTTTGTCGCACTCCAGATGCCTCCCAGATGCCTCCCCATCCTTCCCTGCAGACCCGAGTCACGTTTCTTCGTCGTCTTGCCTAGACTTCTGCAATTCTCCCCCTCTGCCTTGCATTGTTCTGTGCACCTCCTTGCCGCCATTTGCCTTTGTCAGCCGTCCCTTTGCTTGTCTGCTTTTGCTTCGCTTCGCCGACGCCAAAAGCCCGGGATCCCACTGACCCATCTCCCTCCTGCAGGGTACAACGCACAAGGAGAACGACTTGTCGCCGGCGTCGTGCCGCTCAGCGAAGATCGCAATCGTGTCATCCTAATTCAGTCCACCCGGCGCAAGGGTTGGGTATTGCCCAAGGGAGGGTGGGAGTCGGATGAATCGTGCGAGGAGTCTGCGGTGAGGGAAGCCTGGGAAGAGGCTGGCATCACGGTCAACATTGAACATGACCTGGGCAACTTTGAGGAGAAGCGGCCGCCCAAGACGTCCAAGGACCGGTCTCGCTACTACTTTTTCCAGGGCACCGTGCTGGACCAGCTTGACAATTGGCCGGAAAAGGACAAACGAGAGCGCGGGTGGTTCACGTATACACAGGCAATTGAGGTCCTCGTCAACAGGCCTGAACTCCAGGAAGCTTTGAATCGCTCCTCGATGAACAGGACATGAGCAGCCGCCTTTCCGAGGCGGTGCCCCCCCAGCTGTTTTTTTCCTTACAGCGAAACCTTTCGACCATCCCGGTTCTCCTTGTACACTACACATTCTCCCCTTCTCGAACGACCCCTGGGGGTTTGCCATGGGCTGGCAGGTGTCTTGAGGGCGTGGAAGCGTCTTGGCCGCAGCAGATAGCCTGCGTTGCATTCGTGAACGAAAGCAGATGGCTGAAGAGCCAGAAGCAAGAGAAAGACGAGGACAGTTGCTTGCAATTCCTGGCTGGCGGACCGCGGCGGCTCGCTTGGCTACGGCGCCTACTCTGCTACAGACTTTTCTAACACACACAAGACAAGAAACAGCTAACCATCCAGGGGTGCGATGAGGTTTTGATTTCGGCTCAGGCGTTGTCGGCAGGGTTTTCATCATAGAAGCTATCAGGAAGAAAGAAAAAATACTAAGACGGGCGGGGCACATTGGGGTGTATTACAAGGCATACGGTAATGCTCTTGACATAGGATACACAAAATTAATTGTTTGCAAAGAAGACGGTACCAGCGGTTGGCGAAGCGGTGGCTGGTCGCGCCATCCGCTTGTCCTGTCTGTCCTGTCCTGTCTTTTGTGCGGTCCTGTCTGGACCGCGAGATATCTTTTAGAGCACACCTACCTACTACACGGGGTAGAGAGAGAATTGAGGCCATAGACATGACGAGGGAGCTGTCGTGTGCGCCGGAGCTAAGTACCTGCCTTAGCTCTGGGCCCCAGGCACCCCTCACTCTCTTTGACATGAAGTACCTTACGGGCATGTACACGTATTCGTAAGTACCTGATGACTCAATGGGCATTGTCACCCATTGTCACGCCGAGATCAGCGTGGCTTTCATTGGAGACTGCGTGCTGCTGGGACGATGTGCTGCCGAATCTCGATGTCTTTATTTTAGCCGGGCATCGGGGTCGTTACCGATGCAAGCAAGCAGACATGTAGGAAATAAGGTACTATTAGCAGTATAAGGTAAGGTAGTCTACCTACCCATACGGAGTTGATGTAAGCCGAGGGACATGCCGCCGAGAACCTTGGATGCAGAGTGCTCCGAAGCCTAGACACCGTAAAACGGACTCAAGAGGCATTCGATAGCCTCAGTTGGTGGGTTCTTCAGTCGTGTCGTCGTATGACAGTTATCGTAGGTTGCATCACGGGCATGTTGGTAATACTGCCTTTGCCCCCGTGCAAATTGAATTGTTGCGTACCTTATGATACCTCCAGACGAGGAGCGTCCTCAACAGACCTTAGGTCGGTACTAATTCCGTCCTCTGACGTACATGAACGTAGACCCTCCAAGCAGCCTCAGCGGAAATAGACGCTGACACGTGATGTCTGCTTATCGATAAGTCCACAAGGCGGGTATCCTTGGCCTGACGATAGCGAACCGACCTCGACCTGGGGAAACTGCCATATGTTGTGATTGCTGCTCTACACAGACTTCGCTACCTCTACGAACTTTCTCTCCGGCGGCCATGTTTATATAGACACACACATACCAAAGGGATTCTAACAGCAGACTCATGGACCTTTAAACCGGACCAGCGAACACCATACACATACAGAAAAGACCCGTTATTCCCTCCTCAGACAACACACACACAACACACCACACAACACACAGAAGCTCCTCTTTGTCGCCCACGCCCCATGCCATCATGATGGAAAACCTAGCCATTTCAGACGCCCCTCCTCATCCGCCTCCTCCTGCTACCGGGGGGGCGGCCGCGCAGCCTTTTGCGCAGCTGCCGCCGCAGATGTTTACGACGGCGGCGCAGCTGCTGGACCTTACCGATAGTATGACTCTCCTGGACTGACAACCGGCGGGGATGGAATGGAACACACATGGACGGGGAGAGCGGTTGTATGCGTATGAGAGAAGAGGGAATCCTGGCGCTAACGGAGTGTTTTCCCGTAGAGAAACTCATGGTGGTTCTGCGTGATGGGCGGAAGTTGATTGGAGTATTAAGAAGTTGGGACCAATTCGGTGTGTAATGCCCCTCGTTCCCCTTGACCCTATATCACGCAATCTTGCAAGAGAGGCATCAGCACCGTTCAGGGAGAGAGAAACAAAAAATTGGGAAAATGTACTTTGGTCATCTAACCAGCTTCTTTCTTCGATATCAGCCAACATCGTCCTGCAATCGACAACGGAGCGGATATTCGCCCCGCGCCCCGACAACCCCCAATCAGAGTACCCGTACGGCTACTTCGCCGACATACCGCACGGCATCTTCCTCGTGCGAGGCGAGAACGTCCTGCTCCTGGGCGAGATCGACCTGGACAAGGACGACGACGCGCCGCCGGGGTATCAGCTGGCCGAGGTGGACGTGGTGAAGAGGCTCGCGGAGGCGAAAAAGGCGGCGGACAAGGCCAAGGAGAAGGCGCGCTTGAAGAAGCTGGTGAGGATTGGATTTGAAGGGGAGAACTTGGGGGATATCTTCTTTTGAGCGGTGGGGGACAAAACGGTTATTGTGCACTTGGAGCCAGTGGCCTTGGGGGGAGTTGACTTGAAAGGGGAGAAAAAGAGGATGGGGTTGGAAGGAAAGCCGACAGCAAGGAATTTGTCGTTGCTTCTTGCAGATGCTTCTGTCTGCATCTGTGGTTCTCTGTTTTTGTTTATTTTATGCGCTGCGGCAGAAAGGGCGGTTCGGTGGCAGAATATTGTGAAATGCCCCGGATCGAGAGAGGTTGAGCTGAGCGGGTGCAAGAGAGCTGCTTTATGCTATATGCCTTGAATGGGCTAGATACATCGATTTCGAGTGGCCGCTTGCTTCTACGACAATGGTATGACACAGCTTTCGGTGGGATTTGTTCATATATGGATGGTGCGACAGGCTCATATGTCTCAGTGTTATCAATTTCGTGAGATGCTCATCTTTCAAAAGATGTGTAGAGAGTCTTGCTAGCAAAATACATACATAATCATACAATTGCCCTCTCTAAGCGGACAAAATACCGTTACAGCCACCACCCCCTTTTCTTCCTTCTAACCTTGAGAAGAGAAAACAGCCAACCATACCTGACTCAAGTGGAGAGAGAGGTCAGCGAAGCAAAAAAGCAACCATACAACGCCAGGAGAACCAGACCATTTCTTTCTCCGTCTTTTCTTCTTTTCAGTTTCCGCAGAAGCACACACCCGTTTCCCTTGTTTTTTCACATTTCTTTTAACAATCCCAACGCCGCTTGCTCTCAAACATGGGTATCGGTGTATTATCGCCCGAGTTCCTCATCCCGCCGCCCAGCAGCCAATCCGTCAAGCCGACAAACTTGGCTCCCATGCCCTTCTCCCAGTCGCCCCCCTCCTGCGCCTGCTCGATGGTGTGCGTCAATATCCTCCCCTCGGCGTCAAAGTCGAAGATGAAGAGCCCCGTAAAGGCCTTGTTCGGATCGACGCCCCGCGCGAGGCGCAGCGAGGGCAGCGAGATGCCGGACTCGGACTTGTCGTCGTCCTTTGGCTTGCGCTTCTCGCACCAGCGCACGACGAGCTGCTCCGGTATGGCGCCGGCGCGGCGGGGCAGGAAGGTGAGGGGCTCGGAGGTGACGCGCTCGGCGAGGATCTCGAGCTGGACGTTGCCGATGATGGGCACGCGGTTCCAGGCGATGGGGGAGGTCCAGAGGGCGGCGGTGTAGGCGACGCGGCCGGAGACGACGGGGAGGTGCGGGTGCGTCGAGGGGAAGAGGCGGAGGGAGATGTTGGGGGCGAGGATGTCCTGCGGGAGGGGGGACTGGAGGAGCGTCGGGAGGTGTTCTTGGAGGATTCGGAGAGCTGGAGGAGATTATCGTGTGAGTAACAGTGTCTTACTTCCAGTGTGTTTCCTACCCTTCGTTCTTCTCCGCTGCTTGCCATTGATATGGAATGGGAAGATTTCAAGGTTGTTTAGGGACCAATAATCGGTGCTACTTACTCCTTCCCAGCTTTGCTTTGTTGGGATCCGGCGGCTGGTCTCCTCGACCTCGCACAGCGCCGGTGCTCTCAAAGTAGGTCTTCGGCAGGGTGTTCGTGTTTCGAGTCTCGGGCTTCACCTTCTGCTGCCGCAGCAGCAGGGCATCAGGCAGCGGCTGTTGTCCCGGGGCCGCCTCCGTCGACGGCCGCGCAACTGGCTGGGCCGGGGCATTGGCTGGGCCGAAGCTGGCAATGCGGCGGACAGAAGCGCCGGGCCAGGACCGGGGCAACGGGCAGGTCAGAGTGGTGTTGCGCAGGGGCGCGGCCATTGGATGCGGTTGGCGCTCCTGGGGAGGAGCCGCATGGGATTCGGAGATGGACGAGTTGTCTCGCTGTCTCGCTTGTGGTTTATTGTTTTCGGTCAGAGGTGCAATGGATGGCGAAGCTGGGGCGGCATTGGACCGAGGGGAGCCGGGAGACGGTTCAATCTTTTGTTTTTTGCTGTTAAGCTTTTGGTGCTTCGGTAATAGTGCGTCCTCTCAATTGCAAGGCAAGGCTATACTCGTAGCGGTTGTGAGTGGGCTGCTGTAGGGAGCATCGCTGCGGGGCCGTTCCGCTATTCCGGGTCTCGGACAGAATCGAAGTGGAAGGTCTCGACTGGTTCTCCGTAGGTGATACTTCCAGATGCTCTGCCAAAGCAGGCACACGGAACGGATGAACTCGGGATGGCACGGATGATGTCACTGTGAGGACCGGGCATGGATGGGCATGAGATCATGGTGGCCTGCGACGGGATTCCATTTCTTCCACGCTGATCCATTGGGCAGGACCTGCTGATTGGGACAGCGAAAGAGACAAATGGCGAATGGCTGCATCTCAGGTGATCACGGTCTTGGGAGTGCGAATCACATCTTCGAATCACATGCACGCCTGGTCTATTCTACCGTGCGCCGTAGTTGAGCGGCAGTGCTTTTTGAGTGCAGGCTGCACACACGGGAAGGGCATTTGCGACAAGGGGGATCAGATGTGAGTTAAGGACTCAAGCACAGAATATTAGCTGTTCGTCAAAAGGATACTCGCCGTTACTATGAACAGTCAGTAAAGCTGCATGTCAAACGACGGGAATCTCGCAAAGAATGGAGACGCTCTTCCACAAAAGGTTCCATTATTTACGGGGTTGCGATAGCGGGCAGGCAGATAAGATAAGGTACCGCACTGGGACTCCCGAGGCAGCACCTGCCAGTGTGCACAGCCTTCTGTACCAGCAGAGCAGGCCAATGTCCATCCAGGTTCTTTCTGCCATCAGTTGTTCGACGACTGTGATTCACTGCCTTTTGGCTGCAGCATCCAAGGAGCAAATGGCATAGAAACGTTTCGCTCTGTCCAAGGCACTTTGCAGTACTGCTACCACCAACGCTCCCCCCTGTGCTCGGTGCTTTAGCGCAGCTTGCTCACCAATCCAAAGACCTGAAGTACTGCCTCGTACCTAATAATAGCGTCAAGGTACATATAGTACAAACTGAAACCCAGAGGCTTGCAGGCTGGAGGCTGGAGGCTGGAGGCTCAGGCTCACTGGCCGCACCACGTGACCCGCGCTCCCACCGCCCATCCCATCCTCCCAGCCCAAAGTCCAGCCAACGAGCTTGTCCTTCCCTGACGTACTCGAGACCTTGGCCAGCCGACGCTCCTTTGAACCTCGACCAACCATCCGCCTCGATCGCCACTCGACCATCCTGCATCTCTCCAGAGCCTCAGAGCCTGCTTTGCCCTCCTGTTCCAACAGTCAACGCAACACCAGCCGCCCATCATGAACCCTGAGTGGTACGCAGCCCCCCCCGTCGCTTGATTGCGATACTCTCCTGAATCCTGTCCGTCGTATCTGGTGCTAACGCAGTCCGCAGAGTACAAGTGCAAAACGGGCAATTCCAGTCGGTCGGCTGCGTCGATTCCATCGCTGCGATGCAGTGCGGTGCGATTCTGCTCGGGTAGCAGTCCGGCGATGGGGTTGATACGATGCCTCTGATGACCGCGCCCGTCCCAGACGAGAGATGGGATGGGAGGTGAACCTTTCGCTGACACGCCGCTTCCCCGAATTCTAGATACGACTACCTCTTCAAGCTCCTCCTCATCGGTGACTCCGGTGTTGGAAAGTCTTGTCTGCTGCTGCGATTCGCCGATGACACCTACACCGAGTCCTACATCTCCACCATCGGTGTTGACTTTGTTCGTGGAACCTCGTCTTCTGCAGGACCGTCATTTGCTAATATCCTCGGCAGAAGATTCGAACGATAGAGCTCGACGGCAAGACCGTGAAGCTGCAGATCGTAAGTCATGCATACATCCCCGTACGCCAGATTTCGGCGCAGCCGGCTAAGACTCTTTGATCATCTAGTGGGATACCGCCGGCCAGGAGCGTTTCCGAACCATCACCTCATCCTACTACCGCGGAGCCCACGGCATCTGCGTCGTCTACGACGTCACTGATATGGACTCCTTCAACAACGTCAAGCAGTGGCTCCAGGAGATTGACCGGTATGCCACCGAGGGCGTCAACAAGCTGCTCGTAGGCAACAAGAGCGATATGTCCGATAAGAAGGTGGTTGAGTACACCGTTGCCAAGGTAAGTTGGCGCTCAGCTGCAGCCTGGTGTCTACTCACCAGTCATCTGCATCAAACACTGCCTGGCATCTCCAGGCTGCCATCTCCAGGGGTCTTCAGGCTCTCCGTAAATGTGAAGCTAACGTTTCCTCTCCAGGAATTCGCTGACAGCCTGGGCATCCCCTTCCTCGAGACTTCCGCCAAGAACGCCAGCAACGTCGAGCAGGCTTTCTTGACCATGGCTCGCCAGATCAAGGAGCGCATGGGCACTACGACTGCCAACAACACGAAACCCAGCGTGCACGTTGGCCAGGGCCAGGGTGTCGGCAACTCTTCCAGCAGCAGCTGCTGCTAAATGTTGCCCCCCTCCTGATGGTTTCGAGTGTTTTTGCTTTGTCGTGGTCGAGACTGGTGACAGGATGATTAGAGCAGTATGACTTCCCATGGGGAAACGACTGAACCATGTTTGTTATGACATTTTCCTCCATGATTCTAGGGTTTTCTCAGTTTGCCCTTCCCCATTTCTGCGCATTAGAGTACATCATGTCTCGTTGGATCTCGCCCCCTTCGGACACACGCACGCACAAGTGGCAATCTCGCTTGCTTTCTAGGACAGACACAGTAGGGTCGGGCGGGAAAGGGAGAAGAGGACGATACGGGAGGAAGGACGTGATACTGATACACTCTGGGAACAAGGCGCAAATATCAAGAGAGACGAGGACCTTACGGTTGCGCTAGCTGTACTTTCACGCCTTTCCTTCGCCATTAATGACCCTCCTCCCACGAGAGGTTTCCGTTTGGAAGGTTAATGGACGCTGATGGAAATTGTGGTCTCTGCAGCAAGCTTGTTTTTATTATCTTGGTCTCTTTTTTTTCTTCTTTTATTTACATTGGTATTATTTGTTCGCTATTTCCATTACCTTTGCTCGTCCATTTATATGGTGGTGCTTCGCTGCGGAAGGCCTTTGCTGCCCTCTTTCTTCCCCGTGTCTCTGTAGCCTTGCTCTCATGAGAGATGAGGCAGCATAAATACCTTACCAAGGGAAAACCGCGTACGTGCTTGTTCGAGCCCACCAGTGTGCCTCCCGTAAAGTAAAGTAGTGCTCCAGGTCGAAACCTCTTTGAATAGCCAGCCGTCCATGCCCGTCCCTTCTGTTTCACCGAACAACATTCTTCCTGTTACCTCGGGTCACCTTCCAAAACTTTCCCCTTTCAGGTTTGATCTGGTCCTCGGTGAAGAAAAGCGTAAATCGGTGAAACGATGTGTAAGTCGGTGAAAAAACCGTCGTTGGCAAATGCAAATGACCCTCAAAGGTGATGAATCGTTGCTATGCGCTTTTTTGTGTGATGAAGCAGAAACAATTTACACGATGATTACTACCCGCCATTTCTCAGAGAAAACACACGTTCTCCTGAAATCGTGCAAATTCGCGAAAACGACGGTTGGTAAGTAATAGGTAAGCTCGCTCGCTCGCCGGCCAAGACAAGGGGTGGCTTGCCGAAGCGAGAACCAAAGGGGGGAAGGAAATGGCATTTTCATGGACAAGGGGGGATTTTCATAGCGGCATAGGATTTCTTGACAAAATGAACAAAAAGTGAAAACAAAGTACACAGGCACTGGAAATGACGGGAGGCGGCAGTGGTCCTTCGTTACTATAAGTCATACATGATTAATTTCTATCTAATAGGCCCAGCGAAATCTCGACAACTCAAGAGGCGTCTCGTCGCAAGTCGCCCAAATATCCACCACTACTTTGCAGTACACTTGTCTATATATCCGTAATTGTATGTTGCACCCTGGTACAACCCAGATCACGCCAAAATGTCGTCCAGAACAAACGCTAACATCCGAGTAAAAGAGGTAATGAAACACGACTGCAAACAAAAAGATGGGAAATTAGAATGATGATGAGGGTATGCGTTGGCAGAAGACCGTGGCGTCTAGATGGATTCATAATTCGTTGTAGCCAGAAGGAGTGAGCCTAGCACCCGACCAGACACGACTCATGGCAAGTCACGACTTTGCGTCATGAAGACAAATATTGAAGAGGGAAAATAGAAGGAGAAAAAGAAGGAGAAAGAGACGATGATGGAAGCGCGACACTCAGTGTGCGCACCACTATTCCAAGCCTAGAAACTTGAGAGCTTTCCGGGTATTATTCTTCGGTTCGGCGGGTTTCATGAACATGGGCATGAGCCTACGCTCCTCCAGATCCAACTCGGTATCTGCACTATCAAAGGTAGCCATTGATAGCACGTCACCACGGAGCTGTCGCCGCGTGAATTCACGACTCTGTACTGTGTCTGACTGAGGTGTCATAAGATTGTCCGTAAACGACGGGCGCCGAGAAGACAGCGTCAGCGATCCAGGACTGGAAGAGGCTTCAGCTGAGGTAGGCGATGGTTCGAGCTCGGTGGACATTGAGAACCTGGTAAACAGGGCATCCAACGGGGCGGGTCTCGACTTCCTGCTGTTTCTGTCGGGCGAGGTTTGCTTTCGAGGCGGAGACCCGGAGACGCCGTCCTCAACGTGGATGTTCCAGACGGTAGAGATGAACTTTGCAATGTCTTTGTCAGTAGCTGTAGACGCAAGCAAGAAATTTGCGTTGGAGACTGTAATATCCGTGCTCGATGCCTGTGGTGAGAGACTGGGTGTTTTGGCATCGGCTTTGGCTCCAATGGCAGGGCCTCCGATCTGTGTGAACGGTAGGCGGTCCGGCTTGTTAGGGTCAACAATTTGGGCCACCTTGATGAACTCTACGCCTGCCAACTTCTGCAAGGCCAGTATGGTGGGCAAGTGTTCGGGCGGGTACTCCAGCAAGAGATACCGGATCTCTGGGTGGAGTGCCAAGTACGATTCAAGATGGGGAATAAGCAGCGTCGCCAGAAGGTACGAGTTGGTGAACGGGTTATCGGATGTCTGGTTCGTCAGAGGAAGAGCCGTGAATGCTTGCATGGCATTGGCAAGTAGGTACCTGCTGAGCGGTTAGCTTCTCAGTTCACGGGCTGTGTCGTGCGTATATCATGCGTGAAAAACCTACCGGAAATCTACCCGACCGCTGCGGCCCTGGCGATCACTCGATTTCGTACCAATTGACTCCAGCCGCTTGACGATTCCGGACGAATACACTTTGTCCACACCTTGTTGAGACCCAATCGCCAGAATGGGATCGACTCTTCGGTTGGGCTCCTTTTGCGAGTGTCGAGACTCGGTTTCTCGAAAGACCGGCTTCCACATCCCACCGAACTCGGGAAGCAGAGAAAATTGGAATTGGCGGTAGCCCTCTGATTCTGGGGAAAAGTACTTGCTCAAAATCGATCGAAGCGAGTTCTGGATGGCGACGGCAGTCTGCCCAGATATAATCTCGAGATCGTAGAACTTATCCTCCTTTGCGATGCAGGGAGGTGGTGTTTGTGCTGGCGTCGGAGGCCGAACGACGTTAACCGTCGGAACGATTCTCTTCGGCGGATGCACTTCTCGAATGTGCGTGAAGGGATTCAGATCATCATCATCTGCTGCTGTGTTTAGTACAGAGGTCTCGTGAGCTCTGTCGTGATATCTTTGGTCAAGTGCGGTGGGCTGGTGAAGGGTCGTTGCACCAGGAATTATCGGAGAGTATGAGGAAGACGACAGGATGGGATAGTTGCCGGCCTTGAACGATTTGATGATTGAAGAGAGCAAGGGGCTTGGCGTTTCGTCCTTGAAGTATACAACTAGGTCTTCCACCCAAGGCAGTAATGGCTGGAAGGGTTCCTCAGTCCCCGGGAAGGCCCCAATGGTATTGTGGCCTTTTCTCGTCTTTCTGTCCAGGAGATTCTGGTCAACTTTGATCGACGGTTGGCGACCCTTGGATCGGACCGTTCGTCGTCGATCGATGTAACTTATCCTCCGGATAAGCGTAGGCTCCTCTTCGCCCGAGACCATGAAAGACTGGGAACGGCGGGCAGCATTAGGCTCTGCTTCCATCTCTGCGGAAGCTTCTGAGATGCAAAGGTCTCTCAACTTGGCACTGAGCGGGTAGATTCTATCCAGTGACCTGACTCTGTGCGGCGCTCCCTTAGAGCTCCCAACCGATGCGCGCAGGTCGTGCGTCATAGAATCTCCGCTTCCCCTGCGATCATGTGTGCCGGCATTGAGTAATTCGGATCTGGGAGAGAGCATTTCAATGTCACGGGACACCCGAAGGCTCGAGCTGACTGGAGATTTGTGGACAACGCCACAGGGCGACGCCGGCCTGATCTCTGCAGAGTCCAGCATCAGCCTTTTCGACGGTCGGTTGTAGTCAACGGCGGCAAAGGTTGGCGCTTCGGGGGTCAGAGGGCCGTCGTCATCCATAGCTTCTTCGTCCTCAACTTGCGCGCCAAAGAGGAAAAACGGAGCTGCGTCGCCAAAGCCATCCGAGTAGCCGTACAGCGGTAGGCTCAGACTTCGCGGCCGAGTAGTCGCGGCAAGGTCGAGCAAGTCATGTGGTTGCAAGTTGGCTGTTTGTCGGTCCAGGTCATCGGCGGCTCTCATGGCCCTCGTTATGGGATCATTGAACTCTTCGTTGAACGTTGCGGCATCTCCAGAAATGGCGTGGCTGTGAATTTGGCTCTTAGCCTCGAGACCGGCCAGGCCGTCCTTGGCCAACTGGGCGTAAACAGCTTCCGCCTCTACCCTGTCTCCACTCGTCTCGTGCTTCATGATAGCTTTGATACAGAGGGCGTGGGCACTGGGCGTGCCACCGTTAAGAAATGCCAGTCGCTTGTTCGACGTCGTTGCTCCATGTAAGAAGCATCGTGCAGCTTCATGACGGGCGGAAAGGGCATCGTGAACCTTTCGAACATAGGCCCGCACCTCGAACGCCTTGTCCGAGTCATTACTGGGAATGTAGTGCTGAATCGCGGGAAGAATGAGAATCTGGGGTGAGGTTGGCAGCAGTCGGAGCTGAGTTGACACAACGTCGAGGGGGCCTTCGAAGGCAACAACACTGCCATACTCGTCCATTCTGGTGTCTGCCATGGTGAAGAGCGTGTCCCAATCGACGTCTGAACCAAGGCAGGAGGCAGGTTGATTAAGGAAGAGAGTGGCTCAGGAAATGTGAGCGGAGCCGAAGAAGGTCGGCAGGAATTTGTCGGCTGTTGATTGACCGCAGGGCCCAGGGCCGCGGCGGAGGCAGTGATGGAGAACAGGGACGAAGTGGAATGGCGGTGGGTGAGCGACCTGCTCCCACTTTGTTTCAGTCTTCGTTTCCCTGTGTGTCCTTTAGATGTTCGGTGAAGGCATGACCACAGCAACGCAGTCGAGACTTCCAATTCGCCGAGACAGGTGAAGCTGCGAGAGCCCGAGAGCTAGGCGGGAGCTATAGCTGCGCTTTTCTATCGACAGCGGCGAATCCTAGAAAATGACAAGTGACGGTAGGAGACGTCAGCAGGGGTAGCGAAGAAAGGGTTGACTTGCAGGGCCAGGATGACCAGCAGCAAGGAAGCGGGCAGAACTACCGAGTACGATGGGAGAAGCCTCGGGGGCAGTGAAAGAGAGGAGTGATATGGTATTGAGGAGAGGAGGAGAGGCAACAAGACACGAGAGGAGGTGGGAATTCAGGAAAGGATGGTAGACGAGAACCGAGGGAGCGAGGACATGGGAATGCTGAGAGGAGGAGGAGGGAGTTGATGTTTGTCGACGTCAGGTTGAGTTGGTCAACAATGAACGAGGATCTGGAAGTAGCACACAGCAGTTTGTCCCGGCGTCGAATCAGATGCGAGAGAGCTTCGTCCAGAGCTTCTGGCGGCTGGCAGCAGCAGCTGCCGCCGGGTACCTGGGCGAGCTGGGACAGGCGCCAGATACCTGCAGCTCGGCGTAGGCTGTGAGCCTCGTAGAAGTACCTCGAAAAGTGCAGAAAATGTACAGGTACAGGTACGATTACGGAGCACGGAGCACTTGTCCTGCATTGCACTTGCCTCAGACCGCATGGGCCACTCCCACTGCTCTGCACCTGCCTCATATCGGTGGCCTGTAACACCCCGTACCTGCCTTAGAACGAACAGAGAGACACACAACCCAACACAGCACAGAGCACAACCTTGAAGTACAGGTACTCATTACGGGCGCACAAGGCCAGGTACAGAGTACGAGCGGTGCGTTCAGGCGGTTGCCAGCGCCGCTGCAGATGTCGTGCGTGTGCGAGCTGTGCCCATCGTGCAGGTCGTACAGAAGACTTGTCCGGCAAGCGCGTGCACCACGACTAAGGTACTCCGTACACGGCAAGTCTCTCGAGCACAAGCCGGGACTTGACCACCGACTCGGCTCTGCGCCCCACTGAAGCTGCAGGGATCAGCTTGGCCCCAAATTGGAGCTTCATCGCCGGGCCATTTGGTTGGCATTAACCAACCAACTGGAAGCTGTGCTGTCGCCTGTATGCATTGAGTGTGCTACTACGCGTACTAAGACGACCACCTTACTGCTCCTACTGCGACGACAACTGATTCCAGGCCGCTGCCTCAGCTCAAGCTTCCATTGCCGTCACTTATCACCTCAGCATCAGCGTTACCATGAAGGATATGCCCGAGTCTGGCCGCGCCTGGACCACCTTGCCTTGCCTGGCAGAAGCTTGTCAGAAGCAGCTCCGTGGGCGCACGGTTTGCTGGCCGAGCAAGGGGACAGCTCATCAGCTTGTCTGTCCGTGTGTTCTCTTTTCTTTCTTTTTCTTCTTCGATTCCTATTATGGAGACGCTGTTGCGCAGGCGGTGTTCAGGTAGTATCCGATCCACCGAGCGTCGACCACTCCGTCCCTACAGAACTTCGGCCGGGAGCTACTCTGTCCGTATTTCTCGAGACAGAACAGCAAGAGACAAAGACACGGCTCGGCCAACCTGAGAAGAGAACGGGTTCCGTCCGTTTGATGCCGCTAGGCTACTGGCCTGCATCCTTCATCGCAGTCCTCGGCTGACGCTACCATACTGGGGTATCCCATTCGCCAGTCTTCGCCAGTTCCTTCGGTGAGGTGGTTGCATCACGAGAAAAGGAGGCTTCGACATCGCTATTTTGGGGCTCTGATCTGACAGTACATGTTGTTCGTACTCTTCTGGATCTTGGTGGGAACCAGGGGGTTGTTCTTTCGGGCTTGGGACGGACAGGAAGCGAAAAGTGGCTTGACAGGGGCATGCATTCTGACATGGGGAAACGGCGATGCGAAATGGAATTGGGCTGTTCATCAAGCCCCTGGTGACCAACGGACCAGGTCTTTTGGGCGCCAACGACGACAAAAAGGCCCTACGAGAACACAGTTTGACGGTCTATCACGGCCGCAGCACGAACGCGATCTGCACATGCATCGCTTCGGGGTGCGAAGTGCCTGTTGGTCTTGACGCTAACAACTCCCAGTGTATCATGCAACGGAGTCATCTCCGACCCTCTCACCCCATCGGCTCCAGTGAGGATTCGAGGCACAACGCAGCCTTCAGCCCACTCGCCCACACTCTTGCCAACCGGACGCCGGGGACCCCACACAGCCAAGAGGCACTCAAGAGACGTTCTTGCTGGCGGCCATTGGACAGCGAGAGGCGGTACTCCGTCATACAGGCTAGTAGTACAACTGATACTCCACGCCTACAGAAACCTTCGGCGGATAAATCTGGCGTCCTCTCAACAAGCACAGGTACCAGGCACGATCATGTCTTAGACCCGATCGGCAACGACAGCCTGCAATGACGCTGCGGTGCTCCGTTGTGGCATATTGAAGTGAGTCAGCATGATCCAGTCCATGCGAGTTCATATGGGAGAGGACCCGTGCGAGAAGCTACAAACGTCCAGAGACTAGGTGCTCGGTGTAAACGACGGACGTATCGTGGCACATGTTTGATATCCTGTTGCGCATCGCTCTCATCCAGGCGCTGGGCTGGGGAGATCGGGGGCACAGCTGACCTCAGCCGGGCAATCATGACGCACCGCCTCATCGCCGTCACAGCTCCACGCATCTCGATTGGCTACGCTGCAAGGATGCAGCCGCCAGCATCTATCTGTATTACCCATATCAGCGCTTCCGGGAGGTGTAAATACTCGGGAAAACATGATGGTTTCAAACGACCACCCGGGACCAAAAAGGCACGGTACCAATCACAAGCTCGAGTCCTGGCCGCTAAATTCCCGGTGGTGTAGATCGTGGTGGTGGCATCATCACAACCTCTGCGAATCAACTGGCTGTTTGGCTGTGTCCCGAGGACCACAAGGCGCCATCCAGGTACGCGAAAAGCAGCGAAGCAGCGTGGCCGTTTGCTCACTGGGTAGTACTCTAGATCAAGCAAACAGATCATCAGCACTTGCCAAATGATGGCCAATGCCATCAAGTATGTACGAGCTGCCGGCATTCCCACCAAAGTCTCCGCAACTTGAATTATGCTTCCGCCATCGGACGTGCACTGCTCACAACATGGTTGCGCTGGATCTCAGATTCTCGGCTGCGGTGACTCCCAACATCAGACTGCGGCTCTCTTCTAGGTACCAACTGAAGCAGTGTTTGTTGGACCTACCCTGACGCGGGGAGGGATTGCGCTTGCGCATGTCAGTATTCTCGGCTTTCAGAGACTTGCAGAGGACTGAACCGCGAAATGTGGTAAGGTAGTACATCCAGGGGCGAACGTCTGCTGAAACTGTCGTTGTAGAACGACATCAAACGCCAATACTCATGCTCAGACATGCCTGCCTCCGTCTGATCGAAAGTAGGTCACACCTCCAATAAAACTCCGCCGAGCGGTTCCCTGAGGACTATCACGGCTGCGTTGCTTGAAGAGTCCAACGCCACCGTCCAACCACAAAGCGTGGCTTGTTTCGACTTGCTCGCACCTCGTAAATGCTGGACGACATGACCCAGGGGGTCTATGAAATCTGTCGTCAACAGACAAGAGCCACCAGTTCGTGGTTGTGGACTCACACAACGCCTGTACTCAGTGCTCCAAGATTTAACGCACAGTTACGCCGCTGCGTGCTAACCATGAAAGCTCAGCCAACGAAATACCCGGGCGAGGCATCGGATGACGCTCGAGCAATCAGGTTGTTGGGTCCCGTTCGGTTTACTACTACGCATTCAAGGTATGATAACGCTAGAAGTGGCTTCCTGTGTGTCTCTGTGGAAAGGGACATCCTGCCACCAAGTCCCATTGGCCAAATCTTGTGCTGGAACAGGCAACACAGGCGTGAAACATCATCTCGGACTCGTATCTAATACAATTCCTTTCCGCAGAGGCCTGCTCCGAATAAGAAACCTTCCGTGTAAGAGAAGTGAGAGCACATGCAGCTTTTAGAAGCGAAAGGGACTCAGCTACTTGCAAAGAAACTTGGCTGCGTGACGTTGTCCTCACGGTAGCCTCGCCAGCTGCAAGCCACGAGTTTCATGAGGCAATATCAACTCACTCGTCAGGTACCAAACCCAACAGGTGCGTGCTTGTGCAACTCATACATGAAGCCCCAGAATCTGTCTCACAAAAGCAGCTCAGGCCCATGCGTTCGGGGACGGTCCGCCGCGATTAGGAACACGATCCTGCTGATTTGTGACGAACGAAGAGGGTCTGTGCTTCAGGCACCAGTCCAAGGTCGTTTCCGGGAGATTTGCCTCAAGAAGACCCGGTCAACCCTCTCCGTACCAAACAAGCACCTGACCTTGGGCTGAAATGACAACTTTCGCTTAAATGACCTCGTCGAGACTCAAATGGGTGCAATATCGGGAAGACAAGCCGAGAGAAAAGAGACATATGCAGGCTTACCCTACATGCAGGTGTTCAGAACCGCGGCATCTCCGTTGTCCTCGATGGAGCTGGACTTGACCTCAACGGCAGGCTGCGGCTGACAGCAATCTCTCTTTGTTGCCCTTCTTGAATCCTGAGCCGACAATGTTCCACAGATGAAGCCTTTTTGCCTGGGTTGATCTGCGGCTAACCGGCCAACGGCAGATATCTTGGAGATGCGCTGCCAGAAACCCCTGGAGCTCCACAATGCAAGCATCTCCAAGACAAACTAGTACCGGACCGACGGCGAACAATATTATCTGGGAGAGCGGCCAGCTAAGCAAGAGGTCGGCTATGCGTGGCTAATACCTGAGAGAACTGACTCTAGCTAGCCTTATCACTTAGGTCGTTGGTACTGACATACTGACTGTGGGACAGAGACTTGTCGATCGCAGCTCACCAACGATCGCAACTCATCAACGCCAGCCGCCTAAGGGATCGGAAGCAGCAGGATAGCTCTAACCTTCCGGGATATCTCTTGACAGTTGCGGACACCGCCGAGTCCCGGCCCTTTGCAACATCAGGCAGCTGCTCCCATCACTTCATTGTTGGGTTATCAGGTTTAACTCTCTAGTTAGGCCAACCGTAACATGTTGAATGAATCCGATTGAATGTTGCCGTCGCATAGCTCCTCTTCCCAGCCGGTACGTGTGATCCAGGAGATGATGCAAGCGAAATCAAGCAGTTGGGTTTGCGGCACAGGAGCTTCTGTGCACATGCCAGCCCGTTGCGTTCAAGTTTCAAGAGGTTGTGCATCTCCTCCCCTGACAGCTCCATGTACACAAGATTGTCAAATATACTAAGCGTATAGTGGTTCGTAAAGAATGGCATTTCCATCCAAGTTATTGCTGGAGCAACTAACGATTCCTACTTCTCACAAAGTGGGCGTGGTGTGAGATGACTGCGGCAAGATGTCAGGTATTGGGGCAATGTGTGTGTACGAGTATATGCAAGTAGGCAACTCCCCGTTTGCTTGCCAGATGGCCGGGTTTCGGGGACAGAAAGAGTCGGTGAGTATGGTTTACCGTGGGATCGTTTCATGTCAAATGCAGTGGAATGGGTCCAACAATCACGAACCTCCGTTTGCAGGACCGAGGTAGTATATCGAAGGATGAACTGAAGCAGGTAGCCGTCAAAGCAGCATCTCGGCGCCAACACACGCCTGGGTCAACCGCGGGCGCCCCCCAACAACAGTGAGCCCCTGAATCGACCACTTTCAACAGAACAGGCGTGTTAAGATTCCGACTAGTAATTCCTGGTGCTTGAAATGTTGGCTGGCTGAGCGGGAACCGAGTAGCAACCGATCAATCATCCATCAGTTCGGCTAGTTCCGCCTCTTCCTCTGCTGTCAACAGGCTTCCTCCTTCCGGCTGGGCTTCCTGTTCCACTGGCTTCTTGGACTCTTCCATCTTCTTGACCACCTCATCCAGCTCGCCCTTATTCAGGGGCCACGTACGAATGGTGCCGTCGATGCTCACGCTGCAGACCTTGTCGGGTAGGCCTCGCGAGTTGCGCAGCAAGACGAGATCCGTCACCTCCTCATAGTGTCCCTCCAGCGTGCAATACAGCTTCCCCGAAGACCGATCCCAGACCTTGACATTCTCGTCCCGGCCAGCGGTGATGACCCAGCTCTCGGTGGGAACCACGGCGCGGACGTAGTCGCCGTGCACAAAGACGTCGTCGGCGGCAAAGTTGCGCGAGCGGGACAGGCACTTTGCGGTGCCGTCGGCGCTGGCGGTCCAGAGATCGCCGTCCTCGCCGTCGAGGTCGAACACGAGCTTGTAGACGCTCGTGTCGTGCTCGGCGATGGTGAGCTTCTCCGCGTCGGGCCGGTCGTGGAAGGCCTCGGGCAGCTGCTCGAAGCCGTCGAGGGAGATCTTCCACCTGCGGATGTGCGGGTCGCTGCTGGCGCTGGCGACGACGAGGGCGTCGGGCGTGCTGAGGACGGGGTCGACGGCCATGTGCTGCACGGCGAGCATCGTCGTCGTCGGGTCCTGCAGGGCGTGCAGGCGCCGGCCCGACTCGACGTCCCAGACGAGCATCTTCTTGTCCGCGCCGCCGCTGATGAGGACCTCCTTGCCGGCTATCCGGGCGCAGACGACGACCTTGACGAAGTCTGCGTGGCCGCTGAACTTGCGGCCGGGCTGGGCGGTGTCGGCGTCCCAGGACCAGATGTCCCTGTCCCAGCAGCCGGCGAAGACGGTCTTGCTGGCGGTGCCGCCGACGGCGACGCACGTCACGGGGGCTTTGGGGCCTCGGTAGGTGGTTTTTATAGAGCCCGACTATATGAGACCGGATGAGTATTCTTTTTGTCTTCGCATCGTGGATTGCATGAGCTGCAGGTCACACAGCTGGTTGAAGATGACTTACTGTGAGGTCTATGCGGCGAACGAAGCCTGCCGATTCCGCGATGAAGATGGCGGTGGAGGGAGAAGAGGGGTCTGGGACGGCGGCGAGGATCTTGGACTTCATGATGATTGGGTCGCCATTCTTGTTGCTGGACTTGAGCGCCTTGCGCTCTCTCTCAGCGTTGGAGGCGCTGTGAGCATCTTGTTAGTATAGGCAAGCAAAGATATGTGCAGATGAGTTGATGCCTGTGCTCACTCGGTCTGGAAGAAGGCGTCTCTGTCTGAGGTTTCCATGGCGGATGGTTGTGAGATGTTGATTTGTAAGTTGGATAGGAGAATGGATTATCTTGGTGATGAGGTTGAGGTGAGAGAAAAGGGGTGAAGCGACGCAGGTTTATATGTGGTCTTGAAGGCCAGGGATTCGTCCAGGCTGCCGAATAATTACCAAATAGACTAGTAGTGTCGTGATGATTAGCTCTTCTTCTTCTAACTCATCAAGAGGTGTGCAGAATTGTCATAGATGTCTAGATAGATGCAGGCCCCCATCAAAAGCGTCGAATATGGGTACAAAGTCCTAGATTGAACAGCCAGCAAATGGCGGGGCTGCCACTGACAGCCCAGGCCATTGGGAGGGCTGCTGCTAGAATTCGACCGCGGGGCAGCGCGACACGGGACTTTAATTGACAAACGCGCTCGAGACGCGTCTCCCCTCCGTCACAGGCGAACTCCAGCTTGAGGCTCTCTCCAACGCTGCCGCCGGACTCTCCGTCCAGCCACCAGATGCTTCTCTGATCTCGCTCGCATCCTGCAAATCCTCAGCAATGGACTCGACCGGCGCCCCTCGTCCCCGCCCGCGGCCGGCACACACCCAGGGCACGACCCGATGCGCCTACACCACGGACGGCAGCCGGCTGGTCACGGTGGGCTCTAACAACACGATCCGGCTCTACAAGACGGGCTCCGACGGCGAGCCGACAAACATTGACGACTGCCAGGAGCAAAACGTCGCCGTGGCCGCGGCCCAGGACTTCTTCGTCGTCGGCTCCGAGGACGGCACCGTCAGCCTGTACTCGCTGGCCACGGCCAACTTCGACCGCTTCCTCGTCCGCACGTCGCTCCCCGTGCGAGACGTGGCGCTTTCCGGCGATGCGCAGTGGTGCGCCGTGGCCAGCGACGAGCTGACCGTCAAGGTCGTCAACACGCAGGACATCAAGCAGCTGCGGCACCTCAACGAGCATGGTCGGGCTGCTCGATCCGTCAGCCTGGACCCCAACGGCCGGATTGCCGCCTTGTCGTGCGTGGACGGCATCATATACATCTATTCGCTGACGGCGGAGCAGCCCGAGCTGATACACAAGGTCGACGGCGTGATTGGCGCGGGGGACGCAGACTCAGAGGCCTCGGTCAAGGCCGTCTGGCATCCGGACGGCAGGGCGTTTGCCGTTCCGACTCCGACGCGAGATATCCAGGTTATTTCTAAGAACGACTGGGAGAAGCAGCGGGCCTTCACCAACGGACACTCGGCCGACATCACCGCTCTCGCCTGGTCGCCCAACGGAGTCATGCTGGCGTCGGCCTGCAAGGGCGGAAAGGTGCTGATCTGGGAGAGCAGCACGCAGAACGTCATCCAGCGCTACGAATATGCCAACGTCCTTGATCTGGCGTGGCACCCATCCAAGAACATACTCTCCTTTACGACGACGGAGGGAGAGGTCTACATCTACCCCGACTTTCTTCCCGACCAGTTCTCTCCGATGCTGAAGCTGCCGGTGCAGCCAGCCCCCTTTATCCACGATCCCTTGTTGGAGATATCCGCCAACAGAAGAGCCGCTGTGGCGAATGGGGCGAAGCGTGACATTCCTACACGCCCTCGTCGGGACTCTCTGGGCAGTCTTGACTCTTATCTGCAAGATGAGAACTACGCAGACGGCGACGACGATGGCTTCGTCGTGGACGACGACGGCGCTGGGTATACAATCGGCCAAAAGAGGGGCTACGTGGCCGACGATGTTATTGGTGGTGGTGAATACGCCAACAAACGAAGGCATCTCATGGAACCGCAGTATCATGAAGCCTTTCAGCCTGGATCGACGCCGTGGAGGGGAAACCGCAAGTATCTCTGCCTGAACCTCATCGGATTCGTCTGGACGGTGGATCAAGACGGACACCATACCGTCACGGTTGAATTCTACGATCACGAGTTCCAGCGTGACTTTCACTTCACGGATACCTTTCTGTACGACAAGGCATGTCTCAATGAGCGCGGCACCCTATTCTCGTGCCCCCCAAGGGATGACCAGCCGGCGACCATCTTCTACCGTCCTCATGAGACCTGGACGCAGCGGACCGACTGGCGAACACAGCTTCCCAACGGGGAGGTTGTCACCGCCATGTCACTAAGTGAGTCCTTTGTGACGGTGGTGACGAGCGCCAACTATGTGCGCATCTTTACGCTGTTTGGGATTCCATACCGGGTCTACCGCCCCAAGAGCGCGCCCATGGTTACTTGTGCGAGCTGGAGAGACTATGTTCTCACGATTGGTAACGGCCCTGTCACCGCTGACGGCAACACGCGACTTTTATACACGATTGAGAATGTCAAGAGAGACGAGATCTGCCAGAATGAGGATACGGTGGCACTTCCCGAAGGCGCGACATTAAAGAGCGCCTTCTTTTCTGACAATGGCGTAAGTATTCAACCCATACGTTAGTATCATGGTGAGAATGGCGCTTCTAACAGTTCGATCGTCAGGATCCTTGCATATACGATTCAACAGGCACATTGCTCACACTACTACACTGGCGTCAGCCGTCGCGGGCCTCTTGGGTGCCCCTGCTAGACACCAAGCTTCTGCCCCGTCTCGCGTCTGGCCGGAAGAGCGAGACGTATTTCCCCATTGCCGTGGCAGAGAACAAGTTTCACTGCATCATCCTCAAGGGTGGCGACCAATATCCTTACTTTCCCCGGCCCCTGCTCTCCGAGTTTGACTTTTCTATTCCACTACACTCACTTCCGGAGCCCAAGGCAAAGAAGAACAGGGGCGACGGAGAGGATGCGATCATGAACGACGACGATGATGAAGAGGAAGAAGAGGAGGGTGCCGAGACGAAGAAGCTGGAGCAACAGTTCATGCTCAAGGGCGTGCAAGCGGCCCAGCTCCGCGACCTCGTCGACGCCACGTCCGGAAGCCATGCCCAGCGGTCACTGCTTTCGCGGATCGAGCTGGAGATTGACAAGACGCTGCTGCAGCTGCTGGCGGTGGAGTGCCGCGAGGGCGAGGAGAGGGGCATGCGCGCGCTGGAGATGGTGGAGCTGATGCGGGACCGCACCGGCCGGATGATGGAGGCGGCGTACAAGGTCGCGGAGCGGTACGGGCGGACGATTCTGGGGGAGAAGATCCGGGAGATTGGTGAGAGTAGGGTCAGTGGGGATGATGATTTCTGAGCATGGGTGACGGTTTCTGCTTTTCTTTGGTTTTGGGGCATGGGAGGTTGATGGGATTCCACACGGATCGTGGCAGGGTCCAACGAGGGACGGGGAAAGGTTGTTTTGATCAATAATTCAAATACCTGGAGCGAAGGACTGGGACATGTCTTGCTCGTATATGTGGAATAATCATCTTTTGTATGAAGAACCGTTAGATATCAGAGCAATAGTACTGACTTGTCTGTTACGTCAACATGTTCTCTAAGTCGTCTCCGTAGTACTCTTCTCCGTGGCATATAGAACAGAGAAATGAGGGCTGTCTACCTAGTTATTATCACGGATCGGCATACCTGCTCAGCATGAATGACGGTCTTCCCTTGTTGCTCATCAACCGAACTGAGGAGTATACATGATACCCGCATAAAAACTCATAAATGGGCGGGTACCGATCAGATGGGGTGTTGGAGGAGATGAGAAAAGCTCTTTGAAAGGACGACTTGGGGCTCTTCCTTGACCAGAAGACTGGTTCTTAGCACTCAATTCCAGCAAAACATGTGCGTTTGTTGGCTTATATATGGCTTACACCATTTCAGAGAGCTATGAGGACCGGCCAGTTCCCCCCTTTTCAAGCGTCAAAACGTAGTTGACAAAAGAACGGGGAATACATGAATAAAATCACATGACCATTTGAAAAGACATAGATAAACTGAATCAAGACTCAAAGGTCATTCAGAAGGATGTTTACCAGTTTGTTCGGTAGAGATAAAGAGCTGCCGCCGCGGGGTTTTGCACGTTATACTGTATGTAAAGAGGTATGAGTGAGATGGGAAGAAAGAAAGAGACAAGGGGTGTGTTTTGGGAGACGAGATCTGTATAACAGCCTCGACGGGGTTCTTTCTTTCTCTGTCTTTCTCGATCACGCGGGGAATATATTGGCATAATGGGTATCGTGGATCTGGCAATGGCTGACTCCAAGGGGGTTACGTACTTCATCACTCATAGAGCGGTAATCGGGTCAGGACAGCTACCCGGGCACCTTGAATGCAGTGGGCAAGCAAAGCAGCCGTCATTTCACTTATACCCGGTCAGAACATGTCGTCCCTTGAAAGGCCAACGAATGAAAGAAGAAAAGATCAGAATGGGAAGTGGATTCTAGACCCTTTTCACCTTTCCTTTCAGTTGTGGCTACTGATAGTTGGCGGCATCGTGCATGTGAGTTGGTTTCACAACAAGAGAAAGGAGAATTCTCCCTCCATCCCCCGTCCCCGACTGAGAAAATCTGCTGCCTACATGGACCAATCCCAACTCCGCAATCCAGAGCCGAGTTTTTTTCTTTTGTATTTGCGGGCAGGAGGGAGAGGAAGCGGGCTGCAGAGAGCTTTTTTTCTTGGGCAAGGTTGTTGTTCTTTTTCTTGCTGGTGGCTGTTGGTTAGCGAAACGAAACAACGGACACCGCCAAATGTCTGATATGCGGCCTGGTGGGTTCCAGCCCATATTATTTGTTTCCCGTCTCGTCTTCTTTCATCTTATGTCTCTTTGTAAACTATTTCAAATACCTACTCGTGGCATATCTCCTCTTTGGGGCGAGCAAATTCGGACGTTACGTAGCTTATCCGTACATACATCAATGTCTTGGTTCATTGGGCCCAGGTTACAGCATCAGATTGTACGGGCACATTCAGGGGGCAGAAAGGGAGCCGGGGTAAGCAAAGGGCAGCCGGGTAGCAAACAAAAAAGAAAAAAAAAGAAAAAGAAAAAAGAAAGGAAAAGAAGGAACAAAGCGAAGCACACAATCAATGGAGCATGAAGAAAGCCAGCCGGCATCAAAGACTGCCAGGGTTCAGACACACTGCAGTTCAGGGTATAATTTGGCAGCCTAAGTCGGCAGACATGCCATCCAGAGATCGGCAGCTGTTTATTAGCGCCCGCAGCAGCTTCAACCTGTTTCTTTCGGTCTGTGGAAAGAGGAATCTGACGGGTTTGCAGGGATGGTGACGTTCTCGGGTTTATTCGCAAGTCCCAGAAGCTCAGCATCGTGGCATTTCCTGGTCAAGACTGCCGGTGGTGGCAGGGAGTAATAACAACACGTATGGAATACATACTGGACACCTCCTGGGTAGAAACACGATACTATCCAGTGGTTCGTGCTTTGTCCATGATGCCATTGGTGTTACCTTATTGAATGAGCGGAAAGGGGCATATGGCTCGTACAGAACAGGCTGGCCTAGCTCGCTACTCCGTACAAGCTGCAACAGAGGTAGCATTGTGGCCTCCTATCTCGACCAGACACAGACCGGAATCCGTCGCATCCCTGCCGGATCGGTGAGAGAGTCGTACGTACACATCGTACCTCACGCACGCGCACGGGCGGGACATGCGGCCAGCAAATTAGACCAATTCATCCTGTGTGGTGCCACGGGGCTTCGATGCTCGGCTTATTTGGCATCTTTTTGGCATCTTTTTGGGGCCCGGCACGATAGGGGGGGAAAGAAGTAAGAAGAAGAAGAAGAAGGGAGAAAAGAAAAAAAAAAAAAAAAATCATTATGCAGCAGAGGCAGAGACGATGGAGATTCAGGATGATTTGATGGCGGCCAACGAGGGAAGATGGGGGGGCTCGGGCTTTCCAGGCGGTTTTCGGCAACACGCATTGATCCGTACCTCGTGTATTCGTGTATATGCAACAAGAGCAATGAGGCGGCGGGATGTACTTCTGGGGAGATTCTCAGGAACCGGTTGGGCAAGTGGAAGTATCAGAGGGTCATCGCCTTCATCCTGTCACGGAGCAACACTTTGGACCGACGTGGTAGAATGCAACTCCGGGCTAGCCTCGTGTACATAAGGCCTGTTTGGACCGGCAAGATGGGGAAAAGCAAGGGCAAAGAGAAAAAAAAAAGCACAGACGCAGAAAAGAGGGACAGGAATGGAACTCTCCTTTCCTCCGTATCTCCTCATTGAGACGAAGGGGGATGGGGATGAGACGCCGCCGACGTAAGACGGGGAGCTACCAAAGGCAGGTTAGTCGACAAGGGAGCTTCAGGCGTCTGTCATGTGAAAGTCGAGCTGTCAAGGGACGGACGGCACAGGTATTCCTTTCAAGAGAGGACAGTATCGACTTCTTTCAGCATCAGACAAACAAACAAACAAAATCATCTTGCCTGCCTTTCAATCGACTCTGTTTCCGTCCTTTCACTCCATGTTCCAGCCTCATGTCCTCTGTGTTACCCGTACTAGTACTGTAGAGGCCTGTCAGCAAGCCACCAGTAAAAGGCCTTTTGTTGTGTGGAGATTCTATCTCACCTCTCAGGTAAGATCGATCTAATCTACCTGGCGATGGAGTGGCCTTGTCTGGGCTGATGAAGACGAGGCATGTGGTTGGTGCTTTTGCGGTGATATCTCCAGTCTACAACACCGCATTCAGCCGCTTGGCCGAGCTTGCTACTGGATATAACTGGACTTGTTGATTGGGTATCCAATTGGCCTGGGTATCAACTGGGGAGCCTCTCTGTCTATCGAGACTGTCAAGGAGCTAGTATCCGTGTAGTGATTGGGTGGCCCCCGAGGCTCATTGTTGGCCTTGCTTTGATTCCACCTTTCTTCACCAGTCCTGCTCTTTGTCCAGCCAGCCTCTCCTCCTCTTTGTCGTGCTACAGCAGTATTACGTACAAGGCGCTCCCCGTATTACCTAAGTGCTATCTCGAGAGCTTGTCAAAGGCCTTTGACAGCTCCAACGATCTAATCAGTAAGCTGAAGCGTGCTTCTGTTGACATCAAGGTGATCAATTGCTGTCCTTGATACGAGCGGATCGGGATCCGGTCATCAGCCTGTCACTGATACGCGTACTAGCACCAGCACCAGCACCACAGCTCTCTCTGGGCGACGAGTTCCCAGTACTTGTACCACCTACGCCGCTGCTCTCCCAGCCCGTGATTCCATCCAAGTATCCAGAACAAAGCGCACAGCAGCTGCCGAGAGCTCCATTCGTCCACCGCAGCTTGCCGGGCCCAATCCGAGGCCACCAGCATTTGCTACACAAGCACCGCGCGGTACCCGATACCTGTCGCCCGCTAGCGCCCCCATCCGACTTCGCCGACCGCGCGAGGTACACCGAGGTTTCTGCCAAGTAACTCCAAGTACTGCCCCCCTCGGATTGCTGCTTGACAGGACGGAGGCATCTACCGCGGCGGTACCGGCGCACGCACGAGCGACGGCGGATTAGCTAATGCACGGGGCAAGTACCGCATACCGGTGCAGCACCTCCATCTCGTCGCCCGCCATTTGCAGCTCGTTGCAGGCGATCCCACCTTCGTAAACGACTCTGGCCGTCCTGTTGCACCGTCCTCGCCGAGGCTCGTCGACCGTACGCGAAGCTCTGCGCGCCTGTCTCGAGCTGTGCATCGTCGACTTTCCACCGTCCTGCGTCCTTTGCGCCTGGGCGGTTGTGCTGTTGCGTCGAGCGTCACCGCCTCGCCTCGCCTCGCCTCGCCGGAAGCTCTGCATCGTCGAGCTGCCGTTAGTGGCCTCGCTGACGCTACTCGAACAACCTCCCCTCCTCCCACTACCTTGCTATAGCAGCAGCATCGTGCATAGTATTACAGCTTCCTTACCACCTACATACCTGACCTACACACCACACTCGCGGTCCCGCGCAATCGCACAGCGCGTCTCCGTGTGCGCCCTCGCTGCTGCTGCCGCCCGGAGTCTCTGGCATCGACAGCTGCCGCTTCTAGAAGCTCCAGCGCCCAACCGTCCAGGGGGGAAAGTTGGTGCGGCTCCCACCGCGAGGCTGATATCGCCGCCTGCTGCTGCGTCTGTGTGTGCCGGTGCCGTGCCTGAGCCTGAGCCTCCTGTGCCTGTGCCTGTGCATGTGCCGGTGTGGGCGTTGAGCGGCCAAAGGCAAGGCCCCCAGAGAATTATCCAGAACTTTTGTCATCTCGTCGCCTGCTTCGACTCCACCCAAACTGCGACGACACGACACGACACGCCTGTCCTGGTCTGTCCTGCCAACCCTCGGAGCTGCATCCCGCAGACATGAGGTGAAAGGTGAGTGCCCACGGAGCTCCTCTGGAGCTAAGGCAGCCCGCCAGCCAATGCCGGTTGTCGCAGCTCCGAGCTCTTTGCGCCTCCTCCTCCGCTGCCCGCTGCCCTGCCCTTTTGTCCTCCGCCTTCTGCAATTCTCCCCTCTGCTGCCCTGTCCGCTCGTCGTCTTTCTTCTCCTCGCATTCCCCTCTCCTCCTCGACCGCCGCTCCCAGAAACTTCAACCCTCGCCATCGTCCCCCACCCTCCCCTCACTCTCCCCCATTCGCGCTCGACAAAGCTCCCACCCCCCTTCGTCGCTGGCTGACCGCAATGGGGACAGTCCAGATGGCCCACAGGACTGAGACTTCTCAGAAACCGATCCCGGCAATCGATAGACTTCAAGACTCGACCGGCTCCCGAATCGTCCCCGTCTCCATCTCCGTCTCCGCGCCGCCGCCTACCATCAGCATGTCTCCACCGAGTCCCGTCGACCATCCGATGGAGGGCACGTCGCCAGAGGACAACTCGCCCACTGGCCACGGCCACGGCTCCGGCTCCGACCCCGAGGCCAGCAGCGCCAATGGCAAGCCGCCCGTCTCCCGGGCCGGCAACGCATCGCCGCAGGAGCACGGCGCCCTCACGAGCTCGAGCAACATGCCCGCTCCTCCTCCCGCCGCCGCGGCTGCTGTTCACCAGCCCAAGATTGTCCAGACTGCCTTTATCCATAAGCTATATAAGTGCGGACCCTGAGCCCTCTCTAACCCCCCTTCCCCCCCCTGGACTGAAGCGACAGCTGCTGATGGCGCAAGTAGCATGCTGGAGGACACCAGCATACAGCATCTCATATCGTGGTCATCGTCCGCCGAAAGCTTCGTCATGTCGCCCTCTGCCGACTTCTCCAAGGTATTATCGTAAGCAGCATTCCGACAATCCTAGCCGCGTCCTGGCCGATTCGCTCACACTCCACCTCCCAGACAATACTTTAAGCACACCAACATATCGTCTTTTGTGCGTCAGCTCAACATGTATGGGTTTCATAAAGGTACCTCCTGCTCCCGCTTGCTTGTGCCTCGAGTCCTCGGACCTCGAATAGCTCACCTGTGATCCAGAACGAGACGTGTTTCACACTGGCAACCCCGAAACGACGCTCTGGGAATTCAAGCATGGCAACGGCAACTTCAAGCGCGGCGACCTCGTCGGCCTCCGAGAGATCAAGCGCCGCGCCAGCCGACACGCTCTCGTCAACCGCGAAAATACCTTCCCCAAGACCTCTACGTCTCAGCCTGGCACGCCTATCGAGCCCGTTCAAGTCCCGCCGGATAGCATCGAAGCTAGAATAGCCAACCTGGAGCACTCTCTGTACGATACGGCTGCGAGATTGCAGAGAAGCGAAGAATCGGCTCACTACATGCACGTCAAGAACCAGGCCATCATGGAAACGCTCAACAGGTTGCTCTTCTTCAACCAAGAGTTGTCCAAGGGGATGCTGTCGCTTGTACCTCCGGACAACCCTATTCATCGAGATGGTTTGTCACACGAAACAATCAGAGAAAAACGATATTCATGGGAGACAATGACACTAACAATTGGAATCTCCAAAAGTCATGACACTCCAGGGCGAAATGGTGAGGCAGGCAGAGATGCTGCGCTCGATCTTCGCCTCTACGCAATGCCGCGCCGGCGCCTCCCGCCGGACCGCATCCCCTTTCCAACGTGGAGACGGTCCCGAACAGCTTGGCCAGACGCCATACCGCCGCAGACATTCGCGCGCACGGATGGCAGCCGAACGCACCGCCATATCCGCCTGGAACCGTACCGCCGCCCGTGTGGCCGCAATCTCCCAATCGGCTTGCGCCTGAGGATCAGAGGATAAGGGATTCCCTCTCTTCATTTTCCCTGCAGGCTCCATCAGCTCATGGACATCCGCACTCGCGCCCGGCGACGCCACCCCACGCCCCCTTTTCAAACGGCGCGAGCGGAGGGTCGGATACCTTTGGCAGCTGGTCGTGGGGCGCGGCATCAAACCGCGAGAGCAAAACGATTGGAGCTTTGAAGGAATCATCAGCGCCTCCCACCAGGAGGGGCAGCATGGCACATATCCTCAACCCCAGCGATACCGCCGAGCGATCAGACGAGGACGAAGACCCCCGGGGCGACGATGACAGAAAGCGAAAACGAAGACAGTGATGGCGGCGCCGTGTAGCATCTGAATGAAAGAGGAGGAACGAATCATGGCCATGGCGCATGATCTTGGCGCTGCTTACGACCAAGGGGTCGACTTTCTGGGGCTGGCGTTTTACGAAGTATCCCCTATTTCGCACCGGGTTCCGGGACGCTTTCATGTCTCCATCTGTTGCTTTGTCCTTTCTACTGCCGCATCTTGGTCTCTTTTTGTTCCTGCATTCAGATTGGATATTCTGGCGCGGCAGTATCACGGCCCAATGTCTTTAAGCTACTATGCTCAAAGATGATGGGCGCCCGAGAACATTACACATTCGCCTTCACATCTCAATTGTATATTAGCAAACATCCCTGGACCGGATCCTGGCCATGTGCTTGGCACCGCAACCTCTTTCAACGAATGCGAACAAAAGTTGCTGTATCATGGAACTCGTCGATTCGGGTTCGAAAGACTACCGTCATAGCAAGAGGAGGACTGTGGAAGGAGCCGAGAGTGGCTTTCTGTCTGATATGGACAAGCAAGTCAAACGGGATTCATAAGACGGTCTCTGTGGGGGTTCATCGAGAGTGGACGATGATGGGGATTGCGGAAGATGTTGATCTGGTGATTTTCGAGGGGATGGAGAGAAGTCAATTGGACTTGAGCGTAGATAGGACGTCTCGCTGATGAGAATCTGTTGTGGTACAAATAATTGCTATAGGATGATACCTTGTAATTGGCATTTGGGGACGCTCTCCCTGGTACTTGTGAGGCTGAAGATGATGACAACTGAAATGTCGACCCGGTTGTGGGAATGTGTGTGTTTTTTTCTTCTTCTTTTCAACTTACTATTTTTGCTCTCGCTTTTGTCTTTCCTTTTCTTTTTCCCGCTGCCTCTTCTTCCTCTTCTTGTTCCTTTTCGCTTCGTCGGCTGCGTCTGCGTTGTCACTTATTGCTGCCGTCTCTTTGACCTGAAGAACAGCAGCATCGTCGCCGTTGTCGTGCTTGCGCTGCCCATCTTCAACCTCGTCTTGTCTTTTCTCTCCTTTTTCTCCCCTTTCCTCCTCCCCCTCCACCTCTGCTTCTTCTTCTTCCGTGCGTCCTCCCTTCCCTCCTCCTACTACTACATCCGCAGGCGCAGCATTCTCACGCTCAGCCTCCTCCTCACTCCTCGTCGTCGGCCTCTTCCTCTTTTTCTTCCCGAGCGCACTCCTCCCCTCCTCCTCATCGCTCTCGCTCTCAGCCTTTCTCGTCTTGCTCATCATACCGGCTTTCCCATTCTTGCCGCCGCCGAGGAGTCTCCTCCGTAGCATGCCATCTTGCGCAGTAGAGGCGTCCTTCTTTTCGGGGACGTAGCCTACGCCTTGGTTGGGACGGGGCCCGGAGGAGAAGAGCTGTTCGATGGCGTCTGCGTTTGTGGCGGTATACCTTTTTGAAGACGGCGTTGTTGTTGAAGGTGATGTTGTGGAGGTGGGATTGAGCGTCTTGAGGAGGGCCGTGCGGCGGGAGAGGAGGAGGGAGATTTCGTTTGCGACGGAGGCGCGGTTGGGGGCGAGGGGGAGGGGGGTTGTTTTCGCGGTGGAGGATGGTGGCATTGTTTGGGGTTTTTTTTTCTGAGAAACGTTTGGAGTTGTTTTGTTTTGCGCTTGTTTGTTTGTTTGAAGAAGTGGGTGGGAAAAGGATAATGTGTGTGAGAGAGAGAGAAAGAGAGAGAGCTTGTGGTTTGGGGAGGGTTTTTGTTGAAGATGGGATTGGATGGAGGTGATGCGCTGTGGCTTCGATTGGTGCCTAAGTGGTCGTGAGTTTTTTTGCGTTCGTTATAGAATCATTATGAATGAACTCATTTGGGATTGATGAGGGTGGTAGTTTGAGAGAGAGAGAGAGAGAGAGAGGCCCAGCCGTTGGAGGAGGTAAAAGTCGCGACAAAGGTGGATGAAGCAATGAAGTCGAGAAAAAATAAAAGAAGCAGAAGAGAAAAAAAAAAAGTTGTAGCGTCACTCCTACATGTCGGCACCTGGAGCTATGGTGGGGCTTCGTGCATATGACATTGAAACAGCTTCCATCATATGCGTGCTTCAAGCTCAAGGTCTTTGGCACTGGTTGCACTTCAAAGAGAAGGGAAAAAAGAACATGTGAAGTTGAAGAAAGGCCAATGAGCCATAGCATTACAAGGTATCATAAGTTCGCCCAACTGACGGATTGCGCCGGGGCGTTTTCAACTCCCCCTTTGGCCCTGAAGCCTCCCAATAAAACATTACCGTTCTATGCTTATTCAGTTTTACACCCAACCATCCATCCATAGCTCATAACATCCCTTCCCTGGCCAGCCTTGGCGGTTCAATACCTAGTACCTCGTCGCCGTCGAATCCGTCAAGGAGAGGATATACGGCAAATCTCCTGCGTCTCCATCATCGGCCAACCGGATGACGGAACCGGAGCCGTCCGACGACTTGGACCGCGCGCTGTCGGCCGACGAGCGCTGGCTGGAAGTGTACGTGCGCCGCAGCTGCGCGAGCCCGCTGCTGTTGCTGGCGTTGCGGGACGCCATGCCCACAATGCTCCTCCTGCTGCCGGGCGTGTCTGGCGCCGTGCGGTACGTGAGGGCGCGGTGTCTCGTCCGCCTCTGGACGGAGCGCTGAGTGCTCGCAGTCGATGGCCGTGATGACATGGTTCGTGGGGTGGATGGAACCGTTTCCGCCGGAGCATCGTTGTCGATGTCGCTATCCACCACCTCTCTTCTATCGATATTGCTCCTTTCGTATTCGCCTTGTTCTTCTTCTTCTTCTTCTTCTTCTTCGTCATCGTACAGGTGATCCAGGACTGCAGGATCCAACGGCTGTATCGATCGCAGGATTTCCGCAAATAGATGCAGCAGCTCGCGGAACTCGGCATTGCAGACGGGCTTCGTCGAGAAGCGAGCCGCTTCGTAGCGCGCCAAAAAGTCCACCACCGTTTCGTCCATGACGGCAACGCCCAAGCTGGCAAGATGCCCAATGTAGTCTCGAAGGCTCATGCTGGGCAGCCGCTGCAGCAGCTCCGCAGCCTCGGGATCGAGCATCGGGGGATCGGATTGCGATGTCGGGTCCGGCGGCGCAAGCCGCAGCGCTTGCGCCTCGATGAGATTCGGCATCTCCGAGATGACGTTGTTGTACTGCAGGTTGGCGAGATCCGGCGAGTTGGGGGACGCCCAGCCGCAGTGCTCGATGACGCCCCAGACGGGGCGATGCGGCGGCATGGGAATCGGCTCGTCGCGGCCCAGCGCCTGCTCGTTCCACTCCTCCAGCTTCGCCCGCATCCGCGCCTCGTCCTCGTAGTCTTCGTCGTGCACGTCGTCTCCCATCATCTCCTCGTCGACCCGCGGCCGCGCCGCATACGCAATGGCCGAGCTCCTGCTCAGCCCGGCGGCAATCACCTTATGGACCGCCTCCTTCACATCGCCCTTATCGACGGGAACCCACGATTTCGGTATCGACGCCAGCACCGTCCGGTTCACGTACAGCCGCACGATGTAGACAAAGGCGACGACCAGGGTGGTGATGACATAGCCCGACGCAATGATCCAGATGTTGTACCACTGCCTGTTGACGACGGACCGCTGAATGGTGTCGCCCGGCGTGATGAGCAGCAAGCCGCAGAGCACCACGTAGAGGAAGAGGTAGATGGACCGGTAGAGGAAGCGCAAGAAGATCTTGTGATGCGCCATGGCAAACGTTCACGCGCGCGCGACCGCCCCCCAGGCGCTGGATCTCAACTGATTCGTCGCCGCCCTGCTGATTCGGATAAGGGTATTGATCGCGGTCGCATGGCTATTGCTGATGAAGACGCATTCGAGATGCTGCCGTAAGTGCTGCTGATGAGAAAAGAGGGGGGAAAGGAAAAGCGATGTCGTCGATGTGGAAAATGGTGAGGGAAAGGAAGAAGAGAGGAAGAGAAAGTTGGCATCAGGAGCGAGATTGCGTGGGCCTACATACATAGACTAACACCAGACAGCCCTGAACCTTGGAAGTTATGGGAGCTGGCACGAGGCGCCGCTGAGCTCCAGCAGGGTCACAGGGGGGCTACAGGGGGGTTTACAGGCATTGGATGACTGGGATCTCGCTAGGGGAGTGCTGTAGGGGGAGCTTGGGAGCTCGAATGGAGCAGGTGGTGCGCGCTACATACAAGGTACCGCCTTGTAGGAGCCAGATGTGCGATGATGTACAGCTACTCCGCGAGCAGGCCGTTAGCGCAGGCAATGCAAGGTACGCGGGACATGCGCCGCCAATCCCGGGTACCTCCGGATTGTTGGTGGACTGCGTCGCTTCTTGTGGCCGAGACCTGGAAGGGAACCAAGTGGAGGCAGATTACAGGCATCAGACCAGACCAGACGGTAATGCAGCTGTACAAAGATATCCTACTCAATTCATTGCTCTCTTTTTCTCTTTCATTATTCTCGGTTGATGACAATGAACCCCTCAAACTCCGGTATCGTCTCATGCGATCGATATGCGACATTCGTGACTCCCCTCCAGAAAGATTCCCTCTTCGTATAGATACATTTGGCTCTCCCAACTTGTCTTCATCTCACAGACATCGAAAGCTTTCCACTATCGAACCTGCTCCATCTCAGGCAGTCGGAAGCCCCTCCGTGCTGGTCTTGCCAGCCCCCAGTCTTCGTCTGTTCCCGTGTCGGCAGCGACGATTTCTTTCTGGTTCGGCAGCAGCATTCTCACCCTGGGCTTCTCCACTTCTGGTTTCCCAAAGGCCTCCTTCGCAATCCGCAGGTCGGTGCGCGTGAGCCTCAGGTCGGTGCTGTAGGGCTCAAACTTGGAGACGACCTGCTCCAGTCCCGCCTTGAGTGTCACCAGCAGCTCGTCCACCTCGGGACACTCCTTTACCCCCTTGACGTCGGTCCAGTGCAGAGGAAACTGTGCCTTCAGGGCCTCCACCTTCTTGATGATGGATGTCAGAGTCCGGATGATGGTGGGCACGTCTCGGTGAACGTTGCCATACGAATCTTCCGCCAAGCTGTTAACTGCTAATTGGCAGAGCGCGATGGCCGCGTTGGCGTACAGAGTCGGCTCAGCATACGGGCCTCCCAGGACCGCGGCCGCGAACTGCGTGCGAAAGTCTTGTCGGATCAGATCGCCAACCCACCCGATCGACAGCAGGCTGGTGGCAAACTGTTGGGCTTGGTCCTTCAGATGGTCGGGAGAGACTGCCTCTTGCTGTTCCCTGCTCAGCACCCGGTCTTTCGCGCTCTGCCAAGTCTTGCGAGCAATGGGGCTGAGCTCTGAAGCGGGAGTTGAGCCAGGGTTTCGTGCCAGTCTCTCGAGAGCCTTTTCGATACCGGCCTGTAGCGGCGTCTGTCTGGATCGGCTTGTGAAGATGGGATCTTCTCTCAGAGGAACCGACCAGCGATGCTTTTCTTCAAACGGTTCTGGCGCAGGAGCCTCGTGCGCCGCCGGCTGTCCATAGGCATCGACGTTGGTCTCGATGCTCTGGAGAGTCTCCATGCAAATGGAATAGATCTGGGACCACATGGGTCCGCCCGTGCGGTCGATGTCGTTGAAGATACTTTGCCTTCGGGCCGAATCATTTTGCGCAATCAGGGCCAGCTCCCACATGGCAAAGGCCTGTTGCGATGTTCTCCGTTAGCAATCACGAGGACTTGTATCATTCCAATCTTGTGTTGATGCTCACCTTGATGGAGAGCTTCTTGCTCTTCAGGCCGTTCAACAGACTGCCGTTGGGATCTTTTGACTCAGACGTCAGGGCATGGCCGTTCTTGAGCGGCTTCTTCACCATGAAAATCGAGAAAGCCCTGTTGCCCGCTGTCCACAAGAATCCAACGCCAGCTCCTGCCATGACACAACGCGCCAAAAGATAAATGTCCGTAGGCCACGACGACGGAAGCATGTTGGTCCTGGGCATGTTGTAGAACGGGCGCAGGAACGCCAACGCCCAGGACCAGGCAAACGATCTCAGAAAGAAAAAGTATAGAACTATGGCCCCGGGTATGGCCAGGAGAGCAATCTTGAAGCATTCAGCCAGAGCCATGGGAAGCTCTTCCATGACGGCTTGGAGGGATCCAGACACGATGCCCGTGCTCTTTTGCTCCTTTGCTGGCTTCCTCTCCAGCGCGCCGAGATCCAGACGGTCCACATCGTGCCTGTAGTGCTCCACGGTCTGAACCAGCGCGAACGTGAACATGTAGCAGGCAAAGAAAACGGGTCGCTCGTTTAGCCGGGCGCGATCTCCGCTATAGTATGTGATCCAACGAAGGTTCGCGTCTGCATCTCTCGTTCCAAGATAGATGGCGCAGTAGATCAGGCTCGAGATGCTGTACCAGAGCGCCGTCTCGTACGTCCGAGCACTGAGCAGCGAAGAAACAAATGTGTAAAGGCCCGAGCTTGTCGTCTTGACGCCCACGTGATAGCTTGCAATGCGAAGAATGAGAATGGTGAGCCCGCAGAAGAAGAGGAGCAGCGCCCGAAAGCCCGCGGGGCCTAGCGGAAACCAAGACCAGAAATCTGCAGCGTTTTGTAAATTCGCTTCCAGTTAGACAATGACAGCAAGATGGTGGGGAGAGGTCGCAATGGGGTTTCCTTACAGGACTCCCAGCTGCTCAGCAGGATCGATTCGAGATAGGACACGGCCAACAACAGGCCGGCCGTGGAGGAGAAGCGTCGGTGCAGCGCAGGCTGCAGAGTGTCCTTATAGGGAGCTCTCCGCGTCGGTGTACCCGCCATCGTCGCGGCGCATTCCCTCTGAGCGATGGAACCTCGGGACGGGGGAGAAGGTGCTGCCAGCAGGAGAGGATGCTGGACGGGGAGTTTGGGCGGACAAGCTGATGCACGAAGAATCACGTACAAGCACGGAGTAAATAAAAGAAAAATCGCCGGCTCAGCAACCAGAGCTTGGAGCAGAGCTGCGCACGGACGCGCCCGGCCTGGAGGCTATCGGCAGGCATCACGTGGCGATAAGCACAGAGCGGAATGGCAGGCGGCGGCTTTGATTGGCGCGCCAGGGCCCAGAGTGACTTGCATGTCGTAACGGTGCCGTCGCAAGCAAGAGCGTTACGTAGAGCCCCATCGAAGGGCGCTTGTCATCCATCAGGCGGATTTCATCCATCCTCCGTCTTCCCATCCCGAAATACCGCCTCGACTCGCCGTCTTTCTTTGCTCGCAAGCGCTAGACTCGCATCGCACCTCGTTTGCTCTTCCCTTTCGGTAGGGCGCATACATAGACGGGATCTACCGCACGCAGCGACAACCCTTTTCTCCTATTCGCGTGCCCGTTTCTCTTCCGTTCGCCCTTTGATTCGCACCGACCATGGCGTATGAGCGACTACCCAACCTCGAGGCCGGCCAAAGCGGCGGCCGCTACACCGACGATCCTGCGTTCCAAGACCTCCAATACGAGCTGAAGAACAAACTGCAGTCTCTGCTGAGCAACAACCGCAAGCTTGCCAACGATGTCAACGTCCTGGGGACGAAGAAAGACACTCCCCGCTTGCGGGAGCGGGTTCACAACACAATGGAAAAGTCGCGGGAAATCTGCAAGGATATTGGCGATGGCGTGAAGAAGCTGCAGACATGGGATGACCTCACTGTGTGTCCTTGCTTCATCTTTTACCCTGTGCGAAACGGAATCATGAGCTGAGCTGACTCATATCGCTTAGAAACAACAAAAGTACGAACAAACAAAGATCTCGAGCGATTTTCAGACGGCCTTGCAGGAGTTCCAGGGTCTGCAGAGGAAGGCCCTGGAAAAGGAACGCGCATCCATCACGGCAGCCCGCGAAGCGCAGGCTTCAGAAATCACGGGCGCCGGGGGCGAGGAACAAGTACAACTGCAACAGCAGCAGCAGCTGTCGCAACTGGCCCCGCAGGACGAGGTGGATTTCCAGGAGGCCTTGATCATTGAGCGCGAAGAGGAGATTCGAAACATCGAGCAGGGCGTCGGCGACCTGAACGTGCTATTCAAGCAAGTGGCGCAGATTGTTACCGAGCAAGGCCAGCAGCTCATCACCATCTCCGATACCGTGGAGAATATTCACGAAAGCACCCGCGGTGCCGACGTAGAGACCCGTCAAGCCGCGCGGTACCAAAAGGCAGCGCGCAACAAGGGCTGCTGCTTGATGCTGATTCTGGCCGTCATTTTGACCATTGTCATTTTGGCGATTGTCGTTGGCTGATTTCGAACTGCGCAAACGATACACCGGGCCTAATTAGTGCTTTTCCTTTGTGATTGTTCCCATACGGAGTTGCTCTGTTTTCATCTGTTTTCTGGCATCTTTATAGCTGAGTCTCTTTTTTATACAGTGTCCCGACCTCGTTATCGAATATGTATATAGGTAGGATTCGGGTCACCTGGGCATTTTGAAATTACCTCAAGAGCGCGTTTTGAATGAGAATACTATTTCATCTATTCGGGCCTGGCTGTTCTTTGGAAGCCTTGACTTCCTGGCTCCTGAGATAAGGCAGAACTGCCGGTGGCTTCGGCGTAGACTTGAGTGTTTCCGGCGACTTTTGTGGAAACAGTCTTCCCAGGATCGCTTCGTTGACATCGTTGAGGGCAAAGGTTGAAGCCCAGTATAAGAAGATGGCGCTGGGTAGGTCGGCAAAGAGGATGGGGAAAAGAGGCACCAAGAGAAGAGTTCGGCCTACCGCCGTTCGGATCCTCATGGCAGGAGCCTGCGGCATCTGAGGCGGCGCAACGCTCAGCAATGCCCGGAGCTGGTCCTTTGACAGCCTCCCCCATGACGTTCGGGCAAGCAGCGCCGAGCAGATGATGGGAAGCGCATAGTAAGGGTCCATGGCAGTAAGATCGGTGAACCAGAGACAGCCGCCGTCAACCAAGGACTCGTCGAGGAAGCGTCGAGACGTCTCCACAGCGGACGCAACGGCCTGGGCATCTACCAATCCGAACGTGTGACTGAGCCATCCCGTGCGGGCACCGCAAAGGCGCCTGAGGGCTTCGGAGACGACGATGAAGGGGGCCATGCTCAGGAAGGGAGCAAATGACTTCCACCTCTGGACACCCCAACTCTTGTATATCCGCGCACGGGACCTCTCCGTCAGGCCAGCCACCCGCAGCCGCCAGAGTCGAGCTGCGTCCTCGCCCTGGCCCTGGGGCACAGTGGCAGCATGCCGGGCGCTCCAGGCGGTGACCAGCGGCGTCAGCTTGTTCCTGGTGGCCACGAGGCGCCTTGTGTAGTACTGGATCGGCAGGCGAAAGGTGAAGTTGACGCCGACGGCCACGAGGGGGATGGAGACGAACCAGGGCAGGCCGGCGTGGTGGAGGAAGGTGATGCCGTCAGCTGTCCACAAGACGGCGTCCCCTACGGCGCCGAGATGGAAGCTGCGTCGTGCTGGGTCTGTAGGGTTTGTCCTGCTTCGGATCGTGCTCAATGGCGTCTGAGTAGTGTGTAAAGGCGAGGCCTTGTTAACATGGGCTGCCAGGCCCCTGGCTGATTTGCTCAAGAAGGCCATGGCCGTTCATGGCTTGGAGATGCCGGAAATCTTTCGTGCAGGCAATATTCCCAAACAGACTCTGTCCTTGCAGCACACGGACAGTAAGAGCAATGAGTCAATCAGCAAATCAATGAGCGCTTCGTCATGAGAACAATAGAAGATGAAGTGTGATTAAGTCCCGTGAGCGGGTCCTGAAGAAATCCAGCGCCTCAGCCACAGCAGCCCCCCCAGCTGACGCCACAGCATTTGACCGGTGGCTTAGCGTTCCCCAGCAGCCCCGGACAGGCCCAGCCTTAGTGCTGTACTGTACCTAGAGCTGGGACAAGCTGTCAATAGCGAGCAAGTCATACAGGCAGAATCCCCCACATGCTTTTCCTCGCCCTTCTCTCTTCTCGCTCTCTTACCACTTCGGATCGCTCTTTGTTCTCTCCCTCCGTCTCGCCTATCCTTCCCTCACAGGCAATGCCGCCTGCTGTCGTCTTCAGGCTGCAATAACCAGCATCGCAGCGACGCGGAATCCACGCCACAACATCGCCCGACTCGATGGCGGACAGGTGCTCGGCAGAGGCGGCGACATGCAGCCAGCCGCCATCTGCTGCTGGATTCAGCTTCAACTCCCCTTCAGTGGTGATCGCAGCGACTTCGATTGCCGTCGCACCGTTGCTGCTGCTCCTGATTCCCTACTTTGGCGCCGGCATTGGATGGATCTTGCGAACCAAGACTGATGGCACGCGGAAACACCTGGTCAACCTGATGAACGAGGAGCACAAGAGATACCTGCAGCAGCGCAAAGGATCGGACTCGCCCAGCACGACCAGCGACTCATTGGACGCCAACGGCGAGCTCAAGGCATCTACCGACTGGGATGGAGTTGTTGGCTTCTTTCACCCCTTCTGGTATGACTCTCCCTCCAAGTGACCGTGGCCCATCCCCTGTTTGTCGCCGTCAGCCCTCGATGGTTTACCATTGCGTTTCGTTAACACCGCGTCAGCAATGCTGGAGGTGGCGGAGAGCGAGTTCTGTGGGCTGCCATTCGGGCGACGCAAGATCGATGGCCGAGGGCCAAGTGCTTCGTGTATACTGGAGATCGCACCCTGACCAAGGATGCGGTTCTGAACCGAATCAAGGTGAGGAGGATCCAGAAGCAGCAAAGCTCCCTAGCTTGGAAAGGCAGCTTGATTAAACCCCGATATGCAGACCCGATTCAATATCCAGCTCCACGCCCCGACCATCCAGTTCCTCGACTTGTCCAAGACACGCTGGGTTCTCGCTTCCAGATGGCCGGTCTTCACTCTTCTTGGACAGTCCTTCGGTTCGATCATCCTGGCCTGGGATGCCTTCTCCCTTCTGGTTCCCGATATTTTCATCGACACCATGGGCTACGCATTTGCGCTCAGCTTCTCGAAACTATTATTCCGAAGCGTGCCGACTGGCGCATACGTGCATTACCCGACCATCTCCACCGATATGCTGGAGTCTCTAGATCCTACATCCGCAGTAGGTTCCCAGGGAGTCAATGCCGGCCGCGGTACGGGAAGCAAGGGGGCCGTGAAGAAGGCATACTGGCACTTGTTTGCTCAGCTCTACTCTGTTGTTGGATCTTCCGTTGACGTCGTCATGACCAATTCCACATGGACTCAGGGTCATGTGAGGAGCTTGTGGGGTCCATACCGTCAAGAAAAGGACCGGGAACATCCCATCACTGTCGTATACCCCCCCGTGGCCGTGAGCGAGTTCGAGAAGGAGGTCGAGGTTTCTGCCGAGAGCGAAAAGAAACGCGAGCCGATCCTGGTGTATATTGCCCAGTTCCGCCCCGAAAAGAACCATCAGCTTGTCATTGAGTCCTTTGCCAACTTTGTCAAGACCAGGACGGAAGCTGCATCGAAGGCGCAGCTGGTGCTGATTGGAAGCGTCCGAGACGACTCGGATTCCAAGAGGGTCTATAAGCTGCGGCTGCTGGCCAATGAGCTCGGTATCAAGGACCGCGTTCAGTTTCACATCAATGCGTCCTGGGCGGAAATCCTTGACTGGACAAGGAGGGCCTCCGTTGGCGTCAACGGAATGTGGAACGAGCACTTTGGGATAGGGGTCGTGGAGTATCAGGCCGCCGGCCTGATTGCCGTCGTTCACGACAGTGGTGGCCCCAAGCTGGATATTGTCACCGACGTTGATGGTCAGCCGACAGGTAAGCATATGCTGATACCAAACACAAAAGAGTGACTGACCTAACGAGTGGGAATCCACCCAGGCTTCCATGGATCAACGGCAGCCGAGTTCGCGGCAGGATACGAAGCGGCGCTTTCGCTCACCGATCCGCTGGCAATGCGCCTGCGCGCGAGGAAATCAGCAAAGAGATTCTCCGAGGAAGTGTTTGCGGAGAAGTGGCTGGCGCAAATGGATCGTCTGGTGGCCCTCTGCAGAAGGTGAAGAAAGGGAGCAAGTATGGTTTGATGATTTTCGTGTTTATTGCAGAATGCTAGGTATATAGATCTAGGAGATACCCCCTTTTCTTTTTATTCATAGACTGGTTTAGCGGGAGGGGCACATGCTATTATAGATGTTGCCACGAATGCGATGGTAGACAGATAACGAGCTCTATACGGGGTCACGTAGAAATAGAACGCAAAAGTAAAGAGCGGTGCGGGAATAGAAGAGGTAGAGATGATGGACGTTCCTTTAACAAGTTTCTACGGACCAGCTTCATATCTAGATGACTTGAATATATACATCAGGTGTATTGCAACTAACATGCCACTCAGGAAAGAAAACCAACGATGTAAGCCAAGGCTCATGGTATCACGGCTGTGTATCCAAATCTATCCATCCATCCATCCATCCATGTATCTATCAAGTTACGCGCCCCATCTATATCGTGTATCCCGCACTATTCTTCTGCCTCGGCTCACTCGCCGCCTCAAACGCCCCATCGGTAAGCCTCCTAACCGCCTGCACGGAGCTCAAGCCAGGCCTCACCCACGTCACATTGTGCCCCCTCCTCTCCAAGCCCGCGGCGACGTCGTCGCCAAACATTTCCTCCAGCAGGACCGTGTTGGGCATGAGCTGGTCGTGGAGGCGGGGCCTGCGCAGGGCGCCCGCCAAGGCTTCGTCGTGGCCGTCGAGGACGTGCCAGAGGACCTGGGCGGTGGCGGAGATGATGCGGGAGCCGCCGGCGGCGCCGATGGCGGCGTAGAGGGTGCCGTTGGGGAAGGCGGCGATGAGGGGGGTGATGGAGGAGAGGGGGCGCTTGCCGGGGCGGATGTAGTTTGCGACGGAGGGGGCGAAGCCGAATTCGTTGCTGACGCCGGGGATGGAGAAGTCGTTCATTTCGTTGTTGCTGTCGACCAGAAACTTGTCAGTAGGGGAGAAGAGTGAAAACTAAGGGGTTTATTAGGGGGGGAGAAGATGGAGTAGTAGGGGAGGGAGCTTACAGGATGATGCCGGTCTGGGGCTCGACGATTTGGGCTCCAAAAAGGAGATTGACGGTTGTCGTCAGGGAGACGGCCATGCCGGAGCTGTCGGCGGCCACAATGTGTGAGGTGCCGTGGTTCTCGGGCACGTAAAAGTCATGCGGGTTGTAGTACTTGGTGGCCTGGGTCTGGTTGTCCCAGATCCTCTCGTGGATGGCGTCAATGTTCCTCGGGTCGAGCATCTCCCTCTCGAAGCCCTCCACGTCGCCGTCCACAAACGCCGGGTCGCCGAGGCTGATGCGGGCGGCATATGCGAAGCGCATGGCTTCCGTGAGGCGGTGGCGGGACAGGTCTTGGTCCGACGACCAGTCTTCCTGGCGGTAGCGCTCCATGATCTTGAGGATCTGGAGGCTGACGGCGCCGCCGGCGGGGGAGCCGATGCCGTGGAGGGTGAGGCCGCGGTAGGTGACGTTGTGGACGGGGCGGATGATGACCTCGTAGTGTGCCATGTCGTCGAGGGTCATTGAGCCGCCGGTCTGTTGGACGTAGTCGACTATGGTTTTGGCTTTTTGTATGCGATGGGATGTGGTCAGTACCGGTTGAAGAATATGCTCAGCCATTTCCGCTCTTGTCCCTGATGCCGGGCTTACCTAGTTCTCCCGTATAGAAGATTTCAGAACCCTTTTCGGAAATCTTTTCGAGAGTACTGACGAGATGGTGAGCACTTCATCCAAGCACAGAGCCCGGTTGTTTGGGAGGGGGAGCAGCCTTACTCTGCATAGCGCTTCCGCGTCATCCAAGACCCTTCTTTGACCAGATCGCCTGAGCAGAATCAAGTCAGCATTTGCATTTCACTTGAAGGGCATCCATCTGCAGCCTTCAACGAACCATCAGGGGCAAAGTCCGTCGCCCAGTTGGGATCCTTGGTAAGAAAAGTCTCCCCGTCGGCCTTGACCGTGTTGCTCATGTACCGCACAAGGTCGCTTGAGACTGGCATCATCCACACAATTAGCAATCAAACTATTTCAGCTCAATACGGCCTCATGTCTATAATCCCCAGGTACATACCTCGAAACCCATGGCGAGCCACGTGAATGGCGCCCTGCATGACCGTCTTCCAGGGCAGCGCGCCGTACTTGGTGTGCATGTACTCGAGGCCCTTGAGCTCGCTGGGGACGCCGACCGCGAGCCCGCCGCGCACGCTGGCGCTGACATTGTTCTTGTACATGTCCTCAAAGGCCGCGGCCGGCGCGGCCTCTCTGAAGTCGATGGCCTCGTACTCGCCGTTGGCATCGCGCAGCACGGCAAAGCCGCCGCCTCCTATGCCGGAGTGATACATGCCAATGACGCCGACGCAGAACGTCGTGCCAACCAGCGCATCAACGGCATTTCCCTAACCAAAAAAAGCAAGGAGTTAGTTTTTTCCTTGATGCAGATCTTATGCATAAGCAATAAGGCAGGGTGGGTGATGATGGAGATGGCTTCGGGTGTGAGATCTTAGCAGGACGGGAACACAGCATAAACATACCCCTCGCGCCAGCAAGTCTCGCCCTATGGCGCTGCATTCTCTGCTCTCGCTGGCGACGCCACCGAGATGCCCGGGCGCCTCTTTCTGAAAGACGATCTCCTGCTGGATGGCGGCGGCCTGGACGGTGAGGGCGTGGGGGAGGACGAGGGCCAGGAGGAGGGATGGCAGGAGGCGAGGCCTGTGAGCGGCCGCTGGCTCTATCCGCATGTTATTCACGGGCCGTCTTATTAGAGCACCGTAAGTGCAGAAGGATTACAGCAAGGTCGGGAAAGAAGATGCGTCTGGGGTAGTAAGGATAAGGGGCAAAGGAGGGTAAGTAGGTAGGATGCTAGAAGGAATGAAAAGCAGAGCTGCCTGTCACTCACTCATGTTGACTGTCTGAGAGAGATCAGATGGGCGGTCGGGCGTCGGTGTCGGAACATCGGCCGGTGCTGCTATTAATAATGAGTCCCCCAGACGACCGGCTTCCTAGTAGTAACACGATGACTTGTGTCGAACAGGGAAGACAAAGAGTCTCAAGCAAGGGCGTCCGTTATCGCCAGTGACACGACTTTGTCGCCTCTGCCTCGGGCCTCTTATCTGTCGTACTAACAAGTGCGGCACCCGACTCACTCGCCCAGTCGCTGCAGGTCACTGTCGCTATTAGCAGAGAAGCAGGGACAACGAGGGCGAGACGGCGGATGAACAAACAAGAGCCGGAACTAGATAGTAATAATAAAGAAGCGGTAGAACAACAATGCGATTCCAAAGAGCCGGAGCCGGTGCCATCACCTCAGCCCGCCCCAGAAGCACGAAACAAGTGGCCGCGCCTGTGGATCGTCCGGCTCCGCATCTGCCATTCAGTGAAACTACCCAGTACTCGACTCCATACTAGTAGTACTACCAAACTAAGGTGTTGCAGCGCCCATTCTGCTGTCACGAGGGCCACCGAGACACAAGTCATGCCCGGGCTTACAGAAGTCATCAGTGCCCATGCTAGCAGCAGCAATGGCAAAACGGCCACATGCTAGTCTAGAAAAGAAAAAAAAGAGGCTTGGAATTTCCCCTGTGACCGCTTTGCTTACCTTATCAGCCATGCCACATGTCTGGTCGTTGGTGCCGGGCCAATCAGATCGTCTGGATTTGCTTCTCTTCTGCCGTGTACGGAGCAAGACCCAGGGGTAGTACTTCCTTTTCGGTAACTTTATTTTTTTATCATAACTTGTCTGAAAGGAAAAAATCTTTTGGTGACCTAGAAAAGCCAACCTCATCTTCAGAAACTCGAGGGAGGCCATTGGCAACACTCCCGAATAGCTACAGAACGCCATTCCCAGTGGAAGCCATTCAAGCCCTTTCTTCTATACGGCTGCGATCGTCCAATTGCTCCAGCTCCCCGCATCGTCTATTCTATGAGAGCATCGATACGACCCTTGGCATCGTATCCCACCATCGCCAGGCTCGTCCTTCACCAGTGCCGGCCACGACCACCACCGGCTCGCCTCCCCCTTCATCCATTCGCACACATGGCGACCGTCGAAGCTCCTGCAGCTGCTCCAGCTGCTTCCGCCCCCTCAACAGCGCCCCCTCAGACCAGCAGCAACGGCGCCAATGGCAACAGCCGACCCAAGAGGCCGAATCCCGGCGGCAGCAGCAGCAGCAGCCGCAACTGGAAGCAGAAGAAGACGAAGCGCGAAAAGAACATCACCGAGGGCTCCTCCGAAGAAGTCCTGCGCCACGACATCGAGGCGCTCCTAGCATCGCGCAACAAGTCCGAATCCAACGACGGCGAAGCAGCCACCGCCGCCGATGCGCCAGAAGAAGCCCTGCCGGCTGAGGGCACCGAGACCGAGGTCGAGGTCCTCGAGCTCTCCTCCACCGGCGACGGCCTCGCCATGCGGCCCGGCTCCGACCAGGTCTACGTCGTGCCCTTCACCGTGCCCGGCGACGTCGTCAGGAGTTACAGGTACTGGAACGCGACCGGGAACGCGTACTTCGGTTACAGCCCTGTCGAGAGTTTCACGCCGAAGCCCGGCGGGAACAACAACAACAACGCGGCCACGCCCGCCTTCGGCCCCCCCGGCAGTTTCACGCCGCAGTCGAACCACGCCATCGGCATGACGTCGCCCGACGGCTGCCACAGCTCGTGCCGCCCGTGGTCGAGCCGCCCGTCCAACCGCTTCAACGCCTTCCGGAACAGCTGCTACCGCGCGAACGCCGCCTCGACGAGGCGCATCAGCTCGTAGACCTTGACCGTCGGCGGCGTGCTCCGCTTCATGAACGTGACCTACGCCCGCAGCAGCGCGTCGCCGCTCCCGAACTGCTGCCTCTGCTTCAGCCGCTGCCAGACGAAGAGCGCCGCGTCCACGGCCTTCTGGAACTGCGCCCG